ATCTCGATTGTTGACTTAATGCACCGCGCTAAATATTTCAAAGGTGGAACCCCGTAACTCTTATATACAAAATTATTTCTTATCAAAGATACAGTTGTCTTTTTGCCGATTTGTCTATTATCTGGTGAACTTTTCGGCTTTCATTTCTCCTTACATCAGTTGGCGGTGGAGTGGGTGGATGTCCATCATCGGGTCCATACGGGACACTGCCCGAGCCGACCAAATTCACTCGTGGAATGCGTGCCATTCTGCGAAAGAAATTGATTGGGTAATGTTTTCTGGTAAATCACTAACGGAATATGCGAGAGAGTCGACAATGGACTGTCACTATTGGCGCCGGGGGCGTGGATTCTGGAAAGTTCAACGGATGAGCTTTTTCAAACAGTTATACTCAAAAGATTTACAGATCTGCGGATTGTAACGGAAATTGTTATCGGTTCGAAGTCAAGTAAACAAATCAAAGTTTGAATTGTGTTAAGCATTGATTTAAACGAATGTTTGGCTTTTTTTAATTTAACGTATATAATTGAACAGTATTGTTTCGCTGTTTCAAATTACCCAATCCGTTTTTTTCCTACCTCGGAATGATATGTCCTGTGATCGAGGGTCGCTCGTTTCCGAACTCATCGTAGCGACGCTGTAACGATAAATGAATGGACATTCGATCAGAAAAAAATAGAAGAAATCGCTCCTTTCTCGAGTTATGAATCAAGTGATCGATATGCGAAAGAATAGCTCTAAGTGGAATTTAGGAAGAAAAGAAAGGAAAGAAAGGAAAGGGAGGAAAGCGTGGTGAATCAGGGTCGTTATTCTAAACTCTAAAAAACCCCAAACCGATAACGCGCGACAAATAAATAACTTTTTATAATAAGATTAGTGGGCAGAGATTCTGAAATGTGGGGTTAGGAGGGTTCCCAGTGCCTATTTTTTAGTTTTCCTTTCTAAAACGTGGATACTAACCATGGTAAGCTTATGCATTCCATTTCTTACCTGTAAGTCCATTTTTGCAATAGGGTAACTTTCTCAACTCAATTCTGGCTAAAATACTTACCAAAGTGTCCCGTGACATTCCTGCCTCCTTTGTCAGTTACTAGATAGTAAAAGTTGAATAATGAGTAATTTCACGTCTTCCCAAGCGCACCTATTCACTCATTGCACGAAAAAGGGAGGGGTTGACAGAGATTGGAATGAAAAGGGGGAGAGAAAAGCTTGAGAAGCTAAGAATTCTTCCCCTTTTCCTCCTTATCAGTTCCATTTTAACGCTCGTTTACTACGGCTTCAAACACACTTGAATTTCCCCGCCGAATAATCCATCAATTTGTGCACAACCGATCGCTGGATGTAAAACAAAGTTTATTCTGTAAAAGTGAATTCCAAAATTATCACAAGTACACGGGAAATAAAATGGAAAGTGGTTACTCGGGCCAATCAAGTTCAATTAAGTGAGTAATGTGAGCATCGAAGGGTAACAATTTCTGGTTTTCGATCAGGTACAAAACAAGTAAAACAAATCTGCAAGATAAGAAGTTCAAGTTAGCATCATTAAAAAAGCAATAATGGTAAAAATAAATAGGAAAGCCTTTAAAAACCTTTAGTTTTAATGGTAAGCAAGTTTGGGTAAAATACTTTAAAGATAAAAACGAATGTACTAATAATCCCCATCTCTCTTCAAGTTGACAATTACAAGATGTTCATTCTAAAGTAATTTCATTTATTCAACCAATCAAAAACACTCACCCATTGGGACTCTCTTCAATGTGATTGATCAGTTTGGATCCATCGTGTTCGAAATCTTCAACTTCTTCTTCGACAATCGACAAATTCTGATCCGAGTCGGCCAACCCGTCAGCCAAAGCTGCCTAAATGGAATTTCTGAAAACCGACAAAATCTATTTTGCTCACTTGTAAAGCCTCGATTCGTTTTGCACTGGCTTTCACTTCGGATTGCGCTTGACGAAGCTTCTCTTCTAATGTTTCATTCTCATCACGCTAAAAAAAGTAAAATTTAATAAAATTTTCGCAAATATACTTGTTGTTTTAATCGATGATGAATTTCCGTATCGCGCTTCTTGATCATTTCCACCGATTCTTGCGAGACAACTAGTTCCTTTCTCACCTTAAATAACTATTAAACATCAGAAAACTAGAAATATTACTTTCTTCACATTCTCTATTTCACGATCTCGAGCACTGGATGCCTCAGAGAGTTTTTCTGTTAGCGATTCCAATTCATCTGTCAATCGATTGATGTTTGACTAAAAAGAAAAATAAAGAAGCTGAAAAATTTTCAAACCTCTAATCGTTGTCGAATCACAATCTCTAAATCGAGTTTTGCCTCAAGGTGTTCAGCCTTCTGTTCTGCCAAAATCAACTTGTGCCTTTCAACGGTGTGTTGTTCTAAAATAATATCAACGCTCAATAGTTAATAAAGCCTAACACTGACCCAAAAACTCCAATTGAGAGGTTTTTTCATTGAGCTGTTCAGTCAACTTTTGCTTTGAGCGTTCGAGATCAGCAATCTATAAAGGTATACTTGAAAAATTTATATCTGAATTATTTGTTTATGAAAATGAAATGAAAAGAAACAAAAAAGTTATTCCGTTGCCGGGAATCGAACCCGGGCCTTATGGGTGAGAGCCATAAATCCTAACCACTAGACCACAACGGACATGTGAGGCGGTCTCTTTTCGCCGCCTACCAAGCATTGCTCTCAATGAATGGAGAGAAATAGTGAGTAAGGCGGAGAGACGAAAAAGATTTGAAGAACAGAGAGTCGCCTTTAAGAAAAACGAGCAAATAAAGCCACCTGTTCGACATAATCAGCAATTGAAATTCCATCGATATGTCCTTGTTGAACGGCCTCCTTGTACTTTTTCAGTAGTTGTTGCAGTTCTTCATCCTAAATGCTTGACGCTACAAAGGTGTTTAAGCTAAACTAACTCGATCATCAATTATGGCGAGTCCTCGATTTCTTTCCCTCATCAAAGCGAGGACTTTTTCTTCGGCTGCCGATTTAGCAGCAAGCAGTTGCTCAATCTAAATTTTCTTGTAAATAAAATACAATAAATTTGGCAGACCTGTGTGTGTAGTTCATTTAACTCTGATTCAAGACCATGGCGCCCCTTCAAAGCGGAGAGTTTGGCTGCTTCTGCATCCTCCAACTGTTCTCTGAACAGCAGCAATAGGGATAAGTAACAGAATAGTCAAAAACAAACCTGAGCTGTCGAATCAAAGCTTGTCCACCATTGTTTTCTCTTTCGTGAGCCAGCACAGCCTGCGTGTCCGCCAGAAGAGCCAAAGCTTTGCGAAGCTCCCGTTTGTAGTGCCCACCAGAAAGCTCGAAGCTAATACAATGAAATGAAAACGGACATTTTTGCAAATCTACCTGACGGATTGAGAATCAAAATTGCGCATCCGTTGTTCAAAAGCTCGATTTTGTTTCAAAAGACCAGCATTCGTGTCTTGGAGATCTGCGATTTGATCTTCAAATGCACGCACCTAAATTAAAAATAATTAGCGTTCAATTGCTTGCTAAACATGCCAAAATCTTTCTTTCAACATTATCAAGCTCTGCAAGGGCTTTTTCATTGGGAACTAGTCCATTAGTGATTTCAAGATAATAAATATAAGCAGATAGACGTAAAAGAGACATCGTTTCGTCGTTTTAAATATTCTCAAGTCTACTCGGAGCTGTCGAGTAGGCGAATAAATGTTGCAATGATCAAATTGTCACACTTGCACATCCCCAAAAATTTCTGTGTACAGAGAGTCACTTTTTTTTCTGGACAGTATTGCCAAACAGCTGCCTTTAGTCGAGGTTTAAGAGGTGCTAACAAGCTAACGATGTGAAAACCCTAGTCAAACAACAAAGAAAGGCCGCACTTGAGATAACTGATGTATATTTGAACAGCTCAAGTGTAGTTTAAATTACGAGTCTTTGAAGCTGCAAATATGGAAAAACGACATGAAATATCTACCCTTCTTTGATATTGTGCCCTGAGCTCCTCAGTTTCGGTGTCTCGAGCAGTGGAATCCCTGGATTGATCATTCTAAAAATAAAATATATTGGTGATGCAATTGATTCAATCACCTTTATTCGCTCAAGTTGCATTTCAAGTCGGGTAACGTTTTGTTGCAATAATTGTCTTTGTCCGGCTAGATCATCAAGCTCTTCTTCCTGAAAAGTTACTAGATAAAAAACATGCAATAAAAGCACTTGATCGTGAATCTTTGCTTCAAAATCACGCTTGGCTTTTCGCAGTTGTGTTAATTCAACAACGTCCGTGGCCTGGCCCCTGAAAAAAAGTGAAACATGTGTGTTTAAAGCTAAGATTCTTGTAAGATTGGTGCACCGCAAACAAGACCTAATCTAATCTGTTTGCGCTCACGAGTAGAACAAAAGAACATGTATTTTGATTCAAGTTAAAACAGCCATTAAATGCATACTTTTCTTGGGTCTCTTCGATTTCTCTTCGCAAACGACTTGCACTTGTGCGTAGTTCTTGATTCTCGGCTTTTAGTTCCTGAACTCAAGTCAATAAAAAAAATTAGAGAGTAAAGGCCCTACATCAATTTCGACTTTTCTCCTGGTGAGATTCTGCACAGCTTCATCTTTTTCTCGATCTGCACGTTCACGAGTTCTTTTCTGTTCTTCTAAGTGCAGTTGTTGAGAGTTCATCTCTTCATCGAATCGAGACTGCTTTTTCTCCAAAGAGGCATTTCTGGCATTCAACTCCTCCATTTCTGCTCGTATCTAAACGAAACTATGTTTTAGACAAGCCACCAAACGTTACCTCTGCAAGTTGCTGCACCGTTTTCTGAGTTTTAACTCGTTGGTTTTCAAGTTCTTCTTGAGCTCGTTCCACCTCGGCCTTATATTCGCGTTCTTTCACTTCAAGCGCAGCCACTGATTCCAAATTGGCGACAGAGGAGACACGAGAAATTCGATCCTCATCGGCTGAATTGAAATGTAGGCAAAAATGAAAAAATATTTAAAAAAATATTCCATATACCAACCAAGTTTCCGCTCTACAACAACTCGTTGCTGCTTTTCACGTTCCAGCTCTTGTCGCATTTGCACTGCTGAATCTGATTCCCTTCCAAGGGCTTCATCCAATTCTGAGCATCTGCTTTCCAAACGATACTAAAACAAGACAAATATCCTGTAAACCAGAGTAACTCTTTAATTGCTTAGGCATCAGCCATAGCTATTAACCGACCTTTTCTTTGCGCATTTCGGCCAGCATGTGCTCCAACTTTTGAACACGCTCAGCCCATTCTTTGTGAGCATCGTCCACTCTAGCATTTGGTTGGTTAAGAAAAAAGACTAGAAATGCGCTAACCTATTCACTGGAAGAAGTGGCAAGACACGAGTATAAATTCTCCACCAATTCCATTCTCTAACCTTCATGTAGCTCAGTCCATTTTTCTAAACCTTTGTTGTTGAGGTTTATCAGCTAACAAACCTGAATACAACGAATGGCTGTCTCTAGCACACGCCTTTTATGCAACCATCGTGCCGCCTGAAATTTATTTATGAATAAAAGTAAAGCAAACAGCAATCATAATCTATAACGCTTTAACTAACCAAATGACGTCGACACTCGCGTTGAAACGACAAAATAAGTCCGGATAGTGAAAGATCTCGGCGATCTTCCAATTCACCCAGAATCTCGGCTCGAAGTAGGACCTATACAGAAAAAAAGGTGTCAACAACTCTCCATCAAAACCTGACTAATTCCAAGGCGGTAACGATGTTGATGAATATCCATTTTCTCCATAATCTTTTGGACAGCGGCTCGATCTAGATTTGTGTTTAGTGAAAGTAAAACAAAGTTGATACCGTCAATGGCATCATCAATTGTGTCATCCCCACGACTTTCTTCAATGAGACAACCAAAACGTCGACGGAAATCGCGGAAAGAAACTCGTTCCGGATAGCCTAAATGGTACAAATCAGAAACATCAAAATGAGTCTTTTTACCTCGATTATTAGCACGAACAGAATCGATTAGAAGTAAACTCCTCAATTGACTGCGCACAAATGGGACATCGACTGGATCAGATAATCCCAACATCTAAAAAAGCAACTACTAAAAATATAGTTTCTAATTACCAGCGAGTTCGAAAGGGTATTTGGTGTCGGTTGAATGCAATGCACAAAATGTGATCGAGGTGAGCGACGAAGTAACGAGAAGACGTAATCCTAAAAAGAAATGGAGAATTTAATAACAAATTAAAAGAATCTTGCTGCTAATAGATATCCTAATAGCACAAGATATTTCTCTGCATGATATCTTCCATAACCGTTCACCAGAGAAACAAAGAATCCCGTTCCTAATGCGCTCAAAGGAGCACATTTGCCACTAACAGAGCTTGTTTCCCTCTCGGAGAAATAATCATTTAAAAGAGTGCAAAGAGGTTTCATTCTTGGTGGCGTAAAATGATGGAATTATATTTAAAACCTATCTCTTTACTTCAAGAAAAAGGCTAAACTTAACTCCAAATGCTTTTTGTCATATAGTAATGAAAGGGAGTAAAATTTGCTCAGAAAAGTTGACAAAGGAACGCATACAAGAAAAGACGCGAAACGTAACCCGATTAAGGAGGCCAACTAGTTGGCAAACTATGAGAAAAGGGCAACCATCATCTATCAACAGACCCACCATCGCAAAGTTTGTCTTTGATCACTTAGAGAAAATTTCCAGCGACTTTTTTTTGCCTACCTCTCTCACCACAACTCCATTTTTTCGATGATGGTCAACCATTTGAATTAAAATTAAAGGAATTGAATAAGTTGTTCAGAGCCAATTTTCGGCAATAATGTGCCAATATTTATAGAGAATATAATGATTCTGCTTAAAAACGGCTGAGAACCTCCAAGAAAACCTGCTCAAAATGAGCAACTAATGACTTTTCTTGTCGTACAGTCACTAGGCACCCATCAGCTTAATGGAATGAGAACCCCGGGAGCAAGAAAAGAAAGAAAACATCCAAACTAAGAGGGAGAGAAAAAGTGAAACCGTAAAAAAGAGAGGAGCAAATAGATTTAGCTGTTACGCGGGGGTTTCAGTACTCAATGCAAACTATAAAATTGTACTTTTTAAAATAAAGCATTACCAATTGATAGGTCAAATTGGCAGCAAATCCATGATCGCGGCGTCGAAGCAGACCGGATGTTTCCACTAAAAGTTGAGTCTGAACATGACTATAAAGCAAAACCAACAGCTTGTGACGGATTGTGTGGCTCTTCTCAACTTGAGATTTGAATCAATCGCTGTTGATCCATTAGATGTGAATAAACTTCTGATCTCTTGGCTAAATAGAGAAACTTAAGATACGGATTTTTCTCAAAACCTTGCACTAGAGAACAGTAGCTTTCTCAACCCAATCGATGGATCGCTAGGCTGTGATTGACGAATCCAATCTATAAAATGATATTTACTTGCTTGGCAAAAAAAACTAAAAACCGGTAACATCGTAAGTTGTTGGTTGTGAATCCAAGCCATGTGCCAGGACAAACTGTCTTTGCCGATTTGAGCGTCGTATCAATCTGCAATAATTAGGCGTAAACAATTGTAAAATCCAAAAACACATCAATGCACACTTGAAACTTTTAATTTACCTCGCTTGGTCTCCAAGGTGCATGAACACCCTTTCGATTAGGCTATCATCTGTCGCGCCGGGGAAACAACTCTCCTCTTCAATAATCGAGAAAATTCCTCGCCTTTCTTCAGCCCTTCGCTCAAGATCCGTACAGTTTGCCTAAACTAACGTACTTTTTTTGTAAACATTTCAAACCAAATGCTGTTTCTCATCTAACAATCGATTTAGTAGATGCGGCGATCCAACTGGTTTATCGACTTCAACCTCTACTTGCTCGCGAGTATAAATCTAATATTTTTGTAAATAGTAACTAGAAAATTTCCCTCACCTCATCCATTTCAGCAAAATTTTTATCGTGGAAAAGTTCAGCGACTCTCTCATTCACATAATTGTACACAAGATCATTCAAATTCGATGCTCGTCGTTTAGGACCGTCGATCCAAGCGGCATTAAAGTTGGTACCAGGTAGATCCACCAACTAAATACATGAGATAATAAATTAATTAATTGTGAAAGCATACCGTAACGTAAGTACAAGGGACATTGGCCGATAGGGCACCGTTGATCGAATCGACTATCACACCAAAGAGCTCACTGTAGAGTGTCGCGCAAAAAGAGCCCAAAGCATCTGGACCTTCTGCGCTACGGCTTGTCAAAGAAAAACGACTAAATGTACTACTACAAACTAAAATGGGCATATTAGTTACCTCAAAGATGACCCAACTGCAGCTGCAACCGATGCAGAAGTGCCTTGTCGAAAAACTGCATTCGACAGCTCATTTTCACTAATACCCAGCAGATTAGCGGCTTGTTTAGCATGTGCAGCTCTCAGGAATTGAGCTCTTTGTGCTGGCCCTGGTGAGGCTTCTGCTCTAAAAACAACAGAATGAGTAACGAGACCTTTATTTAGAGTTTTAAACCTGCATAAGTGAAATATGACACCCAAAACCGAGCAAATGGCATCAACTTGTAAGTTCGTAAAACCAAGCTCGGCGAATGCAGCTAATAAGCGTTGCCATGCCTAAAAACAAAATTTTTAAAGTAAGATTAATCTCTAACAACCTCTTTGGCTTGCTCACGATCTTCAATTTCATGGAATGGATTTATTAAAGGCGATTCGATTGAATCGAGCCCCAAACGAGATCGCAATGTAGAATCTGCCCCTAACAATGAAGCTTTGAATGGTATTACGTTGAAATAGCCCACCTTCCCAAAGATAGTAAAAGACGTGGAAGTTATTTTCACCCTCAATATTTCTTGCAATACGGTCGGTGTCTAACAAGCAACATTGAATTTTGGCACATCTAAAAAATTTACATTTTTTGCACAAGTTTAAAACACAACCTTAAAGCGGCCGCTTTGTCAAAACCAAGTTGGAACATGTGCAAAAAACGAGTCGAATCACGGTGTAAATGAGTTGAAGCATGACCAAAAGCCTCCAGAACTCCAAGGGCACTCGAAATTTTGCTAACTAAAATAAATAGTCTTTCAGAAAACTTGATTTCACCAACGTGATAGGCTTCGTGTCCAACCAGCGACTGATGCCAAATACTGGATGAATGATTTAAATTGACTGGATTTCCCACTCCCGGTGACTCCAGTGAAGAGCACTGCCTGTGCTGCGCCCGTCATTTGCACATATCTTTATCATAATGTGTAAACCGCAAAAGAAAAATCAGAGATTACCTGTAGACCTGTTGAGCTGTAGCATAAATATGGGGAGGCATTTGACCCCTTCGACAACCCTGAAACCTCAAGTCAAGTTTAAGAAAGAAGTTTCAACCTTGAAAAGAGTCAGCAGTCTTTCTTGTACACCAGGTTCTTGAGCAAACGAAAGACAAATCAAAGAATTACTTCCGGCATTTGTGTGCGTCAGATTGCTCCCCCACCTTAAACATGAATCAATTAGGATGTGTCAATTAAATTCTACGAACCGTTGTCGAAGAAGATGCACAACTCCTGTTTCATTGAGATATCGTAAATTTGATAAATCAGGAGCACGATCGAGTTTAGATGGGTTGGCACGATCAATGTCTGTCGAGTCCACGGTCATAGTTCTACCTAAAATAGGGTAACAGCAAGTGAGAAAAGCAAGAAACCTGCTACTGAAACGGCAAATCGCCCATCTGGGAACTGTTCCTGTAGTCGAGCTACCGTGTAGCCATCTTTGTGGATCAACCAATATCTTTGATCCTCCGGAATGTTCTATAAACGTAAAGCATAAATCTAAATTGCTTTTAGTCTTCACCTCATGAGCATTCGTGTCAATGTTCGTCAAAAGCAAACTATCGCCAGCGTCCCGTACACCTCGGTGACGATCAGAAAATTCAGCCAACTCCGGAACCGAACGTACAGTAAGCACTGAAGTTTTTTGTTAACGAAGCAGTACAAAGTTACAAAAAACAAGGACTCATACCTATATCCTGAGCTGCTTGTCTGATCATTTCATTTAGTTCATCTCGTGACAATGAGTCAACTCCTCGCCCGTTAATTTCCACTAGTTGATCTCCAGGCAAAAGAGAATTTCTTAAAAGCAACTCTCAAAATTATTTGTTTAAACAATTACTTGATATCGTCGGGCCTCGGTGGACCTGGTTTGATTTCTGCTGGTTCAACAAAAACAACCGTCTTGAGAACACCGTGTTGTGGATATTGGGCCCGTCGTATTAGGAAACCAAAATCACCTATTAAAAATCATGTAACTAAGTAAAAATAGAAAAAAATTTACCATTGACTCCTCGTCGTATAGTGAGTGTTCTCTGCTTGACTTGCACCGATTGTAAAATAGGAAGTTTCAATCCAGGAAGTCCAAAATCCTAAAATAGTTTTTTATAAAAGCTTGATTTATACGCTTTTTTTTATCTGAACGTCTCACTTTCCTTTATTCTTTATCTTTATCAAAATAAATCACAAAAATTTACCTTCAATGCACCGAACGCCGCACTTGCATGTGGCTGAGATGGGGAAACCAAAGCAGCGTCATCTAAAAAACATCAATTGTGGAAAATGTTTGTTTTAATACCTTTCAAGGCCCCACAACTAACACAAATATGTTTTTCTTTCCTATCAATACTAATCTCAATGGCAAGATCGCGCGATAATGATGTTTGAACAGACGTATAAATAGTTCGTGAAGTAATAGCAGCAATGTGAGACATTTTAAATTTGTGTTCGAATTTAATTACTGTTTAGTAGTTTAGTTGTTTTTTAGTTTGTTTTAGTAGTAAAATAAAAGGCGATGAATATAAAGCAAAGTGCTAATGGATAGATTCAGTGGAGTCCTTCCACTCTAAAAGTGTTGACCGGAGGTGAATCGGAGAGGAGCTAAGAGGGAATAAGATGCGAATTGAGAGCAAAAGCAAGCACATTCGTCTGTTCAATAACCATCCAAAATATCAATTCGTGAAAATCACCAATGAGGGTCTTATTTTTTAAAAATAACATAAATGAATTATTCACTAACCATTAAACTAGTTTTTAGCATTTTTTAGAACTTCCTGAAAACTATTTTCAAAGAACCTACTTTGAGTTGAACGCAAATGTGCAGAGGTGTCGTCTCGATAGCTTTGTGTGCTGTGGCCATTGTTAGAAGTGTATCCCGCGATTGCCTGCACTTTGATCGGCACTAAATATAGCGCAACCTTTTCATTACGCAAGCGCAAACAAATACCTTCGTTATGCGAAAGCTGTTGAAACGAGTGCGCCTCGTGATTGTTTGCCGTTGCATCCTCTTCACTTTTTTGTGCTGAAATATTATTAATATTATTAATTTTATGTAGGTAAATACTAACTTGAGAATAACTTATTTCGCTTTGGTGGAACTGGAGGCTTCTTGCTGCTGCCGATAACGGGCAGTTCATCCTTTTCTTTCTTGCGGCCACCGAAGAACATCTAAATTGCAAAGTTTTCGAAATAAACTCTCAACAAGAATCAAAAGGGAAGGATGCTCATATTTTGATGGATAAAATGGTAATTCATTCCAGATCGATATCAACGATCAAACGCTGGTTGAGGATTCCAAAGGATGTGGAACAGAAGATTCCTGTCAAGTGGTACTAACAAAAGACTTCAAGGATCCCCCAGTAAAGATTTAAAAGACAGCTTATAGGTCTTTCTATGCAAAGAGAGTAAAGAAAGGACCTTCAAAAGGGGGGAAACGCACGCGGGGAGAGAACGAGCGAATGGGGAAGTGAATCACTCTCCAAAAAGAGGGGAAACATGGGAAAGACCGCTTCGGGCGCAGTGGACAGCCGACAATCCCACCAAGGACAGCCCCCTCCCTTCACACCCATAAAATCGAACCAGAAATCTCTGTTTACGTGTTCACCTACCGATCACAAACAGGCCAATATCGTGTCTGTGAGTTGCAAAAGTATTCAAAGTTGTGAAAGGCCCCGAAAGAGCAAAGTTTAAACTTCAAATTCATAGCCCCTTTAACTCGAAAGGGTATGTTTGAAAATCAATACCAATCTTTGCTTAAAAATTCCATGGTTTAAAATTTAGGTTGTAAGGAAGAGTTTAAAAGTTTGGAATTCAGAAGAGATCAATTTCTGTTGCATCAATGCAAAGATAGCATGATCGGGTAATCAAACGAGAACCAAAAAAGAAACCTCTGTGCGCGTTGACCGGAACGTGAGTTAGACTGTGCGGGCCAATAAAAAGCCTGAGTCAACACAAACAAACAAGTGTGTGGGACCTCGCGAAGGAGAGTCAGTAAATGTTCTTATTCGTGAGAGAGATACACAAAGAAAAGACTCGTGAAAAAGTCAGTCTAATGAAAAGTTCTCGCCCAAGGGGAGGGCTTTCACCGTTACTTATCTTGAGCAATCGTTAAAAGGGCTTATCATTTGCAAGACGCCTCGAAAGGAAGGAATTTCCCCAAAAAAAACGAAAAGGAAGAATTTGTTTGTAATTTACTAACCATTTTCTTTGCTTCACTCGATGACGTAGTGCCGAAACTTGCTTCGAATGTGAGACCTTAATCAAAAATCGTCGTCAACTTTTAAAAGTTTGTAAACGCATTAAGAGAAAGCCCGACAGAACACAGACTGAATTCGATGTGTTTCTTTTGACGTACAAAAAACTTTATTCATTATCACAGTAATGCACAATGTTGCCCCCAAATCGAAGCAAAAAAGACGGCGATCTCTTCACAAATTAAAAACATTGACAAACTTCGAGAGCACCAAAACAGCAGCTAAAATCTCAAAGTTTAAAATCTAGATTATTACAACAATAAATCGGACAATTCCTAAGAAAAACAAACAAAAAGTTCCCTTTAACTAATATCACAGAATCTTGGAATACGTAGTGACACTTCTTCTGAATCTAAATGACAAAACGGTTTCCACTGGGGGATATTTACTAATCACAATCAAAATTCGAAGTTATGTGTAATAAATAATATGCATAACAAAACATGGAATTCTCAAAGTTTACAAGTGTGATATTGCTTATTTTTAGCAGGTTTATAGAAAAAAAATAATCTTACGATCGATTAATCATCAACTGGCTCCGCTTCGTGTGATTCTCCATTTTCGCCATTCTGGTGCGGAGGAACTGCTTTGGAAACTTTATTTGTTGCCGCTTCTTCGTCTTCTGAAAGACGCTCTTCCTCTTCCACATGTTCTCCATTATCCCGAATGGCATTTGTCTCGAGAGCTCTTCGCGGGGGTCGATCTGGCTTTCTCCAAAGTGTCACCTCCTAAAATGATAGATTAATGGAATATTGCAATATGCCAACCCCGTTACCAAAAACCCCTAATCAGAAACTTGAAAAGAACTCATGGATACAATTTGATGACCCGTACAACGGGCACCAAATGATGATCGTCGAGCATCAGACCCGTGCCCGTTCCCATTCCCATTTGAAAAAAATTGTCAATAAAATATAGCTGAATCTTTGTAAGGATGCAAAACGAATAACCTGTTGCTTAAAATATCGTCTGTCCTCTTCATCAACCAAAACAAGATTCAAAAAGTATCGAACGCTGAACTTCTTGCTAACATCCCGCATTGTAGGCGTAAGGTCGTATCCTCCGAGGAATAAACGAATGGGAATCGATTCACCTAATATTTTTTGAAATTTTAATGAAGTTCTAACTAATTATTAGGTTGCTATTTAGTGTATCAGTGAAGCGAACATTAATTTAAATCTAATTAATTTACCTCTGACTGGAGCGCCATCCATGATCTCATATTTAGCCAAGGTGTCGTTTTCATTGAATACATTAGGGCCCGTTCCAACGGATTCCTAAAAAATGCACGAATAATTGATACAACAAAATTACAAACCTTTTTGATAATTGTAATTTCCATGTATTTGATCTTGATCCTGACGAGCAAAAAATAAATTTTGCCAACAATAACGTCCCGTAAGTGATATCTAAAGAATTGTTTTCTACAAACTATATAAAAACCGTACTTGCACTTATTGTACTCAAATTCAATATGTAGACAATCCTCGATTCCAACCTATAAAATAAATTAGTTATTCTGTCGATCGAACTTTACAAATTACTAATCATTCTGGTTTAATACTTACCTCCATTTTGATATTCGAGTTGGTTTCCGGATAACTGCTTAACGTGTGCACAATAAGGTCTAACTCCCTTACAATATCCGTAAGTCTACGCACAATTGTCACCCGCAAAAAATATCTAAACTTCTCGAGTCAGTACCGGGTAGTGTTTCTTGATAAGCATACCGAAGCTTGACATTAGTCCCAACATACGACTCATAAGGCTTTTCGACATGTGGAAATTCAAAACGAAAAGAGGTGTTTTGCAAAAGCTCCCCAGGTCGAGCCAAATCCTAAAGTAAAATTTATGCACGTGAAGAAAAAATTATTTACTTTTGTTAAGCTGATGAAATCATGTTGATTCCCACGATCGTAATAAACCTCTAAACATTGCTGAAATTAATACTACCTAGTATGCTTTTAAACCAACCAATTTGTCCAATAAACTCAACACGGATTCCTTGGTGTTCCAGCTTTTGATTTTGCTTCTTCAAGGTGACATTTACGGTTCCACTCACAGTTTCCCCATCATAGAAAAGGTAGTGCGTTTCTGTTGTCCCATCCTCGGCTCTAAACATATAAAATAAATGATCGAATATTACAAAGTGGAATAGTTTTTCAAACTGGCGTATTTTCTTTCAAATTTTGACGATTCGAACGATGAGCAATCAAAACACGCTCGATGACTAATCTATTGGCATTGTTTCCGCAAAATTAATAAACAAAACTTTCGCACACCTTATTTTGGCTAATTTTCGTGCCTCCTCATCATCCAACTTTATCGACACTTCAGCCGATTGTCCAAAGCCGAAAAAAGCAGCCTATAAAATGAATGATGAACCAAAATAAACAAACATCAAACTAACCATATGTCCGCCTTCGATAAGACAATTGCCTCAATGCTAATGATATGGCAAGAGAATCTAAACGAAAAGTTGTTCTTGAAAAGCTTATGAAAGTTAACATAAACAAATGAAAAAGTTCGTGGACTTTTTGAAAAAAAGCAAAGAGCTCTCTGTGTTTGCAAATTGTTTGAACAAAAGGCAAATTGCCAAGTTAAAAAATGGATCTCGTTGCGACAAATTGAAAAGGATACGGTAGAAAAATCGAGGCTGAGAAAATATTTTCTCTCACTTCTTTTTAAGCTCAACTTTTTGTATTTGCGTAAACTGTTAACTTAATGATGTTTACTGTTACTTGAAACCTTTAGATGATTAGATCACCTAGAGTTATGGATTCACGCAGTTGACGAATCTTAGCACACTTTGAGCAAAACTTTTTCACGATTTGCACGTTCTTTTTAATCCGCAATTCCTTTACTGTCATTTTTTTAGATTAATGTATTTGCTTTTAGGTCAAAAAGAAAGAGAGGTGAGATGTTATTTTCATCACCATTGTTCGTTGGTGCGAGGGGGAAGATCGATTATCCAAAGGTGACCGTTTTCTCCGAGCTCATCCCACTGGCCTCCAAAAATCGAGTGATAGCACGGAAAAATCGAGCAGCTGGTGAGAGTTTTAAATATTTTTGAAAATGACAAATTTTCGTATGATTAAAAAGTAAAACCGAAGTAAAGTGAATCTAAACCAAAGGTTGTACTTTAGGATCTTCATGCACGCAGGAGTTGCAAGCCCTTTTTGGATGTTTAAAAAAATGGGAATTTGATGACAAACCGTGTGCGAAACAACACACCACCTACATGGATTGCGTACACGAATCGCAGAGAATCGCTAAAGAGTATCACGAGAATGCGAAAAGGGTATTTTGTTTTGTCGGATTCTATTTTCAACCGTTTCACGCTTTAAATTTTGTAAATCTATAATGTATATTTTAGGGAACACTCGGAGAAGGTGAAGGTCAATCAATGACAGCAACGCAGTTTAACAAACTGATGAAACTCTTCCCGCAGCCTGAAATGGGACAACCGCCATACAGAAAGATGAAACGATTACCTACGCAATCATACGCTGATGATATTTTTCATAGAAAAAATACTCCCGGAAAACCTAGCTGAATGTTTTTTGGCTTCTGTTTGTTCTCTCTCATTTTATTACGTGTAGGGACGTGCGGCGCTCTCTTTGCGCCCCTCCCGTGTAAATATGTTAGGATAGTTTAATAAATTAGCCTATTTCCAGGTAATATGGCTGCTCACAAGACCTTTATCATCAAGCGAAAGCTGGCTAAAGCTGCCAAACAGAATCGTCCTCTTCCTCAATGGGCTCGAATGAAGACTGGAAACAAGGTGTGCAACGACTTTTAGTAGCTGTTATTTTTGTTCATTTAGATCAAATACAACGCGAAGCGCAGAAACTGGAGACGCACCAAGCTGAAGTTGTAAACGCGTGAATTCTACTCTAAAGAGCAACCTTCACCTAAAGATCAATCCGTTTTTTTTATAAATTGTTATTCTTTTGTCAAAGTAATTCATGAATCGCACACTTGAATGAAATAAGTCAAAGATTTTGTTGTGTTTGACCTCAAGAACTTTGGGCGATAGGATTATGCGTGGCATTCTAGGATTTGCCACACACTTTTAAAGAAAATGGTTCGATCTGTTGTCTAATAGCTATTAAGTTGCCTTGGTTTATTTCAACTTACTATCAAAATCTTTATTAACAGGAATCTCAAATTTTAATCATTATGGTAGAGTAGATTGACCATTCAGCACGTGTCGGACGCTAGAACTAAAATGAAGAACAGTGAAGAACTTTAACAGTTTTTAAAAACGATTACCATTATCTACTTGCCACTCATCCCACATGCGGCAACGGAATGTTACATAATGAATTCGAAGCTAAAGAAGTTATAAATCAAAGAAAGCTCGATCGAATTCTATTCCATTAAAAACAATACCTACCTTTGTACTGATGCTTGCCACAGCAGCATTGTTGTTGTTATTCTGGTAGTTTGTCGATGAGAAAATCGTCACCAACCGTCCATTTGTAAACCATCGATAACCCCAGCGAAACATCTAAATATATATCATTAAGCGTACAAAAAGACTATCACTCACAGGCCTGGTGATTTGATGTGCCCGAATAATCATGTCAAAATTATTTCTTTTGCAAAAATCTTCGATAACATCCCCTCCAAAAGCAAATGACACCCCTAAAAGTTGTATTTAAAAGAAAATAGGAAAAAAGATACATCTTTTTGAAAGCCGCCATCCGGTGACATCGGGATCTGGATCGGACCAGACTGTATCACAAAGGATTCCATATGCTGGCACAGAACAAGGGCGTTCAATCTAAAAGCAACATTTATTTAAACAAATTCTGATAATTTTGAAAAGAAGCAAAGAAAATCACCTGGTCAAGATCTTCAATGCGGTCCATATAGGGGCTGAGACCCCCATGCATGCAAACTATCTAAAGTTGATTCCAATACATATCATCAAGTGGAGATTTATGCGATACCTTTTCCGAGATAATGGCCATCGCGGGGAGACAACCAAATACATCAATAAAATGTCGCCAAATCTAAAAACAAACTAGAAACTAACTATAATAGTACTTCATTAAATAAAGCTTTAAAATAAAATACCAAATGGCCTTGATTGTCTTGGGGAAATTTGCTGCGGCACTCATCATAAAATCCATAGCCGAGCGTAGTGTTAGCCTCTTCATGATTACCTCGTAAGATGTGCACCTGAACAATCATAATCTCAAACAATATTCCAGGATAAATACTCGAGTCGGATAGCGATATTGAAGGGCCAGCAACAAGCACATCGTTTCTACACCCTAAAAGCCAAAAATTTCTTCATTGCTGACTTTTAACCAATACCTGACTGCCACGATCTACGTAATCGCCAAGGAATAAGTAATTATTTCCTTCTCCTGGCCATCCAAGAGTACCGAATATCTGTAAACGTGAACATTTTATTGGCTATTGGCTACTTTATAAAAAAAGCATACCCTTCTCAAGTGGATGATATTACTGTGAATATCCCCAACGACTGTGAGAGGAAGCTGGTTGCTGAAAACAACAAAAAGATTGTCGAAGAATCCACTCGTCAGCTTACTCTTTGAGTCGAACAATCATCTTCTGCCGCATGAGACTTTTCTGAGCGAGATTGCACATCTGGACCGCCTAAACATGAGAAATTTAAAAAATAACATCTTTTCAAACTTCATCATATGATATCTTCACGTTGAGCGACTTCTGAAAACTAAAACAAAGAAATAATGCTAGAGGGATTTTAGAATTACAGACCTATCCGCGGCTGCTGCTGCGCGATTATATTGTGACTAAACTACAAATAAACGTGATAGACTGGCGAATAACTTACGTCAGATTCTCCCACCAGTGAAGCCGCAAAGATGCGCTTGAGAAGACCGGCCACGAAGCTGTGCTCCCAGATTTCAGATGTGGGTAGCTGAAAGTTAAAAAGTAACTACAGAAAAACCCCGTCAGCCTTTTTATTAACGAAAAGATTTTATAGCTAAAGATCTCAGCTAAAGATATTGACTCTAGGGGTTTCAAAAATCGTTTTACTCTATAGGGCCAATTTGTTAAGTTTCACTGTACCTAGCTTGAAAGGAAGCAAATACTTACGTGAACCGGCAATTCGATGTTTTCTGGTGGTGGAGGAATTGTGTCTACCTCTTCGTCCCGCTAAAATAAACTCTAGTGTAAAAGATTAAAAAAAAATAGTAAACGCAAAACGAACATCACTGCCGGACTCATTGCTTGACATATCCAAGAATTAAAGCAACCAATAGTAATAGTCAAAAGTAATAAAGTGATAGTTTGAATGGGGAAAGCCCGGAAAAAGTGCAATTATGTTACCAATTAAAATGGAAATTTCGGTGTTAAACAAATTTTCTCCAATGCTTGAGCACATTAAAAGATGTAAAGCAACAATCAGCCTGCAACAATCAGCCTGCAACAGTCAGCCTGCAACAATGCAGGCTGATTCAGAAAGCTCTTTACAGAATGAGTGACTCTATTTTTATTCGCAATTGATTTTATAGTTTTCGAGTGTGAATTTTCAGTTTTTAGTCCCTTTCTCAAAAACTAGTAGATGGTTCTGCGAGTTCAAAACACCATTCGATAGTAAATTTTTTTTTGCGCATCTTTTGAAGTATAAGTGATTTCGAATGACTTATTGGGTCTCGAGAAAATCTACAAAGTGTAAAGGGGGAGAGTACTCTCCCTAAAGTGTCCCCGGTGATTTGTGTACAGTTGAATATTCTGGGATTTTTATTGAAAACGTATATGGCAAATAAAAGTGGTAAAACTAGAACTAAACGCGCGCATTTTGCAAAAAAAAGTTATTAAAAATAGTGAACGGGAGTCGAAATATGGGGGTGGGAAGAAAAAAAAAAGGGAAACTTCTGAAGTGTTTCGAAAAAAATATAATTGATATCAAGGATATCTGTTAATATATACAAATTTTCGCATCATTTATTCGCACGAATAGAAACCGAGTACAAATATGTTGGCCAAGTTGAAGCTTATTGCATCGCTAAACAAATTTGTCGCTTTGCTTGCTTGGGCTTGTTTTACTCCTCAGTGCGAGACGATTTGGCGTGGCGGCGACGCTTTGAATCAATTGGCTGAAAAAAAAACAGTAGAATTACAATTTAAATCGCTATTATAGAAACTATTCAAACACTAAAAATTAACCTCCAGCTGCTTCATAGCAACATATTTTCCATTCGTCGTATCACGCAGACGTCCTTGCTTGTCGATGCCAATTTGAGTGCCCGATGGCGTTGTCATAATTGGAGTCACCGCACGAGCCGTACGAGGAGTTGAGGAGCTAAAAATACAAGTAATTTACCAGATCAATCAAAGCTTACCGAGAACGGGCTGTGCGTGGCGATGCTGTCTTGCGACGGGAACCTAAAATAACAAAATTAGATGATAGATGCCAAAAAATGTTATAAAATGGTCAAAAATATACCAGAAGGACGGCGGAGGTTGGAGCGACGAGGACGGCTCGAGCCATACTTCAACGAGGAGCGACGAGAAGAGGAACTGGTCGAACGGTGAGGCTTGTGGCGGCGACTGGTGCGCTTAGATGGGGAACTGCTCGTGCGTGCGCCTCGACTCTCTTCCACTAAAAAAACAATTCAGACAGAATAGATACTTATTAACTCCAAATAAACGATCCTAACGTACTTGAGCTGCTTGAGGAGCGTTTGTGTGATGTAGAGGATGAGGAGTTTTGGCGAGATGAGCGACGACGTTTTGGAGCAGCGGTCGAGCTACGAGAGCGCCCTAAAATAGAATTTAAATTGAAAGAACAATATAAAAACATACGAGAGCTTGACTTGTTGTGTCGGTGGCGACGCTTGAGGGCAACTTTCTTGGCCAGATCATTCAAAGAACCGGTTAGAGGCAAGATGTAGGAAGGCCTAAGAATTGAAAGTATATAAAAACTTTCAGATCAAAACAAACTCAGAAGCAACGGTGACAACAGTTGTGGTTTTATTTTGTTGAGATGCCAATAGACGATTGCTTTCGTTGTTCTAAAGAAAAAGAATAATTAATGTTGATCTCACAAAAAAAATACCGGGATGGGCTTGGCTCGAACGTCGCGAGAAAACGAAACACTACGACGCCGACTGGATGATCCTAAAAAAATAATATAACCTTCGACATAAGAAATGAACTACCGTAAATACTGTAATAGTACCCCACCCCCCTCGTACAGTCGCGTAGTCAAAAAAGTTTTTTAGTATTTCATTTTTTTTCAAAGTGCCCGTATTTTCAAAAATGCATCTTTGGTATCAAAAAATAGCTGAAATTCAGGGCTATTTTTTGATACCTAAGCGAGCATTCTAGCTTAAACCAGTGTCGAGAAAAACTCGTTCAAAGCTAGACTACGCAACACTCCGCACCGTCATTATGGGGGTGGGGTACTATTACAGTATTTACGGTAGCTTAAATCCTTGAATAACGCCGTTAAAATTAAAAAAATTTCGCTAATTTTGATAAAACAACAAACAACAACAAATTAAAAGTTACGTGAAGTTGATCGATCCGACCGTCCTGTGCGCAGAATGGATCGAAGCGACGAATCTGACCTAAAGAAAAAAAAACGTTCAAGAAGCAAAAACACGATAACTTAGATAAAAATAAATCTAGCGTTACAAAGTGTAACGCATAATTCTAACATAAACTTATTGAAAAAATCTAGCTACTTTATAATATAAGTCAAAAAAATCAAAGTAAAAAGTAAAAGTAAAAGTAAAAGCTCCAAAGTGAAAAAAAATTCAAAAACAAACTTTCCGCTCGACGAAGAGGAGTCGCGAGAAGCAGGCGCAGCCTTCCATGGCCTCATTGCTCGTCGACCAGAACACGGCATGGAGTGGTGTGAAGAGACGAATTGCTGAGTAGCAAATAAGATGACCCATCAATCAGGCGTTTCCTTTTATTTGACCTTTAAATGTAAATTTCGAGATTTGCGACAGACTCTCAGACAGATATGCAAATTCGAGATAAATCTGTAATTTCAGATAAACGTCATTTTCCTATATAACACCTAGTCCCATTTTGTTGATTACTTGTGTATGGAGCTGATACCCATGGGGATGGGATAAATGCGACCTTTTTTCCCTTTTCCAGCAAAAAAAGGTGCACAAATGTTCAGGTGCGCAAAAAAAGGTCGCATTTGTCCCACTCCCGTATGGAGCTGATACCCATATCTTTTACTAGAATACTTTCTCTATAAGCGCACAGAATGATGCTTATGAAAATACAAAGTGCGCTTATTTGTCGAATCTTATTTGTACTGTCTTGGGTGAGAAACAATGTTAAAATGGGCACATTTTTCAATCCGATGAGTAATCTGGAGTACACCAAAACATGCAATGTTACAGCAAAATATTATTCAAGAGTGTCACATCAATGGGCTAATTCAAAGCCACTTCATTAAAGTCGTGAGAATTTTTTCATTTTTGTATGCCGGGGATCAGTTGACTTTTTGAGTGAGGAAATTATTTGAGTTTATTCTCTTTTTGAGTGAAACGATCATAGTAAAGCTTCCATTTCTTTTAAAATGGACGACTCGCAAAAGAAGATGCATTCTGTAACCTATGCTATAATCTTATCATTAGTTGTTGCCATTCTTTGTGTCATCGAATTTCTCATCAATCTCGTTGTCATCTATGCAATATGTGAGAGATTTTCTCGGTAACCCAAAATTGTTTCTAGATAAGGGTCGATTATGGCGTCAAAACTCGACGTATGCTTTGTCTCTTGGGAACGTATTGAACGATCAGTTTCTTCTCATTTGCCATTTAGTCTATCTCGTGCCGGGATTGTTTCTACAAGTGAAAAGATTAAATTTTGCAAATATATCACTCGTTTAGAGTTACCTTTCTTCCCAAGGGACAAACGGTTTCTTTCCATCGGCTTCAAATTGGGGTCTACTTGCTGGATGGTACGTCACATCGTTTACACTCGCCTACATTGCAATCACCAGGTAATATTGTAAAAACGTTTGGGTGACTGAATTCAAGAAAAAAAGAAGACTGAACTGAATCGACTGAAACTACCGTAATCCCCCACCTGTCTGTCTGTCTGTCTGTCTGATGTAATATTGTAAAAACATTTGGGTGACTGAATTCAAGAAAAAAAAAGACTGAACTGAATCGACTGAAACTACCATAACCCCCTGCCTGTCTGTCTATCTGTCTGTCTGATGTCGAAAGTTCAAATGGAAAGCTCACTGGAAAGCTTCTTAAATCTTTCTCATTCAAAACAGGATCAGTAAATTTCTGCCTGCAATTCAGATTTGTCGTGATCGTTTTCAATTGGACAAATCTCACTTATCAACTCGCGTTCCTTTCAATGCTTTTCATCTACGCGATCTCTTGGACGATGTCTGTCATTGCACAATTCGTCTTCCCGTGTTGCCAGTCGGTTTTTTTAAATCAATTCTCCATTTTAACAAATTTCTTTAGAATGGTGATGGATCCGTTCAGTTATGGGTACGAGAATTTGAGAATTTCTGAAAATAGAGACAAGCTTTCTAAAGCACCGAAAATATTTCAGGTATAACTATGCCCAAATCGGGAACCTTTCGAATACATCAAATTCGTATTTCGATTTCCCGTTGAATAACGCGGTTTCAGCGATCACTTTAGGCTGCTATGCATTGGTGAGTTTAAAATCGAGATTTTTAAGAGGAGAGGCTATCATAATCCCTTGTCTAAGTTAGATTAAATTCTAATCTTAAATCACTCTTCGATATCATAGTAAGCCAGCTCAGGTAAGCCAGGCTTTTCATGATCTAACTTATGCTCTTTTGACCTTGCTTGATCTAGCTTCTCTTTTGAAACAACTCTTACAGCCGGGGGTACGGTAGCTTTTCACGTCTTTTAGCAAATGCTCACCGTGATTTCATTTACCCTTTCTAGAGATTGATTTCAGATTGTTATCAAATTGATCTATGTCCGTGCTCGATACCGTGTCAACACCCGCCAAATTAAAGGCGCCAAAGAGTACACGTTCGTTTTTATTTTTTTTTTTAAATATCTCTATTTTTGGCTACAAAATTCGAGGGAAATTTCCCAGATAATTTCAAATTTTTGCAACTCAGTCACGAGAAAAGGGAAAATTGACCAAAAACCCTCGTCTTTCGCACGATTTTTTTGAAAGAAAATGATTCGATTTAGAAAGAAAAGAAGAAAACTTTAAACTTTGATGAATGTTAAAAGTTTTCAAATTTTTAGCTATGCTCTTCAATTTTGTGCAATCTCATTGTTTTATGTTTTCAATTGGGTTTCGACAAGAGTGAATCAATCGATTTTCGGGAGTAATATTGAATGGTTAGTCGAAAGGGAAAAAAAGCTTAAAGCTTAAAAAAGCTACCTTAATTTTAAAATTAAAATAACTGTAGCCAGGTTCTAAGATAAAATGTTAGAAATGTTAGAAAAAATTTTGTCTCAAAATGACTACGGTAACTCAAAATGACCGTCTCAAAATGACTACGGTAACTCAAAATGACTGTCTCAAAATGACTCAAAAAATTTCCATCTCAGGTATTCCTGCGGAATCTTCTTTTTAATTTTCAACTGTGGCGCCAACGGAGTGATTTATGTGTTGAGGAATAAAGAGGTGAAGATAAAAGCGAAAAATTCTTAAATTACAGTAAATTGTTCGATTTTTGGCTTCTAACTATCGTACCCTAACTTCATTGCTCAATCAAATGCTTTTCAGGTGAAAAGAACGCTTTTTGGTGGTGGGAATCGATCAGTGGCCACTCTCAGTCTTCCACAACAATCAAACACGGAAGTCTCGTTGAATCGAAGAAAATCGAAACACTGAAATAAAAGCATCTGACAGTGTTCACTACACTAAATTATTCTGTATGTTCCCATCTCTTTTCTCTTTTCTAAAATGCACCTCTTTTGAAAACTATTGTAAGCTCACTGTAAGCTCACTATTGTAAGACATCATTCAATAAAAGGAATCACAAGACTCGGCTGATTGAATGTACGTTGGGAAGTTGATTACGGTCTTTTAGAGTCAAGTTTCGAGTTATGAGCCTTTTAGAAAAGCCTGAAAGCCTCATTAGCCTGAAAGAGTCTACTCTAGAGTTTTTTTTGGCTAACTTGGCTAACTTGGCTAACTTTTTAACCCTCATTCAAAATGTGTTTCGAAAAAGAAACGAAATTAGTGGAAAGACGAGATTCACGAGTGAAAGCAGTGAAATTCGTGAGAGCGAAATATCCATTAGAACACATTTCCCCTATGGAAATTCCCGTTGTGATTGTCGATGAGAGAAAGGATCAACGATGGAAAGGATCAAAGACTGGCAGACAGCCTTCTCATTCACAAATCCCCGTCTTTTGACCTCAATTGAGCTGAAATTATTCGTATTTCCGCCAAAAAAGTCTTTTCTTTCTCAATCCTTTCAATCTTTTTGATTATTTCCGTTGATCAGCCTTAGAGAAAGCACTTTTTTCAAAGTCACCGAAAACTTTACACCATTTGTACTTGTACTTGAACTGTGTTCCCTTTGGACTTGTGTTCCCCAGGTCTTTGCAAGCTTGTAGACTCGGCAAAGAGTGATTTCATAGAATGCGTTGTACTTAACAATTCATAGCAATTCATAGCAGTTGTTAACAAGTTATACCGTATTTCTTCGAATAGAAGACCGGGTAAAGAGTATCATCGCGTACTCTTGCGTAGCAGCCCTTTTTAAAATTTCTTTTCTGCATAAAAGCTTTCAATCAAGTGCTATAGGGCTGGAAAATGGCTCAAAAATCTGTTAGCTCATGTGGTATTTTTGAGTCATTTTCCAGCCCTATAGCACTTCATTGAAAGCTTTTATGCAGAAAAGCAATTTTAAAAAAGGGCTGCTACGCAGGAGTATCCGATGATACTCTTTACCCGGTCTTCTATTCGAAGAAATACGGTAGTTCCTCTACAGGGTGTTCTCACTAACAAAAAGAAGATCAACTTTCAGTGCAATGTTCAGTGCAACTTTCAGTGCAATTCCGCTGATTCCAAATATATTATTTGTTGTTTTTTTTTGCTAAATGACACTCCGTCAGGTCTAAAGCTAAGCATCTAAAATTCAGTACGATAACTACTTCAGATCTGATATTTGATCAGAGATAAGGGATTTCGGATTTGCAGTCAAAAACAAGAATTCAGGCTTCTAAAGTAAGCGCCTTTACCCCAGGCCTTTGCAAGCTTCTGTAAACGAAAAACGATACGTTAACACAATCAGTTCTGCTTGTTTTGTCGCAAATCCTTCTAACCCTTCACACTATTCGAGAAGGTGAAGCATTCATTAAAAGTGAACCTTTTTCCTTCCACAAATCCAATCCCGTTTCTCATCTCTTTTCAAAGTTTCCTATAAAATCTTGAATGATATTGTCTCTTCTTCTTTTCTTTTCGATTTCTCTTATCCCATTGCCAGGTCAGCCCTCCCCATTTCATTTCATTAGTCTATCACTCGAACTGTCCCCCAATTCTCAACAAAGCACTCTCCATTCTCTTTTTCTTTACATCACTTTCACCAAACCTTTTAAACTTTTTCCCTTTTCAAAGCGACAAGTTTTGCTGATTGATGAGTGTCAGTAAGTTCCGTTTCCCTTTTCATCATTGTTATTGTAGTGATTGTGAACTGAACTTGCTCTAAATCTTGCTCTAGCTCTAGCTCTAGCTCTAGCTCTAGCTCTAAATCTAGCTCTAGATCTAGCTCTAGCTCTAGCTCTAGCTCTAGCTCTAGCTCTAGCTCTAGCTCTAGCTCTAGCTCTAGATCTAGCTCTAACTCATCGATTACTAAGTTGGGAGTTTCCATTGACTTTTGGGGATTTCTCTTCATTGACCCACGGATTCACAGTATCAAATCGAAGTCCCATTTCTGTATTCCGTTCAATCACCTTTTCAAACTCTTTACGTTAACCAAAGTTATTTAATTTCATGAACGCTTGTCATCTGCATACTGTGAATGAAACGAAATCGAAAACGAAATCCAGAATGAAACGAGCTACTAGGCTACAGTAAATATCTTTAGAAAACACCGTAATCGCTGAGCTTTCTAGCGTACCTGACTCTAAACTCATCACTCAATATAAGCAACTGTAGTAGATTAGGCAGTTCTAAAAAGATAAATTTTTAGGTTGATCTGACTGACTTTACCGTACAGTACACTGTTAAAAAACGCGCACTACAGCCATTTACAGTGCTAATTTGCTTTTGCTGTTCATAAATGAATGAGCTGGTCAATCCCCATCCTCTCCTCCCCAAAAAACTTTTCAAGGCCAACTCCCATTTTTCCGAGTAGCCGACGGCGCAATTTTCTTCATTTCATCGTCGATTCTTTCCCATTTTCTCTCATTTTATATCCCTTTTTTGGTGATCAAATCATTTAAACCGAAAAGAAACTTTTTCTTTTCTAAATTGTAAACTTTTCTCTGTGCACTCGTCAAACGGCTTCTCCCAACCGTCACCAATTTCCCCAATCTCTTCCAGTTCTCACCAACTCACTCGCTTTTTTGAATAGAATTTTAATTTTTAAGCTCATCATCAGATATGTCGGAAGGTTGTGTTTCGCTAGCGAAATCGGCTTTCCTCCCGGCGACTTCACTTCCCGAGGCTACGTCGGCTGTTATTGAGGATAATGGTGAGTACCTGAACACGTTATATTCCTAAAAATTGATTGTAAATTTTGACGATAATTAAATGAAATAATCTATTAAAAGATAGCTGGATAATTGCTAGAGTGGAGATTCTTTCATTCTGATACAGCTCCTTTCTGATACAGCTCCTTTCTGATACAGCTAGATTCTTTCATTCTGATACAGCTTGTTCGGGATAAGATGTGTCTCTATCCCATGGTTCAGGCAGAATATTTATTAAAGCACTTATCGGAAGAAGTTCCGAACACAGCTCCTTTTTTTCATTCCAACTACTGTTTGTGATTCTGTGAAGATTTTCAAAAGATATAAATTAATAAAGTAGTTAGACTAGTGGATTACGGTAGCTTTAGTTGATACGTTTTAGAAAACGCTTTAACTGACAATTCTAAGCGAATCAAAAGTGCTAAAAACGGTGAAAGTCCCAACTTCTTGGACCAAAGTCATAAAATAATGATGAATTCAGGGAAATCGTTGGTAAAGCAAACCCTCATCAAATACTCTCCAAATCAAGCCTATTGTGTGGTTAGTTGAATGTTCAATTCTTCCTCTAAATTTCATTTAGCTTTCCTCTTTCGATTCCTCTCTCGAAGACAAAGAGATTCGCGTTGAAGAAGACAAAGAGAATCCACTCAATTTGCGACTCACCGAAATCTCTGTACTGTAAACATATCTGGGAACTAATCTAAACTTTTAGAAAACGAAAATCGAAAAGCATCTCTTGCCGGTGTTTGTTCGTTTCCATCATCCATTGAAAGTAAGCGAACAAAGCTGTATTACAGATAAACTAGAGTTTTGGGAATGAAAGAGATTGCCTAGAAATGCTAGTAAGCTCTAAATTTTGTGCAAACGATGCAAACGATCGGCTTTATAGCAACGATCAGCCGAGAGTCATATCTCGGATCGATGCTTTGAGGCGGTGCTTGGTCGAACGAATCTCGAGTTGAAAAAGAATGTTACAATGGACAGTTTTGATGTGAGTTGATTACATCAACAAATAGGAGAATAGACAGCTGGAGAATGGCTAAGGTCAAAGAATTTCGAGTCAAAGTAGAGAAGAAAGCCAAGAGCCAAAAGCCAAGGCAAAGCAAAGCTCGTCAGGTTTTTGTCTTGGCTGGTAAATGGCTCTTTGTCCACCCTGGTAACTCCAAAAACAAAAAAACCAATCTTTAGCGTGTCTCCACATGGAGAGATGAGGCCGGTTTTGTCGTCTCCGATCGACACCGATACGAGTTGGCCACCTTTAACACAAAAGATTTGCTTAGCGAGCTTATGTCTGCCGGTTGGTGTTTTATGAAACTGAAAATAGATTTTCTAAAAGATAGAATTAAATAAAAAGAGCTAAACCTTATACGGTTTTGCTTTGGCGTTAACGGTTTTGCTACGTTAACGTATCGCTGTTGGCTGGGGAAGAAAAGAACTGTTCAGAAATTCGTTGAAGATTTGATTTGTAATTTCAGATACACCAGTCGTTCGTTACGATTCCAGCAACTTGGAGGCGGTTTCCGATTTCGATCATTCGGTCTGCGGAACAACGAGAACCTCACTCATTGAGGCGCTTGCAAAAAACGCAGAAATCTATTTGATCAAGTAAAGAAGAAGAAGAAAAACAAACACATTAAGAGAATTACTCAATTTTTACAGAACAACAAGTGAAGTGAACGGAATGTTGGTGGGCAAAGGGGATCGGGTTGTCGCCCTTTATGCGGAAACGATTGAACTTGCGCATGCTCTCATTCAACATTATATCAATTTGCATAAATTGGCTAAGGTAAGCATATTAAGAACAGTTTAATCCTTAACTTGCACTAAATTTGCAAAGTTTTCAAATTCATTGGTTAGCTTTATGAAGTCGATAGCCTTATGTCGAAGTTGAAGAGTCGAAGCTTTATGAAGTGAAGTCGATAGCCGAAAAATCGTATTCCTCTTAAAGAATGTGTTTTCTAAAATGTGTCCACAATTAAATAAGAAAATCGGCACTAGAAAATGCTTTAGCTGAAAGATTTTCTAGGAATACCAATTTCATTTCTTCCCCATTTCTTCCCCATTTCTCAACACTTTCAGCTTTCCTTCTTCACTCGTTTGGGTATCTGGCAATCGACGCCTGAGTCCTCTCGTCCCGTTTATCGTTTCCACACACGAACCATCCCATCGCAACTTAAATGGAACAAAGTCTACGCGGCAAATCTCGGTGTTCATCTACTCTAATCTCGATTTTCGTTCGACCAAAGATTCCCTCAAATATCTCCATTCCAACTCAGTTCACCAATCAACAGATCCAACATTTCCCTTTCTTCTAAATCCTTTTATCACTACCGTAAATACTGCAATAGAAATCCACCGTAAAGGAGCGTCGCGTACTCTCAAATAAACGCTCATATCTCAGCACCAGTACGTTTGTTTCGGCTTTTTTTTTGCCACTTTTCAATCATTTTTCTAAGCGCTATTTAATGCTAAAAAAATGTATGCTATATCTCAAAAAATCACCCATCCTCTCTGTTTTAATTTGATACCCAAGCGCGCAGAAACAAACGTACTGGCACTGAGATATGAGCGTTTGTTTGAGAGTAAACTTAGACTACTCCTTTTGAGTAGGGTTCTATTGGAGTATTTACGGTAATCATTTTTTCATCTAAAACTTGTTAGTGCTTTTTTTCTCATCAAGTTCCCCAATTTTATCTGTTTCTCTTGTCTTGTCACCTTGTGTGTCACGCATTTTTGGAGGTCAATGCACTCCAAATTTTTCTCCTTTTTGATACCACATTCCGTTTTGACCTTTATCACGAAAAAAAGCTCAGTAATTCGAAAAAATACAATGTCTGCTATGTACATCTAGGATCAAATGTTTCAGCATCTGGTAACGTCATGTTTAAATTGTGTTTGCCCGTTTACATTCACCAAATGCCAAGTTCAAGACAAAAACAGAATAGTTTTTACTTTACTCGTAGCCAAAGAACCAGTATGAAAAACAACAACTCCAAATGAAAGGCGAATAGTAAACGAGGAATAATATAGCATAAATAATGGACAACTTAAAAACTTCGATTTCGACCGATTTTAATTAAGATGATCGAATTCTCAAGAATAGCAATCATCAATACATAGCAGAAAACAACATGATTAAAGTTGAATCAATGATTTTATAAGGTGAGAAAATATAAAGAGACTTTCAAAGAAGAGAAGGTTTTGGAAGCATGAAACATAATTGGTAGATCACAATGAGAAACGTATCAAGCAGTAACATTGAACACTTTTCGGAAAATTAGATGCCGGCCATTTGAAGGATTTGTTCGCAAACCTGAAAATTGAAGCAATGAGAATTATACAGGCAAGCCTTCCCGTACATTGCTGCTTGAATTTAGCCACTGATTAAAACTAACCTTTTTGTAGAGGAAAGCATCACCATTCAGACGCTTACGCTTGATACCAACGTAGCCAAGAGTTTCCACCATAACCACTTCTAATTCGACGGTCATTTGAGCATGTCCTATTTGTTGACGAGCTGATACTTTCCAACTAAAAGCAATGTAAAAACTGCAATTTGGTATCAGAAACACAAACCCTTTGACCTCGTACTTCATTTTTTGTTGCTCGAAAATGCTGATCAACTCATCACGGACACGTTCAGGCTCATTTGATGAAGTAATTGACACATTGACCAGTCCCTGAAATTGAAATATGTAATCAGTACTTGGTAAACTAATAGCAATAAAGATATAATAGATATAAAAATTACCTTTGTAGTTTTGAGCACTTGTGGCGATTCATTCTTCATCTTTCGCGGTGTCAACAAATTCACTACCCGCCCTGCTTTTCTCTCCAATGAAGCAAAGACCCGCTAAAAGAATCAAATTTAAAATCAAAATCTTTTAAAAACTGACAGTTCGCAATGCTCGTGATTTTGTTGCCGACCGAGGAGTGCGTCCATCAGCATTTGAACTGCCCATCGACGCTGGAGAGCCACTTCCTGTCCGATCAGATGAGCGAGCCCTAAACAATATTAAAATAAAAAAATAAAACAAAAGAACTAAACCTTATACGGTTTTGCTTTGGCGTTAACGTATCGCTGTTGGCTGGGGAGTACAAAGATTCGAGTGCCGGTCGTTGTTGTGGAGTGGAGTATACTTGCCTTGGTCGCGTTGTACCTCCAAAATCTTCAGTTCGAACACCTTCACCAACTCGAATAGGACCTTTCACTTTCATCGAAGAAGCTCGTTGAGTCTAAAATCGAGAACTAGTTTAAAATATACATTTAAATGTTACCTTATTGCTACTTCTGTTCTTACTACTGCAATAATCGCCACCAAAGTAATTTTCCTTATCGTTCATCGCATATCCATTTGGTGTCTAAAATCGGATAAAAATTCTTGAATTAGCAAAATTACCCGAGCTTTGGCTGATGAATGCCTTGGCGTGTGATATAATGCCTTCTCGTCATCTGACATAATAGATTCCATGTTGAGCATTGCATTTGCATACGATTGCTTCTATAAACACAAAATATAGGTAGTTGTAAATGAAAGATATTAACCGGGCTAAAAGGCCTGGCAAATTTGGCTCGTTCGTTCAATTCATCATTTGAGGAAGCATCCGAAAAGTCTCGAGTTCCAAGTGCTGACAGCGAGTCCTAAAAAAGAAAAAATGCTAACATTTATAGTTTATTAGAGAAGCATCATTTAAAGTCTGTTTAACTAGCAGTTTGTTTTCCAAAAGGGACATGTGTCGATGTTTTACCTCGAGACCCGACCTATCCAAATGCTTCTCAAGGGAAGCATGAATCGTCGGTGAAGTGATGATATTTGAGGTCTCACCCTAAAATTTTTTTCGGTATTAATTGGAGGTTTTTAATTTTGATTGGTTGTTTAGGTGTGTTTTACAATTATCCATAATAGCATTAAAAACAGAAGAAAGACTAACACTGTGCTTGTGAAGAGGCAACATGATCTTCTTATTCCGGCGTTTCATTTGCAGCATGATATAGTATGTAGCTGTCAAATAGTCGAATTTCCATTCCTAAACAAAATTCTATAGAACATTGTGCTATTTTTTTAACTACTTTTATCAGTTGAATCGTCTCGTTCAACTTCTTGTTGTAGTATGAAGCAATTTCGCTTGCAACTTCTTCATCGACTACGGCCCACTAAAAACTAGATGCTCACATTTGTTTAAAACAAATTTACGTCGTAAATTGTTTTCCATTTTATTGGTTGAGAATATTTCTTGTTGAGCCAAGAATGACTCAGCAGGCCGGGGATGTCGATTCGGAATTTCGGGTTGACTTGCAGCATTTCTCGCAACAACCTTCGGCTGTCGTCGCTGAGGTACTCGGGTTCTTCGTAAACGCCATTCTAAAGGCAAATATAATCAAATTCGTACACAAAAATATAGATACTTACCGCAATCTTCCGGTAAAGTCCCTGCATGTTCTCCTCTTCAAACGGCAGTTGACCACATAGAAGTGCATATAGTAAAACGCCCATCGACCAGATGTCAGCTTCGTTTCCCATGTAAGGCAGACCCTTAAAATTAAAAACTACAAAACGCTATAAAAGTCATACCTGAATAAGCTCGGGAGCTGCATAGGCCGGTGAGCCACAACAAGTTGCCAAAGCCCTAAATCAAATATATTATCACATAACAACGACAAGGTTGTACTTTGACATCACTCCTGGTTTTGCACATAACCCAAAATCGATAATTTTCAAATGAAGATCTTCAGTGAGTAAAAGGTTTTCCTGAAGATTTATGTTTAGAAATTTGAAGAAAACAAATAAACAAACCGGTTTCAAATCGCGATGAGCAAAACCTTGGTGATGAATGTACGCAATACCTTGCACAAGTTGTCGAAAAAAGTGTCGTGCTTCGCTTTCTTCCAATCGTTCCTGGTAGAAATGTATTTAATAGTTAACCCATTTCATCTTACCTTTCTGACAATGTAATCAAACATTTCTCCTCCAGAGCAATACTAAATTAAAAGTTTAAGAAGTTCTTGCCATATCTTCTTACTTCCATAATCAGAAAAAACTTCTCGTCTGTCTCAATTGAATGATATAGCCGACATATATTTTGATGAGATAACGTTTTAAGAGCATCTAATTCGGCTCGAATACGCGGTAGATCATCCTTAAACAAAAAAAACGTTTAAAATTATGTAAAAAAACATTTACCCCAATAGCTTTCTTATCGATGATCTTGATGGCGACTTTTTGCTGCGTAAGAATGTGTGTAGCTAGTTTGACCTAAGTTTTAAAATAAGAATTATAGGACAGCAATAATACTTACTTTTCCAAATCCCCCAGATCCCAGTTCATCGTGCAAAAGATAAAGTCCATCAAGAACCGCGTAAGCTTTTGCTGTGGGAGTGTATACAGTTGAAAACATGTCTCGTCTGCCGCCTATCACTCTCTAAATAAAAAAATGTTATCATAGAACAACAGCTAACATTTTCTAGATCTAATTATTTGAGATCCAACTTTAAATTTCAAAAAGTGTAGTCTCCCGCAAAAGGGAAACTTTGTCCACGAAATAGTAAAGACAAAAGGGAAAGACTCACCCCTTGGAGAGATCCTTAATGACTTGTGATCGAAACGCCCAACCTATAATTTTATTCACTGAAGTAAAAGTGTTTGAATTAGAAAAGAGCATAAATAAATCTAACAATAACAAATTACAATTATCAAATAATCGTTTAGAAAGCAATGCTGTTTTAGTTACTTTACAAAAAGTCAAAATAAGATTCATCAAAATCGTCTTCAAAATCTGTTTCCACATCCGAGTCGCTTGATAAGGACAATATGGTGGTGTTTTGTGCCAAAAGTTCCACACAGTGCGTCGCCTCGCTCATCTCATTTTCCTCTCCTTTCAAACTCGGTGCTTGTTCTTCAACTTCAGACGCTTGATACGCGAGTTATTTGACTAAACAATTCATGCATGTAAAACGTTGACGAGTTTTTGAAGACGACAAGATGTTCAGCGAGCTTTCGAAGGGTTCCTAATGTTTGCTCCATTTTCTCTGTATCGCTCGTTGTTAGGTTTGTCGATGGCGTCGAAAGCCTCTTTTGTGTTCGCATCCTTTGTACGTTTTCAAACCAAGGCATTTGTTGGTTTTTTCGCCGCCACGTGTTTAAGTGCATTTGTACATGTGCAATGAGATCTGAACGCCCGCGTAGTTCTTTCAGGTTCTCAATATTTCGAGTTGAGTCTAGGGCAAAGAGTGGAAGGATCGTCGATGAGTGCTCGATAATGCCTTTTTGGTGTCGTAATTGTGCCATCATTGTTCTAGCCACCAATTCACTGTATTGCAGAGGCTTTGGCGATGGACCCAACAGCCGCTGCATCGCTCGAACCCGTCCTCTGTGGTCTTCCAAGTCGCTCACCATTTTGCCGATCCTCTTTTTGTAGTAGATCCGTGCCTCGTTCGGTGCCTGTTTGTATTCGATCCATTTTTCAAATCTGTGGCTCCGCAATGGTTGATTTGGAGGCCGGAGTGGAGCTGGTGGCCGAATTGGTGATCCGGCAGGCAAATTCAGCGACATCTGTATCTGAAAGCAAACAATTTCATTTGCGGTACTAAAATCAAAAAGAAATTGGAAAATAATCCAAATAGCGTAGAGGTAGGTAAGTAAAAAACATTTACCATAATACCTTTAATAGTAGCGCCCCCTCCGTACAGTCGCGTAGTCTAACACACAATTTTGTGACGCTCGGTTCTCCGCGCTGCTTCGATGAAAAATGTGCGCTTAGATATCAAAAGATAGCGCTTGAAGCGAAGAATTTTTTGGCACTAACAGTTTATTTTAGAAAAATCTGGGCGCTTTCAAAAAATTATTTACTTTAGCGACTACGCGACTGTACGTCATTATGGGGGGGGGGCGGGAGCGCTACTATTACAGGTATTACGGTAGTGACTTAGCTAGTGTCTAATAAGGAAAATAGGATAAATTTCCTCCTGCTAGCCTTGCTTTCCTGCAGTTTAATCCAAAAGTGCTTTGGTGCAACTTTTAGATTACCATATCAAATTCAAATTGGGAAGCTACGAAATGGAATAGGTAATTCATTTTATTTCGTACAATGGTGGAAAAAAAAAGTATTGAGTCCCCTGTTTTTACTTTTTGCTTCAAAAAAAATTTCTGAATTCGAACGGATTCAAGTTTTTTGAATCCGTTCTAAATTTCTAGAAACTAGAAGAACTAGATATGCTGCAATATTAAAGGATTAAATGTCTACTTATATTTATACAAATATGGGGCCTGGGCGGCTATTCCAGTAGAGTAGCGACCCAAAACTTCCAAAATGAATTGATTATGAACTGAAAAGTGAAGGTTTCCGGGTACCGTTTTGGGCGTCTTTTTGTCTCGTTTTGTGTTTTGCTTTTGCGACACCGCCATATTCTCCTGATTGCAATCCAATTGAACATTTGTCGGTCCATTTTAAAACGAGAATTACGTGGATATCGATTTACCTCCAAAGATGAGCTTTGGGATAAAGTACAAGAAATTTAGAAGTCGATTCAATTACCGACGCTTGAGAAATTAGGTACAAGCATGCCGAAATGAATGGAGGCGATCATTAAAGCCCGAGATGGCCCAACAAAATATTGAATTCTTTTTTCGACAGGGGGTAAATACTTTTTTTCGCCGGTTTTTGCAAATATTGTGTACATGTTTTTTCTCGTTAAATAAACTTTGCAATTCAAAAGTTTTTATAACAAGATGAAGCATAATTCTTCTAGTTTCTGGGAATTTAGAACGGATTCAAAAAACTCAATAGAAATTTTTTTTGAAGCAAAAAGTAAAAACAGTCCGGGGGAATCAATCTTATACTATTTTCCACTACTGTAGGTGCCCGATTTGAATGAAACACAAGGGTAATTTAAAAATATTCAGTTGGATCACAATGAACTGCCAAAACTCTTTGTGTTCAGTTAAAAATTTTCCAAAAACGGTTTCGTCTATAGCGAGTTTTTAGTTTTATACTGTTACACCCTTTCCTCGTTTTTCTTGCATCTTTTATTTCGCTCTTCTAATAGTAAACCCTTCCCCTCTTTCGCGACAAACTACGAGTATGTTCCTAAAAGACGCCTCGCCATCTATGCGTTCATTTCACTTTCTTACTTTGCCTTTTTTCAGATTCAAATGCTTTCTTGCTTAAATCGGATTGTTTCAGCTGTGCAAAGAAGAATCGTCGAGCCGAACCTCTTCAGAACTATTTCAACGACTGGAAGAAACAGAATGGCTGCAAATCATGGTGAGGTCTTTTTTCAAGCTTTTTGCAAGTCTTTTGTTTGAAAAGATTTTGAGAAAGTTCATTTATAAGAGGACGGTGTGTTATATAATTGCCTGAGAAAGGCTTTTTGTCTCTATAAATTTTCGTTGATTTAGAAGCTGACGAGGTGGCGCTGAAGCGTCTAGGCATCAAGGACCCAAAACAAGTCACCGAGCAACAATGGAAAGAGGTTAGAAATTTTTGCGTAAAAGTTTAATATCTTACTTTAACGTACATATTTACTGGTTCTTAAAATATGGAACTTTTGGGTCTTTCGATTAGTGACGTTCCGCTCTTTAAAAACACGGGTGAACCTAATCGCAACATTAACTTCATTTTTGCAAAGGGAAAGCTAACTTACAAAAAGCTTTGCTAATTATGTATTGAATTCATTGAATTTTTTAGGTTCTTCAACCTGAGGTGTACAACGTGACGCGAGAGGCGGGTACCGAACCGACTGGTGGACATTACGACAAGTTCTTTAGCAAAGGACGCTATGTGTGCATTTGTTGCGGTGCCGAGTTGTTTAGGTTCGTTAATTCATTAGCTATTAGCTAGTAGCTGTTCTGGGTTAACTGTTAAAGTTGAACCTTTTAGTTCCGAGTCAAAGTACTGGTCGGGTTGTGGCTGGCCAGCGTTCTCCAAGTCAGTCGACGAAGATTTCAACATCATACGGATTCGCGACAACGCATATGGAATGGAAAGAACGGAAGTTCGCTGTAAACAAGTAAATTTTTCAAAATGGCGTATTTTGTAAATCTTAGCGACTATTGCGATTGCAATTATCAATATTCAATACATATTTGATTCAAAATTGTATAATTCTATTGTGATTTTTTTTTAGTGTAACGCTCATCTTGGACACGTGTTTGACGATGGGCCGGTAGAAACTGGCGAACGGTATGTGCCTTTTAGCTTGTTGCTTTTATAAAATCCTTTAAAGTAGAATATTGTTAATAATTTAGTAAATGTTATACTTTTAGGTACTGTATCAATTCCGTGAGCATGAAATTCGAACCATTCTCCGAATAACAATTTCTTCAACTTTTGGTTTGCGTAAATTATATTTATTAGATTATCCGAAACTCATTCAAAATTATGTCGAACTTTTTTTACTTTCTACTCCATTTACGTAACTCGATTCCTTGCTTGTGTAAAATTTCCTTTGTTGTTTGGGTATCTGAAGTGCTGTACGTATGAAATAAATTATTCTTACTCTTACAGAGTTCAAGGAGTTAGAGACATAAAAATCATTTCTGCGCCAGAACGCAATCGAGTCAAGGTATTAGGTGGGAAAAGAACCCTCCAAGGAATAATACGCTTTCCTAAGCTGCTCTTATCAGCTTAAAAAAATTCCTCACGGATAATGGGCCATTAAACTGTAAAAACGCCTCGAATGTACATGAGTGACTTCATTTTTCTTTCTCAACAAACGCTCATTGAAAGAATTGAATGTTGTGGAGAGTCGTTCTATTTCTATTGTTGATTAGCACTGTGAATGCTGGTTTGTTTGTTGATAGGTTTTTATCAATAAAAAAATGTTTGTTTAGCACTTTGCGGAGCTCTACAGGGTGGCATTCCGGAATGTTCGAAACATACGATTGTAATAGTGGACGCTTCTTCATATCTACAAAATGAAGATTTGGCTGCGAAGGTTTGAGAAGAGCGGGATCACTTATTATATTTCAAATAGTACTACTGTATCATTGATTTGAATGTAACTAAATCGTCGTTGAGCTTTTGTAAAACTGGATCCAATTTATCCCACCCACTTTTAGCTCATCGACTTTACCAACAAAACTCTTTTGCCGAAATGGAGAGGCGATCAAAGGACCCAATTTTCTTTCGCAATTTATGGTATCAATCAAAAATAAGACATGTAAATGGCAACAGTTTCCAGGACTTGTTGATCGAACCGGTCTAACCTGCAAAGGTTACAGCACGCAGGGACAATCGGATCCCGAAATTGTGTGCAACGCGTTATCGAATTGGAAAGCGAATCTGGGAAGAGGTGTACTGGGAACAATCTCACTATTGGAGTTCATTTCGCAAGATTGATTGAATCAAAAATTGATTCTTTAGTATAGCCAACGATATCCACGAGTGCACGATCAAAGAAGAGAATCAGTACTACGATTTGGCGATTCTCTTCACAGCGAACAAGTGTTTTTTAAAGTTAAAATTGAAATTGTTGAAATTGCTTCAGCAATTTACCCGATATTCAAACATCTTCATGGTTTCCAAATGATCATCCAGTGATTGTTGTCAATTTGGGAAACGGGGATTTTAGGTAAAAGAGAAAGAGATCTGACTGCAAGAACCCCGTTTAGCTCATGGGTGGCAACGAAGCCAAAAGCGACAGCGATTCTTTGCAATGCAAACTCTTTTGATGACAGTCTTGCGTTCAGAATCATTGGTGCCTCGTGCGGAAATATCACCGGCAAGTGCAAGTTTACGAAAATAAGTTACATCCTCAGCCGCAAGTAGAGGCTTCATATAGATTGTAATCTATATGAAGTCTTTCATATCTTTTGATACATAGCTGTAATATCTTTAGATATTTCGTAGGATATTAAACTCTTATAAACTGAACAATTCGCATGAGTAATAGGGTTTGATGAGTGCAGCGGACCGATGACAACGACAACTCCCACCATCCAGCCACCAGTTGACGGAAATCTATGTGATTGTGATATCGCTCATTCCTGGAATGATGTCATGATCCTTGCTGATTCGTCGTCGGTTATGGGCGTTGATAGATATCATGAGGTTTGTGATGGAAAGCTTGATCAGGCGAACAAATTTGGAACTTGTACGGGATGTTCTCGCTTTCTAAAATACATGCGTTTGCGTAAACTGTATCAATCGTTCATCCCACCTTTCAGTTGGAAGCTTTCATTCAATCGGCTTTCACAAAAGCAACGATTGGTTCCGAAAAGACGAAAACTCGTGTCGGCGTAATCACTTACTCGGAAAATGTTTGTTTCGTCGAAGATCCAAACTGACAAGTGTTTAGGCAACACTTGTCGCACCTCTTGACGCGTTTAACACGACATTAGATTTCGTCTACAAGCAATGGCCTTATTTGGGTGGATCGGGGACAAATGTTTTGGGGTATGCTGTAGGAAAAAGAGATGGATTAAAGTTAGTTTCAGTGCATTGGATATGGCGTTGGATGAGTTTCAGAACAAGGGTCGATCCACCTCAAGAAAAGTGATCATCCTTGGTGCAAGTGCTTACAGGTATCAAGAGACTAAAGCGTTTTCTAAAAGCTGGCAAGAGTTACCTTGGTTTTAAAAATTCAACCTATTGGAAAAACCTGCCCCTCGCTCAAAAGTTTGAGTCGACTGATACTCAAAATGAGGCTTTGTTTTCACTAAAAATATGGTGAGGATTATGGTAGGGGTTACGGTAGCTTTTCTAGACTTTTCTAGACGATGTCTTTTAAAAATAATCCAAACGAAACAGTCTATTGTAAGCAAAACCAACACTTACCATTTGTTTAGAGAAGGAGACTATGACTCGCCACTCACTCAAGCACAAACATTTCAACGCAATTTTGGAGTGATCATTGTCATTGGTAAGTATAGACAATTTGATAAAATGATAGATTTTCAGCTGATGGCGACATTCATGGACAAGGAATTGCAGTGTTAAGCCAATTGGCCACTCCTGGTCTTCTCATCAACGCCACCACGGGGCTTTTCCCAGATTTCCACGATCTCACGCAAATGCTCTGCAATGGTAGGACTTGAAAATTGGATATGATGGGCAGTGTATTTTTCAGCAAACTGCTTCTGTCCCGGTCAACTTCAAAACCAAAAGAGTGCTTATTTCCAAGTGACACGAGATGGTGAATCATGGCCGTCAAGGGGATGTTATTGGGTAATCGAATGGAATCGTTAGACGTATAAATAGCTAGACTCTTCCTTTTAGCAATCAAATTTCTTCTAGCAATTCAATTTCTTTCCCAGGATTCCTCGTTGACCTCAATTCAAGCATTGGTCAGCAACACTTGCTCGAAACTCTCAGCTGGTGCTGGGGTTCCCGCTATGCCTGATACAATTGGCAAACAGAGAGGACTTCTTGCTGGTAATAAGTGTAGAATATCACCCTTGAACTACAGTATTCCACAGGCGCTCCCGTAAATCTCACAAAACCCTCCTTTTATCTCGGCTTGACAAAGAATACAAATGGAGAATGGGTGTGGGATGATCAAAAATCATATGTAAGCATGAGAATCAAATATAATCGTTAATCAACTGCAGAATGGTGGTGACATTTTGGGATCGGGTGATTGCGCCGTTCTTCAGCAAGGAACTGGTTAGTTTAAACTCAATGCTCACTTCATTGATAAGCCAAAACAATCATTATCCAATCATTTAGGTTTCAACTCAGTGATCAAAGCAGCTGACTGTCGCGATGGGGTTCTAAAATTTTAGCATTAAAGAGATCAAAACTCAATTCTAGAATTTCTACGCCTGCCAAACTCAGCCGTGCTCAACAACGAACTTTTGTGGATAAACGAAAGCTTTATTCACACGGTTACAAATTCACCTTATCACAACAAATGATAACTTTCGTTAATTTTCAGAGAATGCAATAAAACCTTTGTTATCCGACGTGAGTTCCTTTCTATTTTGTGATTCGCTCATCGCGAGCTTGAGTAACCGTCGGTGTCAGTGGAATGAGTAGCGGATCTTTGTACACCTGAATAAAAACATCAACAACATCTAGGTGTAAGACTTTTAGATAAATCTGTAAACCTACTTGTCGATTATTCTCAATGTGAAGCGCATGCATGGAAAGAGGACGAGTTTCTTCGTGAACCGAGAGAATCGCACGGACCGTCGACACTTCGTAACCCTTGACAAAGAGAAGAGCCGGTGGATTCGTCACAATAACCAACATCCTAAAAACAACATGTCATGGAAAATCTTCAAAATCACTCACTCATCATTAGTCGACTGTCGTGCAAACATGTAAAAAGCAGCGAGTCGTTGCATATATTGTTCCGGAGTTTCTTCACGAGGAAAATCCTTGACCGACAAGAAGGGACGATACGAGAGATCGATTGGATGACCTAGCTCCATGTGCTATATAAAGAACAGATTAGTTATCCATACAATTGAGAAGTAAACTAGCATATACCTGATTAGGAGTGAGCCAATACTTGGGCAGATCTTGTGATGAAAGCATCGGCCATTCGGCGAGAGCCGGCTCGATTCGAATTGAGACATGTGGAGCATTCAAACGATCGATCATTCCACTCGCCGTCTCAACGCAACGCAATTCTGGTGATGAGTAGATCTAAAATTTAGAGCTTTAAATCCAAACTTAACATTAACAAGTCATATATTTAGCAAAACCTTACCACATAAGGCATTTTTTCCAAGTTGTGCATTCCGAGTCCAATCAATCCGGCACAAACTTTTCCATGAACACTCAATGGAGGATCGCATCGATAATGCTCTCGAGGGCGGCTAAAGAAGAAGTACATTCTGAAAAAAAAGAACTAACCTTGGAAGGATCTGTGGCATGTTCATGTCGTACGGTTTATAGCGCTCGCCGCCACCTCGATAAGCGAAACGAAGCCACGTTGGAAAAGGCTAAAGAATTAAAAATTAAATCTTCCGCTCTATAAGTTTATCTTTTTAAAAAAAATTAATGATGAACTCACCGTATCCATACGTTCTCCATGAGTGATCGTCAAAAAGCACACGTTTCGTCCGGTGGTGAGCTGGGCGAGCAAGAGCGGGGTTCTAAAAAGGAAAGAGTAGGCAGCTCACACTTTAAACATTAGAAATTATATATTTAACACTCTTAAAATGCTAAAACTCATCTTGCACTCTGCGTTTTTTCCTCGGTCTTTTCCTCGTCGATCGATCCGTCCACCAATCTTCTAACTAAAGTAATAAATAAATGCAAGAAGCATTTTACCTAAATGATTAACACGTTGACGACATTGTCACCTGATGCTGTCTGACACATATTCGTTCGCCTGGGACATTGTCACCTGATGTCAGGTGACAGTACCAAAATTGATTTTTTGTGCATATTTATGTTTGCTGATGATGGATATTAAATAAGCAAGTAGGGTAGTATCTATATTCGACTTGGTCCCGGAAAATGTCACAATTTAGTTTCTAAAGCAACCCATCAGTAAATTTAGATTCAAAAATCAAAGTATGATCTATCAAAAACTATTTTCCTAAAGTAAAATATAATAAAAAATTTTCTCAAAAACCTTACCAGAATTTTGGCCGTCTTTGCCGGTAGATTTCGTCCCCATAGCGATTGTTGGAAATCGAATAGAAAAAAATTAAATGAAGGAGGGAGAATTTAAACGTGACGCTGTTGTTTATCCTAGTTTTAATATGCTAATTTGAGCATAAATGCCCATTTATGCATTTTTATATTCTTTTGAAGCTTTTTCCAAGCTTGATTACAATTTCTGATTTCAGTTGTTGAAGTTGGAAACGTTTAGTTCAACCCTCACCACCAGAGTGTCAAGAAACTTTAAAGTTTCAAGAAAAACCTCAACAAACCGATACCATCGTCGGTATACAAAAAATAAAAGGTCAAGAAAGAGAGAAAAGAAAGAAAAAGGGGGAAAGAGAAAGAGCGATCTGCCAAAGAATGGATGGGAAACAGGTTTGGGGTCTGTCTCCCCTCCCTCTCCACCTCCACCTCCTTTCTATTCAGCTTCAAAACTCGTCCATCCTTTCTCCACCTCACTCCTCCTTTCCTCCATCCGTCATTCATCCTGCTTATTTTTTCGATTCATAATCAATTCCTAAAAGCAATCAGTGTCTGGATTTTGGACTTTTGAATGAACCGGACTTTTGAATGAACATTTCTGTTTACTTTTTGGCTGAAAAGTTTCTCAAAACTATGTTTTAACTAATGAAATCGTTTGAAATTCGAGTTTTACAATGAATGGATTTCTGGTTCTTCTGGTTTTCAAAAGAATTTTTGATTCCAGTATAGATTCCAGTATAGATTCCAGGTTAAAATTCGTTCTTTTGGGTTTTTTTTACCTTTTTCCTCATCTTTGTTTTAATTACCTTTATATTCTTGAAAAATCTGTCTAATCCATGTTTCAGAATCCCCTTGTTCCGATGGGCTCTTGTGTTCATTGTCGTGTGGCTCTTCACTGTAAACGCCATGGAACCTATAAACTCGTTCATCGCGACAAGATCACTAGGTGAGGGTGAAGGGAAGGGAACCCATTCAAGCCAGCAATTCAAATCATTCAAATGATCAGATCAAAGTCTCCTTTTCTTCAGATATCTTTGGTTGAACGAACATGTTCTCACCCATTATCGACCATGCCATTTGCCGACGAGACTTTGTATTAGGAGGTGAGGGGGGAGTCCTTGAACTTGAATAAGTCTTGAGAGTTTTGTGACCTTTGATTGATAACTGAAAGTCCTTACAATTAGCTAATGCACAACACTGACAAACACTTTCGACTGACAATGAGAACTTATCAGTAGCTTGGTAAACTTAAAAGCTTAAATTTGAACGCGAAAATGATTAGAGTAAAATCTCGAGCTTTCTCAAAATACGCAAAATTTGAATGTAAACTTGATTATCGTACCTTCCAGTGAAAATTTCGATCAAGCTTTGCCAAAAATGATAACAGTTGGGTAGATCAGGTCAATTTGACTATTTTTTACTTCAGTACCCTTCATCTCACCAACGAAACGATCAATATTTGGTCTCATTTACTTGGATTTCTCTACTTTACATATTGTCAGGTAAACTATTGATAATAAATCAAAATAAGGAATGGCAAAGAAAGATTTTCGGGGAGGGGATTGAACCCTCGACCTCTGTCGCCCCTTTTTGCTTTCCGGGCAGATGTCCTAGCCGCTGAGCTATCCGGTATCTTCTTGCTAGAGAAGAAAGGGGAAAGAGGGGAAGAGAAAGGAAGAAAGAGAAAGAGAAAGAGCTTCATTTCAGCTTGATGCCAATTTACGTAAACTTCCGCTATTTGGCGCATCGAGGATCGATCATTATGTCATTTCATCGTCACTACTCGCCTCACAAGTAAAAAATAACGCAAAAAAATTTGTAGAAATGGTAGAAATGTCTGATTTATTCCCTTTCAGATGTGCATGCTCTTTTCCGCTCTTTACCACACGTTCGGCTGTCAATCGACTTCTCGAAGACGCAAATTTCTGAACCTCGACGTTTTCGGTATTTCGGCCGGTCTTCTCGGCATGTACCTCTCCGGGATTTACACAGCGTTTTACTGTTTTCAGGTAGAAAAATTAGAGATTCAAAAATGATCTCCAAACTCAGGACTGTCTTCAATCGTATCTCTATTTTCTGTTGGCTCTTCTATGCATTGCCGCCTATCTTCCATCAAAAAGGGAAAAGTTGCTTAAAAAGGTATTCAGTTTTAAAGCTTAATCTGAAAGCAACGAAGTCCAATTCAACCATTCCTCAAATCCATTCAGGGTTCCCGTGTTGGCCCGCTCCATTTGGTGTACTCAGCTCTTGTCCTAGCCGGTCTTCTCCCGACAATCCACTGGATTTCCATGCATGGCGGTATTTGGGGTCAACAAGTGCAGGTTGTAAAGATGAAATTGAAAATTTAATGATTAAAATTCTCTAGACCTGGCTTCCCAATATGATTGTTGTGTACGCATTGACAGGTGGCGCATTCTTCTTCTATGTGACGCTCATTCCAGAAAGTTTGTCACCAGGTGAGTCTTCAAAAGTACACAGAATACTTGATTCTTTTGATATCTTCTAAAATGCGTCCTTCGAGAGCTACCGTAATCTCTCTCTGTCTTGTCTCTACCGTAATCTTGTCTCTAGTTATACAATCATCGAGTTTGACATTTTCTGTATCATGGTTCTCATAGAGTCAATAAGTTGAACAAAAAACCAAGAGCAGGATTACGGTAGTTTTTGGTACGTTTTACAGACAGAGAAAAGCTACCATAACATAGCTAACCATGACTTTTCAGGCACATTCGATGTATGGGGCAGCAGTCATCAATGGTGGCACCTTCTCATCCTCGCTGCAATGGTTATCTGGCATCGAGCTGGGATGAATCATTTAGAATATCATTATCTTCATCGAGAATCTTGTCCATCACTCAATCCAATCACACCCATCGTTCATCATAATATTTCAAAGCCTTTAAGTTAAATATCTTGTTTTTCGATTCAACTTATCGTAGACGTTCTATTTTTCATATCATCGGCATAACTTTCTTTAGCATTTTTTTTAAAAATCCACATCAATGGTGCCTTTAAAATGATCTCATCCAGTAATTATTTGATTTTTAAAATAAATTTATTCAATCTGAGATCAAAAAAGCGTTTAAAATGCACTAGAAGAGACGCGGGAGGAGATCAGTGAAATATCAAGGAAAGAGAAGGCAATTTTTGAAGAAAATTTTGTATGACAAATATTCTACCCCAAAAAAACCGTAATCGTAAAAGAGAAAGAAAAAGAAAGAAATCATTAAAATCTATGTTCAAAACAAATATTCACAAGCGATTTAGCGGTTGAATTGGAGTCGGGAATTGGGGAACCTGAAAAAAGGTTTCATTACAAAGCTCAATCTGCTTACTAGGCTAATAGAGCTACCGTAAATACTGTAATAGTACCCCACCCCCCTCGTACAGTCGCGTAGTCGAAAAAGTTTTTTAGTATTTCATTTTTTTCAAAGTGCCCGTATTTTCAAAAATGCATCTTTGGTATCAAAAAATAGCTGAAATTCAGGGCTATTTTTTGATACCTAAGCGAGCATTCTAGCTTAAACCAGTGTCGAGAAAAACTCGTTCAAAGCTAGACTACGCAACACTCCGCACCGTCATTATGGGGGTGGGGTACTATTACAGTATTTACGGTATGCACAAAGTACTCTTTTTGGCTACAGTATGACAGAATAAGTCGATAAACTGTAGTGAGACAGAACATATCAAAAGTAGATTCTGTGATCAAATACAGAAACCAAAATTGATTCAAAAGAATCACTAGCTCAGAAAAACTAGCTTACTTTAACTATCAGATTAGCAGATGATCTAGCTTTAAATTATAATATATTCTATAACTTTATAGATATTAGGTTGGTAAAAAAGAATGAGCGTCGTGTTTGTTGATTTGTATTTTATTCACAGTAAAAGATTTAAATAGTTATTCATGGAAAGAGCGGTTCTTGCGCATCGTTTGAATATAATTTGTCTATGTTTACTTTGTTTTTTTTTACAAGAAAGAGTGTTTAGAAAATGTCGGACCAAAAATTTCGCTTGCGGGCCTGCTTGTGGTATGAATTTAAGCAAGGCAAATCGGCTGCTGAAGCTCATCGCGCTCTATCTCAAGTGTTTGACGAAGATGCTCTATCCGAAAGTCAGTGTAAACGATGTTCTCTGCGTGAACGTTGGCGACAAGTCATTGATGCAGATGGCGAATACCTTTTGGATTAATGTATTGTTATCTTGTTTTTATAATAAAATAAACTTTTAACGAAAACGCGCATTTCTTTTTTACCAACCTAATAATATAATTAAAAATAGCTTTAAACTCTTTCCCAACTCACCCCTTTCAATGTTTCAAGCAATCGTCGACTCTTGCTAGCGATTTCCTTATTCTGATGAGCGCATAATTGTTGAGCTCGATTGACAAGTTCCTCTCTTGGCTGAATAACTTTTACTTTACATTTATATCATTGCCTACCTTTGGTCCAAAGATACAATAATACAATGTGTGTGACGGATTGTGAAATGGATCTTTTATATGTGGAGAAATTGTCTCAATAGTCATTCCCAATGCTTCGACAGCTGATGTTGTGCAGAGAAGCCAGGTGACGGCTCGAACAAGGATCTAGAAATGATGAAAAATCGGCTACGCGACGCTCCTATAGGGGCTCTTATATTAGAATATTTACGGATAGATTTTTGTGGTTTTTCAATTCTACAGGGTGGCGCACAATTACCTGCACTCAGTTGAGATTCTCCTAGTGAAGAGTGAAGAGTCAATCAATTGTCAAACAAGTCAATCAATTGTCAAACAAGTCAATCAATTGTCAAACAAGTCAATCAATTGTCAAACAAGTCAATCAATTGTCAAACAAGTCAATCAATTGTCAAACAAGTCAATCAATTGTCAAACAAGTCAATCAATTCTCTTAGCGAAGAGTCAATCAATTGACCTAATTCTTTTTTTTATTATTAAATTGAATATTTCTCCTGCAATGTGTTTTCTGGATTTGATCAGAAAAGTTTCTAAACTTTTTGCTAGAGCGCTGTAAAGTTGCGACACGCATTTCCTGCGACAGAATCACAATTTTCTGGTTTTTGTGCCAGTTTTCAATGCCTCAAAATCCAAGAAATGCCTTCATTTACTCCTTTTTACTTATTATTTCCAAAATCTAGCTCATTTTTTACTAGAAAACAATGAATTTCGATTAAGAATCAAAGTTCAAAATTTGAATTTGAACTGAGTGCGGGTAATTGTGCGCCACCTTATACAATCATACCTCATCTTTATCTGTATCGAGAACCCTCAGCAAGCCAGTGACAGGTTTAGCTGCGAGGACATATGGCACCATATCCGGACAACAACTGATATTCAAAAGAAGACGCAATGCATGCATATTCACTTCTCCTCTTGTCCAAAGCCTGAATATTCTTTGGATGGATTTATCAATGATCTGAACCTTTGCAAACAAATGTGAATCGCTGGCTCGAACTGATCGATTTGCTCCTTGGTGATTTGGAGAGACAAGTTGGTCAACGCCTGAAATTTGGTTAAGACGAAAACTGGTTAAGCCTTAAGTTAAGACTAAAACTGGTACTGCTAAACGCAAGAATTTGTTTTCATTTTGAAACGCAATAATCAGACAGCTTTTGTCTCACCTGCATAGCCACAACTGCTTCAACTTCGTGATTTGTATGCGTGAGTCGGTTGACAATGATCGGAATCGCTGGTCGGACAAGATTCTATAAAAATAAAACGAAATTCAGAAATTTTCTCTCAACATACCAAGTTCTCAGTAGCGACGGCCATATTTGCAATGCATTGCAGCAGCATTAAACGAACAGGGCGAGGATATGATCGATCACCACCACTGAGTAACATTCCGACAACTCGACTCACTACAGACGCTTCTCGTAAGATTATCTGAAATTTGTAGTTGATAAGAACTTGTTGATCGATAGTCAATAGTTGTTCAAAAGTACATTGTTCAAAATTCAAAATCCTCAAGTTTGTAATTCTTAAATTAACCTGATTTGCAGTGTAAGCAGTAGCATTAGAGACCAATGTTAAAAGTGGGAGCAATAGATCAGCCTGTGGATCGAGAGCTGCTAAAGCGTGGACAACCTGCAATTGTACAACTCATTCATTTAAAAACCATTGCTGTTCATTGGCTTCATATTACGATCCATCTTACCTGTTTCGCATCGCCAATCGAGAGTAATTTCTGTTGTCGATGGAGTTTCTCAATTAATTCCTGAAAGTCTCTTGTTTTGTTGCATTCCTTTTGCTAACAAACTTTTAATCGATCGGATCCAAAAAATTCCGCTGATGGATTGACGATGATCCTCCATTCAGGCCTGTCTGATGGCCCCGGCTCATCAGTTGGCTCACATTGAGGAATCGCCTAGAACCTTTGTTTTAACTGTAAGCGTTTTGACCTAGATTAATTTCAAAGACATAATAGTATTAGAAAATGACTCTAATTATCCAGAAATACCTCCAATTTTCACCTGAAAAGTGCCTTTTCTCGGGCGAGCCACTTCTACCACAAAACCGCTTTGGCCTTGTCCCATTCAAGGAAACAATATATAAAACAATATATTGAAAATCGGAAATGTTTAAGGAAAAGATGTAGCTCTCGTCAATAATGGCATTCAGAAGTGGACGTGAGGATAAGCTGGTGGTTGAGAGGGAAAAGATGAGAACACTTCAGGAGAAGGGGAGAAAGGGATGGAGAGAAGGGGTGCCCACCCGATCAATTCTCCCTCTTTCACTCCTCAAAAAGAAAGAGGGAACATGCTCTTTAAAGAAAAGAGTAAAGAGAAAGAGCAACCAGTAGATTGTGAGAAGAAAAATATTGAGGAGACAGATGTCATTTCTGCCTTTTCTTGCACAATCTCGTTGAATCACTAATTTGATTCGAGTCTGATCGATCCCTTTTTGCCTTCCAGAAGATTGAGAATTTGATTTGCTTTCGAGAAAAACAGCGATATCACAGCGAGCTGGTCTTTGAATTGGTTTTCACCAATTCAAAGTGTTGTACTCACTTTTGGGCTGAGATCCTGTAGTCTAAGTATTTTGTCTTATTATAGTACGCTGAAATATAATAACAATTATTCAAGCTGGTTAACTGGTTAACTTTAGTTGAACTGGCTGGCTTAAACTGGTTAACTTTAGTTGAACTGGCTGGCTTAAACTGGTTAACTTTAGTTGAACTGGCTGGCTTAAACTGGTTAACTTTAGTTAAACAGAAGAGTTTGAAAGATACCGTAAATGCTATATTAGAACGGCATATCGTTCTATTTTTCACCTCCGGGTGTCATTCTATTTTTCACTTGAATGGCCACTGCGGATCACAAAAAAAGTATCCATTTCAAAAAAGTGTATGCCATTCAACAAGTATTTTATTAAAAGCATCAATTTTAACAAATCAAAACGCTATAATTTAGCCCATAATATCTAGCAGAATATCAAAATCGAAAAGATTCAAGTCATCCTTTTCCTCGGCACGTGTATCCAATCCTTGCAACAATTCGGCAATTTCTTGATCCAAACGAGCATCCTTCAATTTGGCAATTCCTAAAAACAGAAACAAATAAATTGCAACAAAACTACATAAGCAACCTGTTGGAATTGCTCCTTTTGGCTTAAAGCATTGAATGAGGTGATCTTCGGACCCAAGCGTTTCCTCGGAAGAAGGACATGTGGCTTAAGATTTTTACCATCCGGCCTGACACTCAACATTACCGAAATACACTCTTGTCATTCCCCGTAGTCAATACTCCGACCTCCTTTTTGCGTGTTCCCTCCACGTTATCTTCATTTTCACCTATTGCCTCCGTTGAGTCCTTCTCGGCTGTTCCTCGTAGACCCTCAAGTTGTTCATCATCACTGTTCTTGAAGAATTCTTCTTGTTCATCGTTTTCCCGTTGAGCTCAAAATTCTTCAAATCCATCGAGGGATCTCTCTTCAATTGATCCATACATAAAAAGAATAAATTATTGAAATATAATCGCAACAAAAAGTGACAGAGATAAATGTAATCTATGCTTGGCGCGAAAATGAAAAGAATGAGCTTTTGAAAATAGATTTCAAACGCTGCGTAGCTGCCCAGTTTGAATACAAATGAAAAATTCTATTTCAAATGTAAATGAAGTGTCGTTCTAAAACAACATTTACGGTAAGTATTAGTCCAGAATACCCTATTCCTCTAATAAAGCAGTCTTTCTGTTCGAAAGATTACGATACTTTTATTTCAGATTACGGATTACGGTATTGACAGATATTACTCGCCTACTCACTTCAAACTCTTTCAGTCGTGCCAAGCCCAAGAAATCGTCAATAAACACTCAAGACTTAAGTTCACGAAAAAGCGCATCTAGACACAACACAAGATCGATCAACAGTGAAAGCACACAAAGCAAACATCAAGTGGATTTGAGTAGCACGTGGCACGTGGCAATGATAGGATATTCTTTTGTAATATCAAATTGTAAATAGTTGATGTCTCACATGAATTTGGACTGTTTCCATTGATAAAGTTAAGTTGATTTAATTAACTTTGAGCTTAAAACAATGCTTTTCTCGTTTACTTATACACCTGAAATGAACATTCATCTTTATAGCGTACAGTAACACAATAGTGGGTGTTCGATAGGTATTACGGTAGTTCGTCTACTTTGAGATAAACTTTTCTTACGGGCTCCCGATTTTGTATGAGTTTTTTAGCAAAATTCGATCCATTCCACTTATTCGAGACGGTTTACATGGAAATGTTTGTATTTAAATGCACAATAGCAAATCAAAAGTGTCTGAAAGTACTATACTTTCCGTTTAGCAAAAAAAAAAATTTCGTTTTCATTCGATCAAGAAAAACTAATAGTCTAGCAACTTATTTGCGCTCATCCTTTTTAAAAAGTTTCGTCTCATAATAAAACTATTCCTGACCCAAAAGAACTCCAAAGATGAAACTACTGTAAATGTAGAGATGATCATATTTGTGCTTTCATTTCAGCCCTTCCAATACACTCCTCTTTGCATTCCTTTAGCGCCTTTTCATCGCCCCTAATAACGCCTATTTTTTCTATCACGTTCATGTTTCTTAATTAGCAAATAAATTTGTGTTAAGTCAGATTTTCAATGTATTCACTTTAGATAGAATGCAAGGAGATGGCGATAGTTCTTCTTCTGAGCTCATACCAAAGGAGGAAATCGATGAGAGAGGGCAATTGACTGAAGAGGTAAAGAGTTTGCGCCTTTAAAATGAAGCTAAGCTTAAATCAAAGTTTACTTGATAGATTTTATTAAAAGTATTTCTTTTTAGGATATCTTCCGCATGAAAAATTTAAACTTGAACCCGACCGGGTCACAAGCGGATCCGTCGATTGTTTCGCTTGCCGACTCTAGCAGCAACTTTGACGATCATGTAAGTTTTTAATAACTTACTTGTTTCGTAATGGTTTTTTTAATGAATAACACGTGTGGCTGACTGGTTAAGTGTCTTTTATCTTAATCGGAAGGTCGAGGGTTCGAACCCCACATGCGACATGGTCACCCCCTTCGGATTTCCTTTCCCTTCGGGTTGAGAGGTTTTCTGGAGGGCGGTCTGGTGGTTGTGGCCCCAGTTCTTTAAAGTGACAAGCCACTCCTTCATCGTCATCTTCCCTTCACCACCAAAAAAGCTATTTAGTTCCCCATTGAGCTTAGGGTTAGGGAGCCGTCTGTCATGACGTGGGTTAAGTTAAGATATAGCCTAGTATTGTGTGTGTCGTTGTATTCTGATTGATATATTTCGTGTATGCGATAAATTCACCACTGGTAGCCCCAGTCGGTATTTTTTAATCAAGTAGGAGCAGCGCTTTAGCTTGAAAATTCTATTTGCTTCCTGTCTGCAAATCCTGGCTTATATAATAAATTTAGGTAGCTGAGGAATATGACGAGCTTGAAGAAGCCAATACGGGTGGACAAGAGAAAACTGAACAACAACATACGGTTTGTTTCTATAGTTTACTTAAAAAAATTATTCCTGATGATTTTATGCAAATTTTTAGAACCGAATCCGTGGCGGATTTATGTTTGAGCGGCAGCTTCCTTTGCACTTTGAGCTTCCCGAGACAGGTAATCATCATGTATAGGCACTAAACTAAAAGTTTGCTTTTAGTTTCTGTGTTAAAATATCCACTCAGAATTCCGCCATGCCCGAAAGATCAAAAAGAAGCCGAGTGGAATGCGGCGTTTGAGGTATTTGGAGTTGCCAAATATTTAAACTCGATTTCTAGGATGCCACCGTGTATCTCGTTGGAACTGCCCATTTCAGCAAGGAAAGTCAAGAAGGTTTGTTTGTAAGGAAAGTATCAGCGTTTAAACTTTCAACTTTAGATGTCATCCGAACGATCCGTACAGTTCAACCAGATCTTGTGATGATCGAGCTTTGCCCTAGTCGAATCTCCATTCTCTCGATGGACGAACAAACCCTTCTCCGAGAAGCTAAAGATCTAAATTCACAAAAGATTCTCCAAACAATTAAACAAGTTTGTTAACAGTGCATTTGTTTTTTCAAAGTATATTTTTAGTCTGGAGTTGTTCAAGGAGTGTTGCACGTGTTACTCCTCTCAATGTCGGCTCATATCACAAGAGAATTATCTATGGCTCCGGGGGGAGAGTTTCGGGCAGCTCACAAGTAAATAACTTTATTTTCTAATACGTTTCAACCAAACAAACGTAATGTTTAACTTCAGGGGCGCCGTTGAAACAGACCAATGTCAGCTAATTCTTGGAGATCGACCCATTCAAATCACATTACAACGAGCGCTAGCTTCTTTGTCATTCTTCCAAAAGCTAAAGTAACTATTTTACGAATTCTACTGATATCTTTTTAAATTTAGATTTTTCTATCACATTCTCATTTCCCACAATTCGAAAATCACCCAAGAAGATGTTGAGAAATGCAAACAAAAAGACCTTTTGGAACAGCTTTTGGCCGAGGTGAGTTTAGTCACAGTCTCAATAATATGATTTGGGTTTAGATGGCTGGCGATTTTCCAAACCTGTCAAAGATTTTTGTTGATGAACGAGATGCTTACATGACGCATGCATTGCATACATTGCTTCAGCGACAAACAATGGCGAAGAGGTAATGTTTTGTTTACCGTTTTATAATATTATTGTTTATCTATTTTAGGAAGGCCTGGTCTTACACGAAATGCGCCTGGCAACCATTGCGAGTTGTTTCCGTTGTTGGAATTGGGCACATGCCTGGAATTGAAGCTCGGTGGGTATTTTCTGACTTAAAGATGACTGTTTATGACTGTTTAGATGGGGACAAGAGATCGACATCATGCCACTTATTGAAATACCAGCGCAATCGTTGTCTTCAAAAATTATAGGTATACAAAGTTTCTCTTTATTTTTGAAACAATAACCTATTTTAGGAGGTGCCTTCCGTTTGGCTTTCTGGGGTGCGATCGGTTACTGCACATATAGGGTGGGTGTTTTATCACTTGAATGCTCATTTCAAAGTCAATTTTTCAGGTTGGGCGTGCTGCGTATGTTCGACTCATTCCGCACTAATATTTATTTTGCAAATCTGTGTTTTTTAGAACTTTATTTGTTTCCAAATTCTTCTACGGTTTTACAATCTGTCATTTTAGTTACTAACTAGTCCTTTTCTATATTTTTTTATGGACATACGTGGATAAAGAATTTTCGGTGCATCTTCTTGAGATCCAAGGCTCAGTCCTTAATCATTTTGAAAAATATAAAATAAAAGACTTTTGAAAAATAATTTATATAGATGGAGTACTCAGAGGAAGATTGGGCTAGAGCCAGGGTTTCCCCGCCACTTCATCGTGTCCGAATGATAAGAAGACGAGAATTGGGACAGATCAGGCCTGGTTAGCTTAAAAAAAACCATTAAAATATTTCGATATCAGGAGCTGAGATTATTCATGCACGACGTGATTTCTTCAGAACGATTCCACTCGATCATATGGTTAGCTTTTCAATTATTTTCTGATCCAAATTTATTTATAGGTAACTGTTCTCGAGCGAAAGCAGACTTATCCAGTCGCTTGGTCTCCCGATGGCCGTTTTCTCGTTTGTTTCAACAAAACAATGCGAACTGTTCACATTCATCGATACATGGGAGTTGAGAAAGCCATTGGTCAGCCACCCGATGAGGCATTCAAAGTGAGAAGCTCAATCTTGCGAAAAAAGCTTTTATTTTCTAGAGGGTTCTTCCGATTGTTGGCGAGATGACACTTTATGGTCAATGGATGGGTGAGTTTTTATATTGTGATATTAATAACATTGTTAGTTATAAATTAATCATACAGCTGTGGAAAAAAGTATTTACAGCCCATGAGGAGGCAACTTCTCTTTCCAATAAAACAGGCTACCAACAGATAGCTCGTATTATTCCAAAATATATAGATACTTCAAGGTACACACTTGCGAAATAGAATTTGTCTATTTAGCAAATCGAATATAACGAGTTAAGCCTTTATATAAGTGACAAAAAAGGAAATTCTAGAAAAATAGCACGGGTGAAGACTCCCTCTACCATAGGCCGCAAATACGTTTTTTCCACTACTGTAAACATCGTTTCATTTATCTATTTAGCAAATGCACTTCTCGCAAAGGATTTCGCGCTTTTCACGGATGATTCGCAACATATTGTCGTTTGCGCAAGTGCACCGGTATGGTTGCTTTTGTTGTTTAAATTAATTATTGTTTTAGGTCGGCGATAACGTGAGCCTAAATGCCGTGTATCGAAACAACGAATCACTCAATTTGAGTCAAGGATTAGAACGATACGCTTTCATCGTCATAGACGTTCCGGTAGAGTTTTTGCAGGTTGGCATATTACTTCATTTTTAGCTCAACAATGGTGTATGTATTTTTTTAGAGAGTGGCTATGTGTGACGTCTATTCGTTTCCCGTCGACCGAATCCAACAAAATCAAGGCGTTTCAATGCGAGGTGATGATAATATGTTTGTAAGAATTTACAGTTCTTCTTTAGGCCGAACTCTTTCCGTGTTATCGTCACAACATCAACAAATTACGATTCTGAAAATCGATGAACGAGGAAAAATTGTTCCCTTGAAAACAATCGGACCATCAGTTCTAGAAGATGATGAAATATTTCTAAAGTATTTTTATAAACCTTAACAAGAGTAAACATTTGTTTAGAATTGAAAATGGGAACTTTGGACGAGCAACAGCTTTTTTGTCGGCATTCAAGCAAAAACTGTTCACGTTTCTTTACAAAAGATGCAAAGTAAGATTTTGGTTATTCTTGTGAGATAGTGTTTTTTTGCAGAATGAAGGCGACTTTCAAGTACATCTATTTCATCGTGCAATGGGATCGTTGAGGCGACAGAAAATGAGCAAAGCCCATCTTTTGGACGATCGCCATCTAATCATACGATTATCTGATGGTCAGTTTAAGAAATACAACATTACATTCTGGTATTTTTAGAAAATGGATTCAACAACTCTCAAAATCCGCCATTCTTCTCCGTAATCTTCGATTGGGTTTCAGGACAAGTCGTGCACGTGGGCTCTATCTAAAACTTCAAAATAATTTCTTGGATAGGTTTTTCACGTCACGGATTTTGTTGATAATCAATACTTCAAGTTTTTCGAAAGTTTTGCTGAAGAGATGACGGTATGTTGAAAAATTTTTGTGGGCTATCAAAAGGTAAATTTAGACGATAATCTTGCGAGAGAACCCATTTCCTTGGACGGCTTCCCATTGTGCGCCGGTGAATTTGATGTTCCGCAAGATCTGGGGCGATCTCGAGAAGCAACCGGAAGACGCCGTCGGGAATAGTAAATTAGAAAATTTTGATGGGGGTTTTTAATGAAAGAAACTTCCGATCGTCTTCTCGAATGTGTACGGCGATTGGTTAGGACGGCGCCGTGGGGATGTGCTGTACAACCGCAATCGAGGTTTGTTTTATAATCGCCATCCGTTTTACTTCTTTGTTTAGCCCATACCTTGACCCAACTCTATTCTTCATCGATGAAGTTGCTCTACAAGGAATCCTTCGAGGTCGTTTTGTTTCAAATCAAATCAGGTATTGAATATTTTACATACGTTTCAATTATTTTCTTTTTTAGTTGGAGAGTCCGAGCTGGTGCATCGACCCAACTACTCTTCTTTATGTCGGTTTCGAATGAAGGCTTCAGCTATGCGGCGACTCCCCATCAATTGTTATCGTTTCATCCCGAACACCCATTCGCTTTGTATATTGATCGTTCGAATCAATCGCTACCACTGGTATTTCATAATATTTAATAAATGTTAAAAAACTCTAGACGATGTTTCTACCATCGGGAATGCAATTAGATGGGAACACTTAACACGAGAGGACTGCCTTGATCGTGCTCTCGGCGTGGAATGGCTTCACTTAAGGTAAATTAAAGCTTCTATAAGACTATTGTCTAATTTTTATTTCTAGAGACTAAAGTGCAAGTGCAAATGGACGATCGACCCGTTAGTGAAGGGAAAAACGAAAGAAGACCTTTTTAAAATGTCAGTTTTATAAATATTTGTGTTTTTTGAATGTTTTTTTTTAATTGTTCTACAAACCGCAATCTTCTTTTCAACATAATAATGCAGATAATTGATTTGCTTTTAAGTATCGATGCAGCCATTTTTTTGCCTTACCAATTCCTGTCATCGATTGAGTTTCTTGATAATTTCGAGGTAATTATTTTGTAAATTCTTTTAAAAACCAATATATTAGAAAATTATCTGCTACAACGATGACTTCCAAACGGGTTTTTGACTTTCCTTCGGTTAGTGTGATGTTTTTGCTTTAATCGGTTTTATTCAGTATCTTCAACATGGATCTCCAATTTCTGCTGTATCAAATAAACCGATAATCGAAAGCGAACTACCAGATGCTGGTAAACTTAAATTTTTAAGTCGTAAAATCTTTCTACTTTTAGTTACCGTTCTAACCAAGCCAAAGTTTCTCGATACAACTCTTCCCCATGGAAAATGTTCCGTGTATTTAATTGGCAGCAATCACATTTCGATTAAATCTCAAAATGGTAAAATATTTTTGGAAATAACCGTTTCGATATTTTTGCTCAGATATCGAACGTACTATCAAAAGTGTAGACCCAAATGTGATTATGCTCGAGCTGTGCATCAAACGAACCGATATTTTATCGGATTATATTACGGAAGAACGATTTAAACAACCACAAAAGCAAAAGGTAACTATTATTTGTGAAGTAAGTTTATGTACGGACCAGACTATGCGTGTGATTTTTAAAAATTTTATTTCCTTTTGGCTAATACGCCTACTAATTGCTTTGAATTGATTGAATAGGAAAGGGATTGGCGGGAGAGACCGGAGATCTCGGTTTCTTTTGTGATTGCCCGCCACCATGTGCAAATAGTGGTTAACCCGCATAGACGGTCCAGTTACCCAGGTAACTACCGAAAAAGCTGAGTAATTGAGAAAAGAAATGCGTGAATAAGATTTTTCGATCGGGTAAAAACCTCATTGACTTTTAGGGAACGTTTGTCTCGACGATTTATTCAGCCATCAAGAATGCTCGAAAAACGGATGGTCGAGACTTTTGGGCTGCATACAGGTATTTTATATTTTATGGCATTCTGAGAATAGAGATTTTAGAGTTGCTAACAAAAATTGCCCTATCGTTTTGGGTGATCGTATAGGGGATATCAATAGACAACGACTTGCCTCTGTTATCACTTTTACTGAAGTGTTTCGGTGCGTTATAATTTGATCTCTTGGAAAATATTTATTTGTTTAGATATGTGACTTTATATTTAAAATGGATTTATAATGGAGGACTAAATCAGGAAAAGATTGATGACCGACTTTTGGAAAAGGCAAGTTCAAGTTTAGGATAAAATATGTTTTATCTTTAGCTTCAACAAGATTGTCCTCGAATGTGGAAAGTTTGGGTGAAAGAACGAGACGTTTACATGACATTCGTGCTGCAAACGCTTGTCAAGGAGTTGATTGGCAAAGAAAAGTAATAGAATTTAGCACAGAAATACATAAAATGATCATTTAGAAACAATCTCGACAATAGAAGTGCCTGGAGAATTGTGGCCGTCGTCGGGATGGGACACGTGAAAGGAATTTGTGAAAAGTATGTGTAAAATGAGGATTTACTATTTATTTTTGACTTTAGTTGGAATTCTACAGTAGTTCTTCCGCCTGATCTCATGGAAATGCCTCCATCATCCATTCAAGCTGAAATTTTGAGTAAGTTATTCAAAAACTATTTCATAAACTTATTTTTAGAAGTCTTGTCGTGGATCGGTCGCAAAGCAGCTATTATTTCGATTGTTTTATTTTTTGGATATTTGATTTTGTTGCATTTTATCAAGAAACTTATTGAAATTGTTGTTAATTTGGGGAAACCGTAATAAATCGTTTCAATAAACAAGAATTTTATTTAGAGTCAATGCGGATATCCGTAATTTTTTGGAAGAGGTTTCACGGGTTTTGTTGGTTTTTTTGAAGAAGAACTAAAGATTTTTAGAGATTCAAAAGATGGGCAAGAAGGAGACGTGGATTTTGTCGACCTCTTCGGTGTTTGAGGTACAAAAATAACGAAATTCCTTGTATAAACAACCAGTCAGAATTTCCGTAACTTCTCATCGTGGTTCGAGATTGAAAGGACTCGATTTGTCGGAGTTCTCTTTGGGAATCAATTGAGGGTAAGAATATGGGGAATTTGTGCATCTAGACAAGGCAGGATTAAATGCAAATTCATGTATAGAAATTGTTTTGCCTTGACAATGAATCCCGTGTACAAGGAAGAGAAACTCTTATTTCAAAAGCCATTTCAGATAGATGTGTGCCTATTTCTCTCCGACAATCACCTCAAGCAACACTTTTTCGAGTTTGTCACAAACTCACTAGCATCAGGTAATGCAAATCGATAACATAAACTCTAAACATTTTCTAGATCTAATATTTGCGGGGATTGTTGTCGTGAATGGACACGAGCCGGATACCGATATTTCGTATATGGGGACCGGTTTAGAAGTAGGTCGAAACCGAGTATTGATTCAGAACAATCCACAGATTCGCACAACACTTGAAACCCTTCAATCATCTGATTCGACTTTTTTCCTCAAATCCTACCCAAATATCATAGATCAATGGACTCAACCATCCGGGGTGACGCTGGTGTCAAATGTAAGCACAACAATTACACAAAGCTTAGAACTAAATTTGTCTATAAAACGTTTACCGTACTACCTGGTCTTGAATTCTACGAAACTTCTTTACCTAGGTCTGAAATTTAGGTGATGTTTGAAACGGTTTTACGACGTGGATTAGAGGAAAATGATATCAAAATGGCAACTGAGAAATTCGCGGCAGCCGCAGCTGAATTGATCTATCATCATAAGTAAAAGAATACCCATGCAAACTTGAGTACCCCAAAACTCTAGAGAATCTGACATTGTTCTCCAGGCGAATACGAAACACCCGAAATTTCTCGATGATATTTTGAAAGATAAACACACAGATCAGGTTCGAGAAAGTTGAAAACTATGGAAGTAAGAGATTTTAAACAGGATCGTCTCCGATTAACGTCATATCGACGAGTGTCGGCTCAAGATGAAGGCAATGGGGATGATCAGAAACATGTACCCATTTTGAAGGTACAAGCTGGTGAGTGGGCTTAAGCAGAAGTGTACTGTAAAAGAGAGAATCTAGGCGATATCGCGTTTCGACGCTTGAGAATGCCTCTTTGGATAACGGCCGCCGCCTATGGAGGAGATGGGTCCAATGAGGTAAACAAATGGATATCGGGAGTCAATGAATATTCAGGCTATTTCTATGAATATTCAAGATATTCACCTCAAATTGTTACCTCACACAAGTTCAAAGTTTAGTAACAGTACCGTGGTTTCAGTTGCAAATCCCTAGTGTCAGCTACAGTCTTCTCTAGAGACTCTATGCAAATTCCGGTCATATGCAAATTAAGTTAACAAGAGCCTGAGTCTTATCCAAGCTCTTAAATTGCTGCCAAATCTTTCTGGAAGACAACTCTTCAACAAAAACACTTTCTAGATCTATCTCCGCATCGAGGAGGCCATTCGCCGACGAATCTACAATGTTATGTATGTCATGATGAAAGGTTTCCGAAAAACGGTAATCAAAAAGAAATGACTCAAAAGTAAACCCATTTTCAGTACGATATCAGTGAGGTGGACTGTCGATGCTTTTTGCCCGCAAATCATTCGCGCATCTTGTCGATTGTGATGCCGAGATTGGCTGACAAAGAGCAACGTTTGTGAACAAAGATATGCGTGTACTTTGGGCTCAAGAATGTGGAAACTAAATAGCTCTGGGGCACTAGTTTTTTGCACTTTTCTCAATACATCAGCTCTCTGATAGAAGTGAGGTATTCAGTGCGGTAGAAAGGGTGCGTTTCAGAAAGGGTCGCGCGTAAAGTGCAAGCGTCCACACTGTGATCACTTTTCTCTAATATAATACACGAAACACGAAACCAACAAACACACACAATAAGGAATCGATGACAATGGATGGAGTTGTGCGTGTAGGTGAGGTATTCATTGCGTAAGTGTAAGTGAGGTATTCATTGCGACCCTTTCTGAAACGCACCCTTTCTAGCGCAATGAATACCTCACTTACACGTGAGGTGAGATGAAATGGGATAAGAAGATCGAATAAAAATGCATTGATAAGTAAATCATTGATAACTAAATCTGCTTTTTAGAAGAATGGCGCATTGAGATGCACAAGATCTTCAACTTACCCTCACGAGTTCCATGTCTTCGCTCACTTCAAGCCATCGATTTCAGTGCTCGGGCACATTTCTTGAGAACACCTCATTTATCAATCAAAAACTGTATTTGTTGAATATTTATTTATTTATATTAACATGTAGACAAAAAAACGGGAAGAATCACGACGGTGAAAGGAATGTATGATTACTATCACTACACACAACAAGGAATCGATGACAATGGATGGGGTTGTGCCTATAGGTGAGATCGAATCGAATAATCAAATCGAAATCGTATTATTACGAAATTCTAGAAGTCTTCAAACAATCTGGAGTTGGTATGTGCTGAATGGCTTCTTCGATAGACCGATCCCGTTGCATCGAGAGATACAAGAGGTTTGAGAGATACATTGACACGAGAAACTAAAAAAAATGACGACCTCTCCACTAAAAACGCTTCTAAATTGCTTCAAATCTGTCGGATTGACATGATCTATAGCTCAAAAAGTAGAGAATCTCAAGAGCCTTCGAATGAACTAAAGCACACCAAAAATATCAATGCTAAAGAAAGTTACAGTGGTTTGTAGTCTTGACTCGAAAAGGACCGTAGTCGAAACAGTCTACTGATAGATTGTGGTATAATTGCATATCCGCTAAGCAATATTTTTTCTCATTCTATCGAAATTGTCATGTGGTAACAATTTTTAAGTGTAATATTGAATTCAATGAAAAAAAACCGTACTTATTAGGCTCTTGTTCGAATTGAAGGCGAGGAATTGCGAGGGAAAAAATTCATCGGAAGCAAGCAATGGATTGGATCATTTGAGATCGGATATATTCTATCAGATGCTATTTCTGTTGATTGCTCATACATTGGTGAGTTGAGAATCTAAAGAAATAGAGCACTAGAACTTGGTTGGACTGGTAGAAAGTCATTTTCAAATTCTCTGAATGCTTTACATATTGTTTTCAAAATCAGTAAAATTTCAGCTCAATTCACGGATATCTCTGAGAAAGCTCGCGAGTTGCAGATTCATTTCGAGTCAGTTGGATCGCCAGTCATGATTGGTGAGTTGGGAAATGGAAAGGAAGAATCAATTAGATTTCTAAAGAGCAATTTGATTTCAAAAGATCTATTAGATTTCAAAAGATCTATTAGATTTCAAAAGATTAATTAGATTTCTAAAGATTAATTAGATTTCAAAAGATCTATTAGATTTCTAAAGATCAATTAGATTTCTAAAGATCAATTAGATTTCTAAAGATCAATTAGATTTCTAAAAATCTATTAGATTTCTAGAGATCAATTAGATTTATAAAGATCAATTAGATTTCTAAAGATCTATTAGATTTCAAAAGATCAATCAGATTTCAAAAGGCTAAAGAATTTCTCAAACAAATTACTGTTCATTCAATCAAAAGCTAATTCTTTACTTTAGGTGGTAACATGTTAGCGCACACGATTTTGGGCGTTGATTTCGACGAGAATACAGGCGAGTGTCGATTCCTCGTGCTTGATCCACATTATACTGGGATCGACGATGTGAATACGGTGATCAATAAAGGTTTGTGAGATAAAAGAAAGATAAGTAGGCACGGATTACGGGAAAGATTACGGCAACGTACCTAGTGCTCAATAAGCCATTAGTGTACAGTATCTTTAGCAGCATGCAGTAGCCAAGCCCATTCATCCACTGTACTGTACTTTACATCAAGTTACAGTAACCATCTGTTTTTATTTTCGAAATCCAGTCTTATCCCTTAAATTTCGGTTCCTATTTTGCAGTAAATTGATTGAAATTGATTGAAAATGATTGAAATCTATTGAAATTAATTGAAATTAATTGAAATTGATTGAAATTGATTGAAATTGATTGAAATTGATTGAAATTGATTGAAATTGATCGAAATTGATCGAAATTGATTGAAAATGATTGAAATTGATTCCAGGTTGGTGTGCTTGGAAGATGCCATCCTTTTGGAAGACAGGAATCGATCAAGGCGGGCAACCAATTCTATACAATATTGTTAAACCTCAATTGCCGACTAATATTATCTAAAGACAGAAATATCTAGCATTTATTTTTCAAGATTCGTCTTTCTTTTCAATCATTATTTTTATTCATTACCTAATCGTTATCTTTGTATTTGCGTGTCTGTGATATTCCATATCGTTCAATGATTGCTTGTGTTTTTAGGGATTTTCGTCTGAAATCTATTTCTAAAGTTTTTCGTTTCGTGGTTGATAAGTATAATAAATTATTTAAATGTTACAAGGGCCAAAGTTTAACTTGAATTTTCATGAATAGTGTTGGGTTTAATGTGTTGTGGTTTAATGAATAGTGTTGGGTTTAATGTGTTTAATATAGTGTTGGGTTTAATGTGTTTAATATAGTGTTGGGTTTAATGTGTTTAATATAGTGTTGGGTTTAATGTGTTTAATATAGTGTTGGGTTTAATGATCTGACCAGGATATAAGGGATCAAGATATAACGATATATTGGCCGATATTTCATTGGCATCTTTAGCTGAGTTTTAAGTAGAATGGTTTAAAACAGAACACAGCCGTATTTATGTCAAAGTAGTCGTGAGAGTTTAAATATAGCATTACTAATCAATATTCTTTTTTTAAAAATCATTCTCTTTAAATCCAACTTTGTATCCAGTATAGTTCTATGCAAAACCAAATAGAAGGTATGGTTATAGAAGGTATGGTTGTAGAAGGGTATGGTTGTAGAAGTGGTTGTAGAAGGTATGGTTGTAGAAGTGGTTATAGAAGGTATGGTTGTAGAAGGGTGGTTCTAGAAGGGTGTGGTTGTAGAAGTGGTTGTAGAAGTGGTTGTAGAAGGTATGGTTGTAGAAGGGTATGGTTGTAGAAGTTATGGTTGTAGAAGTTATGACTTTGTTTTTGTTAACTAGTTCTATCGTTCTATCGTTCTATCGTGTATCAACTTTCGGTATTTTATCAAAAAAACCAAGTACGATCAAGTAGAGATTATCATTATTCGAATACATATCATTCAGTAAAGATCGAAGCTAGTTAGATGCAAGGATTCTATCTGTCATGTATAGGTCAAAGCAGTAGGGAATGTTTCCCCAATGTGCACCCTTGAAGATCTCTTTCCCTTACAAACACCACAAGCACCACAGCACCACAAGCGCGAGAGAAAGATGAGAGACAAAAATCGATCCGGTTTCGGGTTTAGAGAGAAAAGGGGTGTTCAGTGAATGAGTCTTGTCCATTTTGTACCTCTCTCCCTCTTCTCCATCGCCGATTCCTCGTTTTCTCTCTCCCCTCCACCACTCCTCTTTTCTCTTTTCACCTCTTTGTAAGCACCGACCGATCTCCCCCCTTTTTCGTGTACGAATACGAACTCCGATCCTTCTTTTCTTCTTTCTCTTTTTCTTTTTTATTGAATATTTTAAAAACCCTTGTGAAATCAAGCATATTTCCCCATTTATCCAGAAAATAGCTCTATTTCTTTCTTTCTTTCTTTCTTGCTTTCTCTGAACTTCTTTCCAACCTTTGACCTCTACATCTATTTTTGGCGCTAAAGTCACCGTAGTTTCATAGTTTTACACTTTTTCGGCTGATTGTTAAAATGTTAAGGGTTAATAATCCTTTTAACTTGCATTTTGTTCTTTATAGATCTTTATCTTTACTAAAGCTCTTTATATTTTCATTTGCAAATTTTCTAGGCTATTGCCAAGGGTAGATTGAGCCCCCCTTAAAGCACACAGCCTCGATGGGCACAGAATTGGATGATTTACGGGCAGAGGCGATCCGGCTTGAAGCCGAACTCGAAAAGACAAGAGATTTGAATAGACAGGTAAAAAAAGAAAAAGAAGTAAAGGGTAATTTAAAATTTGAACAACTTTTTACGAAAACTTGGTTTTAAAATGACTCGCGAAAGGTATTCAACTAAAATTTTTAAAAATTAAAACCTTAATAAAATTATATTTAAAATCATCATAGCTTTTTATTTGGTTGACCTTTTAAGCTTTTAAGCTTTCTAGCTTTTAAGCTTTCTAGCTTTTAAGCTTTTAAGCTTTTAAGCTTTCTAGCTTTTAAGCTTTCTAGCTTTTAAGCTTTCTAGCTTTTAAGCTTTCTAGCTTTTCAGCCGGCACGCTACCAAAATCGATTTTCTTTTCAGTTTTTTTATTCATTCATGAAGTTTAAAGTAATCTCAAACAAAAATTTATAAACTTAATGTTCACATTTCCACTTAATGATTTCCAGGCAGCCGCCGCGGGTCTACAATTGCTCACCGAAAAAGAGGAGTTGACGAGTAAAGTGAATGTGCTTCAACAAGAGCTTGAGACGGCAAAACACGAGATCGATGTCCTGGCAAAGGTTTGAAAGATCTTGGAGATCTTGGAGGCCAGAAAGCTATTTTGGGTATAAAACTCAAATAATAAAATTCCATACATAAAGTTCTCTGAATCGAGCTTAGCGTTTTCTCGAAAGTAAAGAAATCCTGAATACGGGCCTTATTGAATTCTATCTAATTCTATCTACAGTTTTATCATAGAACTAATTGTAATATCAAGATCAAGGCAAGATGCAAGACTGCCATAAAGTTATTGTCATTGGCTATGAGAAGACATTGAGCTACTGATTCTAGATATTTTACTGCCATAGGCTGTAAGTCTGAATCTATGTATTAGATTGTGAGTCGCTCGGAGTAGGGCTCGTCCTAGGATCTGGCGAATTTTCGGGTCGGATAAGAGAGTCAGGCTTCGTTCTGGTCAAGCTTTAATCTGTGAAAATAGTAATGGGACAATAGCAAAACCATCCGTTAACCGATTAGTACCAAATTCTCAATTTTAGACTCTTGAGGAGTTCCAATCGAAACACAAAGCCGCCGCCAAATCCGACCTTCTCAACGAGGAGGCTTTATTGGCTGAAACGAGTGCAAAAGAAAGAGAATATCAAGAAAGAATTAATACATTGGAAGATGAATACAGACAAAAGACAAAGGTTTGAAATATAGATAGAATTGTAGAAAGAAATTTAGGAGCTTGAAAGCAACAAGAATGAGCTCGATCGTCTTCAGTTGATATACAATGAAGTGAGAGATGCGGTCAAGATTTTGGAAGAAGATGGAAGGAAATTGAAGAAAGAATTGAAAGATGTGAAAGAAAGCGAGCAGAGATTGAATGCAGATAGAGAAGACTTGGAATTGGAGAATATCGGGCTGCAAAAACAAGTGGCATCGCTGAAAAGTGGACAAGTCGAATTTGAATCAATGAAGATTACGTATAAAGAGAAAGATGAAGAAATTTACTTCTTGAAGGCTGCTTTGGAGGAGAATGAGAAGTTGAAGGCGATCGCCGTCAATCAAGTGAGTGAAAGGAAAAATTGTATAGATAGAAGCTAGTCAGCAGGAGTATGTAGAGAGGTTTCCTTTCCCCCCTTTTTCCCCTCTTTCTCCTGCCAAGTTAAGATACTGGATAGCTCAGTGGTTGGCCAGAAATCGACAGATCGAGGGTTCGATCCCCTCTCCGGCAATCGGCGTTTTCTTCCTTCATTACTTTATTAGCCGGAGCCAATAAAGCTCTAAGCTAGCCGAAAGAATTAACTTGGCTCTAAGCTATCAGAAGTTAGATATACCTACTAGATCTGCATGATCTTTAAACTCAAAATTGACATATCTAAACCCAGGCAAAAATTCCGATAAACTTCTTCCTTTTTCAGATGGAAGAAGCCCTATTAACAGCACAACAAGAACGTGAACAACGTTTAGCGATGAAGAGAGAATTGGAAGCGGCGAAAAACGCGGAACACATGAGCAGTCTAAACGATCTGATGCTCGGTTTTCAGAGAATGGGAAATGATGGAGGAAATGAGGACGAGCAATTCAATCAGCCGGCAGCTGGAGGGGATTTATTCTCGGAGCTGCAAGGATCCACTGATTCACGGGTAAGTTGAAAGAGCTTCATTTTTGGCAAATTCTAAATATTATAATGTGTTTAGGTGAAAGAACTCGAAACGATGAAGGATCGTTTGGAAGAAGAAGTGAAAACAGCTGAAAAGACGACAGTCGAGCTCGTGAAAGCGCTCAGCCAGAAGCTCAATCTTACACAAATCCAAGAATTAGATTTCAAACACGCAAGACAACAAAAGGAGATTGTATTGGAGAGATTGGACACATTGTTAAAGCAAGGAGCTGGTCCGGATGCTGACAAAAAAACTCAGGCATTGAAAGGAGATCTTCGGAGTCTTCTCTTGCTAGCTGGTGAGCGGAATGCCCAGCTAGCAGCCGCACAAGACATGATGATTTCTATTTCTGATTCACTTTATCAATTCTATCATCAATTAGCACAAAGTGCTGGGATACCAAATGATCGTCAAGTTGTGGATATCATGAAAAGATTGAGGCAATTAGCGAAAGAGAATGCTGAACAAGTGCCACACGTGAGTCTAGCGGATGAAGGTTTAGAGAGTGGAACGGAAACAGATCAAGGTGGAAGGACATCCATTCCGTTCAATGCGGCTAGATCTGTGCTAAATCCGTCATTTATTCGAGAAGTTGACGGGAAATTGGGAAACAAGGTGGCACAGATTGTTCAAGAGGGCGATTTGAGGCAGAGGATTGTGCACGATGAGCGGGCACCGATTGTCGAGACGTCGGAGAGTGTGGCAAAGATTGTGGCAGCGGTGAAGAGGATTGCGGAACAGACAATGAATACAAGAGTCGAAGCATCGGGACAAGAGACTGAGGAAGTGCTGCTGCAGAATATCAAGCTGCGATCGTTGCTCTCCACGAAGAGGTGAGAGGATTTGTGATCGAATTCAGAGAATTAGTTAACATAAAAGCTAGTTAGATTGATTGAATATCTTTAGCTCTTATATAAAGATTCCTTTAAAAGATATTCAATGAAGTTAAAAGATATTATGATATCGAAAACTTTCAGAGATCAAATCTCCACCCTCCGCACAGTGCTTAAATCAAACAAAATCACCGCCGAGACGGCGTTGAATAGTTTGAGAGAAAAATACGAAAGTGAGAAAAGATTATCGCATGATTTGATGGAAAAACAAAGGAGGGAATTGAAACAATTAAAGGTGAGCAAAAGGGAAATCAGAGGGAAAAGCAAAAGGAACATTTCAGGAAGACGCAGCCACTTTCGCTGCTCATAGAGCTTGTTTTACGGCTAGATGTGAGGAATTGCAGGCACAGGTTTGCATTTGATCCAATAGTTGGCTTTAATGTCAAACTATTAGCCTTAAAAACTATTGTATTGGGTTGTCCAGTTGTGAATGCGCGTTTCTACTATTTTGTAAATTTCTCAAGATATCGAACCATTCGAATATACCATTCGAAAGCTGAAGATCTCCTCTACATTTTGGAATAAAAAAGTTTTTGAATTCATTCAACTTTTTGGGAAATTGACTGCACAAAGGGAGAGGTCGTTTTCGAAAAAAAACCCATTCCAGCTGAGCTATCCCTCAAGTTTGATGGTGTAAAATAACCGCCCAGAAAAGAAAAGAGAAGTAAAGATGCTCTGAAATTGTTATATTTTTAAAAAAAGTTGTATTGATATATCTATTAGCCAAATATCAAACGGTTAACTCAATTTGAGCGGAGCCAAAACTTGATCCAAAGGCACCCTTCCATTTTTTGGCCACCTCTTCTATGCAGTCAATTTGCCCAAAAGCTGAACAAATTCAAAAACTTTTTATATCAAAATGTAGAGGAGATCTTGAGCTTTCGAATAATACTCATATATATCTTTTTCTTGCTTTCGATATCTTGAGAAATTTACAAAATAGTAAAAAACGCGCATTCATAACTGGACAACCCAATAGAAAGCTGTAGTACTTGGAATTTGATTTGATTAGTTTTAGTGTAAAAGTTGGATTTGATAAATCAGCTTTTAGGCTTTAAAAATCAGAAAAGTAATAGTTTTTGAGCTTTTTTTTGAAGATTGTTGTTTTTGAAGATTGTTGCTTTTGAGGATTTTTGTTTTTTAGCTTAGGTGATTGTCTTAGCAAAGCTAAAAAGATGAATTAAGCTGCAACACTTTATCTGCCGTATCTACTACAGCTTTTTTATTTTGTTATGACATCAATTTCAGGTCGATGAGCTAAAAGCCGAGAATAAAGCTATCGATGAAGAGAAGAAAACTTTAAATCAACTACTCCGAATGGCGATTCAACAAAAATTGGCGCTCACCCAGCGTTTAGAAGATGTCGAAGTGGATAGGGATAGAGCGAATTTTGGGAGACAACAACGGGCGCAACGACAACCGCCATTGAGGGGAGAGGCTCCCAGGGCTGTCAGGTGGAAATCATTGAACAAGAGATTCGATTTCATCGTTAGAACATAGAGAGTTAGAACATAGAGAAGTTAGGGACTTTTGCGGTACAGCTGAGCACAGTATCCCAGATTGATATACTTGAAATGACAAATTGTTTAGTAACAAGATCATCTTCAGGTACCCTGGTGGAAGTGGTGGTGGAGCGGGTGGAATAAGTCGTGGAGGGCTCAAAAGGGATCATCCGGCTGTTTGATTGAGCTCAATTTTCCTCAATATTTCTTTCAACTCAATTTCTCATACTCAGCGATCGCACGAGAGCTTTTTTTGCGTGTTAAGCACCTATTGTGTTTTCTAAAAGATGTACTTAAGAAGAAACGATCTGTAATGCTGTAGTTTTGCCGAATCTGGAATAGTTAGCTAGCTGGGTTAACTAGTTGCTAGTTAACTAGTAGCGAGAGGTCGAGGGTTCGAGCCCCGGCAGCGCACATTTTGATCTGCCCTAGTTTCAACTACAATAAAACCATCGTAGTGTCCCAGATACGGTAATTAAAAGCTACCGTATCTTAGCTACCATATTTTGCCAAGAAAAGACATCAAAAGTACATTAAACTGCTAGTTAACTAGTTATTGTAGTTGAAACTAGGGCAGATCAAAATGTGCGCTGCCGGAGCTCGAACCCTCGACCTCTAGCTTACCGGGTAACTGTGCTAAACATCACACCACAACGCACTTAATTTGCTTTCATCCAGAAGGGGTTAACCTTGTACGAGCACTGTTTATTCTCATCAAAACACAGCATAGCTTTTTCTAAAGATCATCTTTTAGAAAACAAATTGCCTATTCTATTACCCCATTTTTATTCGATATTCCCCGTTGCCTATCTTTAGCTCAATAATATGATATTTCTAATATATTTCTAGCTTTGTCATACATATTTCAACTGCTCATCATTTCGATTCCCAAAGTTGTGCCTTAAGGACTTTAAGAAAAGAAAAAAGAATTTTTCACGATACGGTTTAGCGGAAAACTTCATTGACCAATCAAATTTTGATTTTATTCACAACTATTCTTTTATTTTATTTATCTTTTATTCACAACTATTCATTATTTTATTATCATTTCTCATTATCCCAGAATTCTTCGGAGATTCTTTTGTTATTTTCCAAATCGATTCATTTTTCTTTTGAAATTTATGTGCAAAAAGGTGCAAAATAGTCGTTGCTTTCTTTTTATTTTCTTTGGAATTCAATTTTTTTTGATTTCCTATGAAAAATGGGAACCTTTAAGTACAGTAGACGAAAAGGAGAGTAGCTGTAGCTGTAGCTGTAGCTGTAGCTGTAGCTGTAGCTGTAGCTGTAGCTGTAGCTGTAGCTGTAGCTGTAGCTGTAGCTGGAAGAACTATAGCTTGAGAAAGAGTATGTATTGTAATAGATCGACTATCAATATTGTAGCTGAATTGTTGTATAAATCGAGTAAGAGTACTGTAGCTGGGACACTGTACAACTTGAGAAAGAGTACTGTAACTGTAGCAGAACAAGTTGATGAGGAGTGCTGTGGTTGGAGTCGTGTTTAAGTCGAAAATACTGTAGCTGAAGTGCTCCTGGTGCACTGAACGTTGTCAAGATGATTGTTTTCTAATAAGCTTTCTCTAAACCCATTAGTATACTGTAGAGTTTTACCTGAGGTTCCTATTTTCTTTTGTGTTGACTTTCATAAGGATTCTAGGTTTTTTGCTGATTAATGAATTAGAGTCTGAAGTGATGCGTTTTCTAGAATTGTGTTTAGAAAATCTACCGGCTACCGTAATATTGCTGTAATCTAAGGCTGCCGTAATATTGCCGAAAACTAAGGCTACTGTAATATTGTTGTAATCTAAGGCTACCGTAATATTGCTCTAATCTAGGGCTACTGTAATATTGCCCTAGTCTAAGGCTACTGTAATATTGCCCTAATCTGTGGCATAATATTTCCTTCATCTTCCATCCTACTTAACTAGCTTTCCAAATTATCTCCCTTTCTAGAAAACGCAGTACTCAGACTCGAATTCTATGAGCTTCACTATTTGATTGAATGTAAACCCTGTGGGTTCATCCTTTCCTTCATCATTTCACCTAGCTCATTTTTAACACTAAGCGTAACTTTTTTGGACACTACAATAAAATCTATGGGATTCATTGGATCTTCTATTTTGAAATTACAGTAAACAAATAAACATTACAGAGAAAAGCCACATCATTCAAACACTTACCGCTTTCTAGAAAAATCTCACTTTTCGACAATTATTCGGCAACTATCGTAATCTTACAAGCTAGGTTACGACAGTAATCTTACAATCTAGATTACGAGAGTAATCTTACAAGCTAGATTACGAGACACAGCTTTTCCAGAAAAAGAAAATAGTCAGGAAAGAGAAAAGTTTAAGAATTTTCATTATTTACTAGAAATTTTCTATTTTCTAGAGAATTTTCTAGACAAAAGCCCATAAAGCAACAATTTGAATAGAATCTCTAGATATTTCTTGTCTCAAATCTCGTTCTTTTATACATTATTAATCCGATTTTATCCATTTTTTTTACTTTCCCGACTTTTTTCTTTGATTTTTCCTCATGAAAAGATTTCTCTTGACGCAAGGGGAAAAACAAAAAAAGAATCACGGAAAAATTAGAGTGAAAAGATAAAAGAAAGATCGAGAAATCGAGAAATCGAAGAGAAAAAGAAGAGAAATCGGGAAATGGGCGATTTTTTTTTATATGTGAGCATTTTGTGTCTATCGGAGAATGGGGAAAAAGGGGAAGGGAGTTCTGGATTTGAAAGGGGAAAAAGTGAAAGAATATGAGGGGAATCGAGATGGGGAAAAGTCGGGGGGAAAGCTCACGTTTCGGTGGGCATTTTGCAGAGAAAATTTCGAGTATTCGGCGTAGAGATTGGTAGTGTTTTGGCTGAATATCGTTTAGTGTTTAGAGTACTGTAATTATCCAGTTATATTTACCTGTAGTACTCTAGCTACACTATTATTCTAAGATATGTCAATTTTCGAAGTTAGAGTAACCATTTCTCTAGTATTCAACCAATTTTCCACAAAGATTCAAAAGTAGCTATTAGGTGCATGCATAAGAAATGTGGATTTCAATATTTTCATAAATTTCCAACGACAGAAACCTGATATCGATGAATGTTATAAACTATTTGAAAGTTGTAAATCTCCTCTACAAAATAGGCTAAAACGTGTTCGAATTGATCGAACCATTGAAGGAATTTCGAGGGTGAAATGCGAGTGACCAAAAAAGGAATCGAGTCACTTTAGGGACAAGTTTAGTGTGGTCAAAATAGAGTTAGCTTCCAAAAATTGAAGATTTTAAAAAAAGGATAACTATATATGAATTCATTAAAAAAGTCTAACGGAAATGCATTGACAGAAATTTAGATAGAGCGTAAGTTCAAAACCCTCAGAATTTCCAACGATAGAAACCTGATATCGATGAATGTTATATATTAGGTTGCTGCAAAAGTCTTTTTCATTTTTTTCGTACTTCTTTTGAAAAATAACAAAGTCATCAATTAACCTATGGTTTGCTCTAAATGAAAAGTGTTTATTGTTCAATTTCCCATCTTTTTAAGTCAATTTGGGTTCACTTTCAAGCAAATTCGAGAGTGAAAACGGGTTTTTCATAAAAATCTATAAAAACCTCTATAAAGAAATTGGCTGAATCAATTTCTCTGAAAATCTGAAAAAATATCTAACTTTTTGTGCTCTATCTTTTATTTATTAACATCAAGATTGGTTTCCTTAGCTAAAGCGTCTAAAATGCATCATCGAGCCGTCGCCTTTTTTGACTACTCGACTTCAGGCTCTCAAAAAAATCTAGACATAAGACATTTTAAACTCGTTTTAATGTCATTTTGCAGAAAAATAATTGGCCTTTCGAATGCAATAAACCGTTGTTCAATTGGTGCATTTGTTACTTTTTAACGGAAGTACGAAAAAAATGAAAAAGACTTTTGCATCAACCTAATACTATTTGAAAGTTGTAAATCTCCTCTACAAAATAGGCTATAACGTGTTCGAATTGATTGAACCATTGAAGGAATTTCGAGGGCGAAATGCGAGTGACCAAAAAAGGGCACTTTTTGAAAACCCCACTTTCACAAGAGGTCAGTTTTGACTATATAGTGGAAAATGGCCTAAAATATCAATAAAACCGCCCTAAAATATCATTCAAAATAATGAAGAGTTGGGATCATTTCATGGGAAAACTTTGTTTCTATTTCTACAATATTTTTTCTTTTTTTGTGAAAAAGCCGGGTTTTTTTTTGACAATTTTGAGGGTTTTGAACTTACGCTCTATCTAAATTTCTGTCAATGCATTTCCGTTAGACTTTTTTAATGAATTCATATATAGTTATCCTTTTTTTTAAATCTTCAATTTTGGGAAGCTAACTCTATTTTGACCACACTAAACTTGTCCCTAAAGTGACTCGATTCCTTTTTTGGTCACTCGCCTTTCACCCTCGAAATTCCTTCAATGATTCGATCAATTCAAACACGTTTTAGCCTATTTTGTAGAGGAGATTTACAACTTTCAAATAGTTTATAACATTCATCGATATCAGGTTTCTGTCGTTGGAAATTTATGAAAATATTGAAATCCACATTTCTTATGCATGTACCTAATAGGGGAACTATGGGATTACGGTATTTTTCGAAAGTCGACATACCGTATTCCCTCTAATAGTAGTGCACCCTGAGCGTTGCCTAAATTGCTCGAAATCTCGAAAAGCGCTTATCAGAACCTGTTGATGTGAGGTCGGAAAATGTAGTTGACGATGAGATCTTGTGAGGGATTAGAGTGTTGAGCTTCGGTAAAAACCTAGAAACCGTAAAGAAACCGTAATAGTCATCAACTCGGCTCAACGGGGTGCACTACTATTAGAGAGAATACGGTATTTTAGAAAAGGCGTTAGTTAAAAGGAAAAACTCTATAGAACTCTATAGAATTGAAATCTCTATAACTATTTGAACAAATGGACTAATAAATGAATGAACGAACGAACGAACGAACGAACGAACGAACGAGCGAACGGACGAACGAACTAACAAACAAACAAACAAACAAACAAATCTAATCAACCTAATCGATCCAATGAATCCACCGTAACATTTCCATAGCTTTGACTCTGTTCAACCAATTCTAACATGAATCTAACGCCAAGTCTACCTGCTTTCACTTTGTATACTGTATATAACCGATTCACAATTAGATATACCCAAACTTCTGTATACTGAATATAGCTCTAATCCTCCGTAACATCATTTCAGACAACCTCATTTTCTCATCCATTTTTAACCTCTCGAAAATATTTTCAATATCCAATCAACACCCCATCCTCTTTCCATATATTTTTACAAAATCCACAAAAATTATGTTCCTCAAAACCTTCTATGGGATGTGAAATGGATGATTGAAAAATAAGAAAGAGAGAAAAGAGAGAAAAGAGAGAAAAGAGCACATTTGATGCCCTTTTTTTGCCCAACTGGACATATAGTTAGATGTGGATTCGATGAAGAGGGGAAAAGATGGAAAAGACTAGGAGAAATGAAGAGAGATTAGAGAAAAGAAGAAAGGAATGGCTTCTTTTCATCTTTTTTCTCATCATTTCTCTTTTCCCAACGAGATTCGATCGATGTCCCTCCCGGTGGAGTGTGCAATGGAAAGGAGAGGACTCCCGACCTCCTCGATTCCTTTCCTTTCCCCCATTTCTCTATGTCTCTTCTAGATCGAGCTTCTCTATTCTTTTCTCTCATTTCTATTCTTACACTGATATCTTTTCCTTATTCGTATTCCTTTCCAAACTCTTCCTTTCACTATTCCTCTAACGTTTTTATCCAACTTTCAACTGTCATCCCTACACTTTTCCCTTTCTTTCTCCATTCGATTTCTCTTCTTGCAAAACTTTCTATCTCATAGTCTCACTCTTGTCTATACCTTGCTCCTTTTTATACTTAAACACTTTCCCCAATCCACAACGAACTCTTCCCACTTCTCTCTGACTTGTTCTTCCCATCATCCCTCCTCCCGTTCCCCTCCCCGTTCACACCTCCTCATATTCTTTTCATCCCTTTGTCTTCTTTTTTTTTGTCTTCCTTTCCACATGGCCATCCTTTCATCTCCACTTTTCCCCTCAATTTACATGGCTACCACGTTTCTTTTTGTTTTTGGCGTTTTTCTTTCCAAATTAAAGATTCTCAAGAGGCTTGAGCCAATTATAAAATCTTATTGCTCTGTGCCTTCATTTTCATGATTGGCTAATGTTTTTTCTTGGAGTTCCTGTAAGTCTTGCTGTAAGATATTGGTTATCGTTTTTATTCGTTTGCAATGTTTGACCAATGGTCATGGATTCGCAAGGAGGCCATGGGAGTACTGGTGTTCGAACGGCATAAAATACCATTTGAATGGCGAAGCCCGATCAGTCCCTACCTTCTAAAAGGGAACAGCTATGTATCGGGAACGTGTGCCAGACGGCGAGCGATTACAAGGCCGCACAAAGAACATTTCCCCAGTGATTTTGCTCTTGCATTTTAAATAGTACAGAAAGAAGGTATTCAGCTGTAAATTTGTACTCGTGGGTTTTCGTGATCGAGGAATCGATTGGAGCTATTGATTTTCTTGAGTCTATCAATTAGAACATGAATTTTAGATCTAAACTTTTAGAGAAACTCGGACTTGAGGAATATTCATTCCTCATCTAGAATAAGTGTTGCAATTCCCTGAAATCAATGTTTTGGTTGTTTCAATCCATTTCTCTCTTTTCTATCGCTAACCATCACCTCTCTAACATACAGAGAGCACACAAATCAATGGTGGGGATGGGGGGAGGGTGTCCCGAAGGGAATGGGAGGAGGTGAACAGAGGAGTCTCCGCCCCTTTCACCCTCTCCCCTATCCCCATCCCCAACCCGATCGTGAGTCCGGAGAGCTCTGCCCCTTTCCCTTTTCCTATTCTTTTTCCCCAAAAGGGATCGATTGGTCCCTCCCCATTCCCTTTTTTCCCTTTTTCTTCCCGATTCTCTCATTGCTTTTCTCTGTTCCCTTCCCCTTTCCTTCCCCTTCCCTTCCCCTTCCCTTCCCCTTCCCTTCCCCTTTCCTTCCCCTTCCCTTCCCCTTCCCTTCCCCTTCCCTTCCCCTTCCCTTCCCCTTCCCTTCCCCTTTCCTTCCCCTTTCCTTCTCCTTTCCTTTCCTTATTGTACTACGTTGCGGCTTCCGAATCAATTAGTATCCCTGATCTGCTTTCGATGTTCGATATATCTTTCTATTTTTATCATGACTTTAGTTTATCTGCTTCTGTAGAATCTTTTTGTTAGACTCTAGAGTTGTAAATGTAGAGCTGAAAGTAAAGCTCTGATCTGAAAGCTTACAAAAGCAAAAAAAAGAAGCTCAGTCTACAGTTATTTTTGGTTTAATTCTTAGTTTTCCCATTCTGTGCCTTTATTAGATTGTTCTGTTCTTCTCTTCACTTTAATTTATGTCAAAAACAGCAAAAAAACTTTCTTTCCAACTTAATACTTGAGCTAACTGAATAGCTTTAAAATTTTTCAATCAAAGCTCAGCTAGCCTAGTTGGTTGAATATCTTTAGACTGAAGAGATTGCTGTATCTAGCAAGCTTCACTGATTGCTTCACTTCTCTTTTAGGCCAAGCTTAGACTCTAGCAAGAGCCAAGCCAAGCTTTTCTGCAAAACAAAAGAGATATACAGTATTTTAAAAGCATTTAACTTTCAAGATATTCAGTTATTGAATTTTTCACACATCTGAAGTTTCTTCTTTGAAAGTTTTGAAAACTGTTGAAAAATACAAAAAAATCACCGACGATTCTCAACAAAACCCATTAATTTTTTTTCATTTCATGAAACTTTCACAATCTTTTCCTATTAATGAAGTCTTTTCCCTTTTTTATTTCCAAGAGTTCTTTTCTCTGTTATCTCGATTCTGAAAAATCTAGTCTTTCCCTTTTTTTTTCTTCATTTATTTCTCTGCAAAGTCACCTCTTTCCCCCTCCCATTTACCGTAATTTTCATTTAAAATCCCCTGATTCACAAAACTTTTAAAGTTTCACAATGAAAACTGAAAAGCTCGTAAAATATTTCGTTATCTTTAATTTTGGTTATCGCTTTTTTTAAGATTTTTGAAAAGATTTTGTGGACTCTTTGCCTCTTTTAAATAGAAGATTTGGGGTAGGCTAATTTCCGCCATTTTATTTGCGCAACTGGGTCATTTGCGCAACTGGGTCTTTTGGACAACTGGGTTGTTTGCGCAACTCGCCATAACTTTCTTCTAAGTAGACCAATCTTTATGATTTTGGTTTCATTTTGTTGCACTTATTGAGATCTACAAAATGAAACCACAAATCATAAAGATTGGTCCACTTAACAGGAAGTTATGGCGAGTTGTGCAAAAGACCTAGTTGCACAAATGACCCAGTTGCGCAAAAAATTTCGCGCAAAGTAGCCTATCCCGAAGATTTTGAAAAATTAAATCAAATTTCGATTTAATACTAATTTTAAACAAAATTTTAGTTGAGATATGCAAAATATTCTTTTTATTACATTTCCATTACATTAGCCAGCCATTTTTCAATATTTTTTTAGATGCAAAATCTTTAGAAAGATTCACGTTTTCATTTTGATTTTCATTACAGATTACCATTACAGATTTCCGTTACAGATTTTCATTACAGATTTCCATTACAGATTCACTCCACCATCACCGATCATTTCATCGGTTTTTGTTCTGCTGAGTGAAAAGAGAGATTTGTCGAAAAGAAGGATTTCATCTATGGAATAGACGAAATCATTCTCTTTATAAAGAACATCGAATTGAAAAAAAGAAATTGAAACAATCACGACTTCTCAAAAACCCATTCATGTAAGTGAAAAGAAAATTGAAATTGAAACATTTAAACATTCATTTGTATTGAGCAAAATGAGCAAAATGAGCAAATTGAAATAGAGAAATATTAACCTGAACCTAAAATGTCAACCTAAACTTTGTTTTTGAAAAGTAGCAACATAAAGTCTTTCATTATTTAAACAAAATCTTGCTTTTGAAATATTCTGGGGAAATGTGGCCAAAATAGTGGCCAAAGAAATGACTAACTACCAAAACTACCGCTTTGTTCTCTTTGTCTTTGTTCTGAAAGCTAAAATTTAAAATCATTTGGCTTTATTTATGTAATCAATCAATCAGAAAAGAAGCCAAGAAGCAATACAAATTAAAATAACAAAAATCCATAGTCTAGTCAAAGTAATTGTCTCATCATTGGCCATTCAATTGTTTAATATCATATCGGCAATCCCCCAAGCTATGCCAAATAAATCTTAAGAGAATTGCTTGAGAAATCTTCATAAGAAAGAAAATTTTGTGATTTCTCAAAGTAATCTCTCATTGTTATTCTTGCAGATGAAGATGTCGGGCTTTGACATGGGTGGACTCTTTGCTCCACCACCGCCATTGATGGGTGTTCAGGTGAGGAAAAGTAATCAAGACATTACAATTCTACATACTATTAGATTATCAATAGTATATTTAAATATAGCTCTTTAAAAATGTCTTTAAACTTTCAAACTCTTGATTTTCAATCTCAACGATCTTTCAAGCTAATTGAAATGAAACCAATTAAAGCCTAAATTTCAGATCATTAAAAACTTGTTAAAAAAGACTAAAGATCTTCGAAAATTTCTGCTTTAGATAGATCTTTCATACCATTTAAGCAAATTTTACTCGTTTTTAAGAAGAATTTCTCCCGTTTACAGCTCCAAGGTGGCGTCTCGGCACCGCCAACTCCCCTCTGGCCTCCGCATCCATCCACCGCTCCCCACACACCCCTTCTCCCACCGTTGCAAAGTTTCCCGCAAAGTAAACCATAATAAAGAAGACTTTTCTAACAATCTTTTAAAGATTTGGCCACTTTTCACAACCTGAGTGCCCTTGGTGCTCTTCATGGATCGAACCTTCACGGATCAACTCCACCCACACCTTTCGCCGCCGCCACTCCACTTCCGGCTCTCGATTTGACCCCGAAACCACCAGATTCGATTAAGGGGTTCGTTTTCTGGACAGATCTAATCAAATACCAATAGTCAGATCTAGTCAGATCAGAAATCAGGTCCTAGCCTGGGGTTTCACTAAATTCGACCCACAAAAGTCCCTGGGCTCGTTAGAAGCCAGGATCGTTAGTTTTTGACCTGTATAACCAGCCGAGAACCCGTCTAGCGGTTTTCTAGCTAGATCTTTTGGGGCATCTAGCTAGATCTTTCTAGGTTTTCTAGCTAGATCCTAGTTGTCGCCGTGGGCACGCCTGTCTATGGCTTACACGATCCGGGTTCGACCCCGCGTAGTATCACTCTATTTTTGATTTTAAATGGTAAAACTTTATTAAGTTTTAAGATTTTAAAGAAAATTTCAGTTTTTTCTGACCCAAAGACAGCTGAGAAAGAGCTCATACAAACAGACACTGCTCTTTTAGATAGTAGATAATGCACAAGTTTAAGGTAGACATCTGATGTAATAGTGGAATGATCCGAACAAGTTCACTGACTTTACTGATTCATTTTCAGCTTCGGTTCACTCACCTGGTTGTCGTCGAAGGCTGGGCTGATCACGTGCAAAGACAAAATGTCTCAAGTGATCTCGTTCCAAATCAAAGATTTCTGTGATCAGCAACTCACCGATCTCACCAGTGTGCTCCGTGTCGGATTCACGCTCTTGTTTCAGGTTTCGGAAAGATTTCTGAAAAAGAAAAATGGCAAAATGGTGGTACAAGTCTATGATTTATCAGATCTTTTTGATTTTAGTGTCATTCGATTCAAGGGGAGATCATTTCCTATCAAATTAGACTAAAACCAGGCAGAGCTGCTAAGTGATACTCTAGCAAATGCTTTTTTTTCGACTATTCTATCTCTATGATCAAAAATGTTTTATCTAAGCAGAACTAAGCAGAACGAAGCAGAACTAAGCAGAACGAAGCAGAACGAAGCAGAACTAAGCAGAACTAAGCAGAACGAAGCAGAACGAAGCAGAACTAAGCAGAACGAAGCAGAACTAAGCAGAACGAAGCAGAACTAAGCAGAACTAAACTTCGTTTTTCTACAAAATTCAATAAAACTTCTTTAGGCAGCTCTCTCGGAAAGCAATGAGTACATCGCGACACTCGTTTCACCACTTTATGGACAGGTAGACATTTTTGTAGACGTTTTTATTTTTATACAGTAATCAAGTAGAGTAATACCTTGAAAGTATGTTAATTTACAATAGGAATTTATATTTCAGGAAGCGGAGACCGTTTTCCAGAATCAAGGCGAGGTGAATCTCGAGAAGTTGTCGCCGAGTCCACCAAATAGCAAAGATGCCTACAGGTAAACTTTCAATATTTTTATTAAGGATATTATCAGATCTGTTTGATTTTAGTGTCATTCGATTCAAGGGGAGATCATTTCCTATCAAATTAGACTAAAACCAGGCAGAGCTGATAAGTGATACTCTAGCAAATGCTTTTTTTTTCGACTACTCTATGATCTCTATGATCATAGAGTAGTCGAAAAAAAAAACATATCTATAACAGTTTATTCTTAAACTTAAATCATCAAATATGTATTTAAAAATCGATACTCAGTTGTGCCGAAGAAGCTCGAGCAATTCCGGCTCTTCTCGGCATCTTCCAGCGTCACTCGCTTCCACAGATTCAATTGAGCAGGTAGAGATTTGAAAAAAGGACAAAGAATTGTTGAAAATATTATTTAAATGTAAATTATAAGTTAAAATACGAATTCTAGCATGCATTCGCATATTTCATCATGCGGAGATGAGGAGCTTTTTCGCTATGTCGGCTCATCGTCGTTGAAAAGACGTCAATTCATTGAGCGTCGCACTCATCTCTTCAAATTAAACGCTGATGACACAATCTCGCTTCAGGTAAAGGAATTAGATCTAATCAAATATCATCGAATTCCTATAGAATATCTTAAAGCATATTTACTTACAAGAATTTTGTTTTATATATTGGGTTGGTGAATTGAAAATTGCCGGACTTTGAACTAAAATTTATTCAACATAAAACCATAAATTTATTCCAAATAATTTCCATTATTATTGACGACTTCTGCCTATTTTACAGCCAATTTGCGGATTCCTCTTTCGTAGTAGGATTTTGGTTTGTGTGTGAGACAAGTGTGAGACTCAAAAATGGAAGACTGGAGATGTCTCAGTTTGAGCACTTTCTTCAAAAGAAACCCATTTTGGTGTCAATAGAAAAGTTGTAGAGAATCAAAAATTAGGCTTATAGCCAAATTTCCAAAAAGATATACTTAGTAGTTTCGCTTAAAATGCAAGTTTTGTGAAAATTCGTAAATTTGGCATTTCTTGAAAACCAGTCTTTGAATCGTTCTGTAAATTTGGATACAAGCTTAATTTCTGATTCTCTACAACTTTTCCATTGACACCAAAATGGGTTTCTTTTGAAGAAAGTGCTCAAACTCTCACATATGACAATAGCCGGCAGTTTTCAATTCACCAACCCAATAGTATAGAAAGAAATTTAGCTATCAATTCCAACTTGGATTGAGTCTATCAATTCCAAATTCGATTTAATTCGTTCAAACTTTTAAATTTACAAATTTGAATTCTTAACTATTATTGAAGTTTAATTGTTTGAACAAATTCTTTTAGCCTCCATGGATCTATTCATGCGTTTGTCGTCTTGCTTCTCGTCTTCTTCGTCGTGGTGGAGCCACAGCGATTCAATCACTTTATGAATACTATTGCTCTCAAGAAATGCCGACTGAAATTCGTGAATCGATTGGAGAAGGTTTATTATAGAAATATAAAGATTTAGCTTAGAATTAAAGCTAAGTTCAAGTCAGTACAATAGCTAGTACCGATACCATAATCGATGGACAATTCTAACAAACCTTGATTCTAACAAACAATTCAGTTTGCATATACATAAAGTATAGATTTAGTTATAGATTTGTTAACTAGTTATTTATAGATTTAATAGATTTGTTAACTAGTTATTTATAGATTTAATAGATTTGTTAACTAGTTAGCTATCGTTTATCCATATCCATTTCCAGGAAAGCCCGAATTCCTTGGTTTAATCCAAGCTCATCCATGGATCTTTGCCTTATTCCCCAATCGTACTTATGTGTCCGTGCGTCGAAATCTTCCCCAATTTGACTATGGGGTTTTCATTAAACAGGTAAAAAAACTAGATTTTAACAATTTTATAAATAAGATTCAAATTCAAATCCAAATCCAAATCCAAATCAAAATCTCCTTTCAGACTTTCCCGGACAGTGACCTTTTCCGTCCTCCATCATCCCATTCACACTACACTCATCAAAATAATCCGGCTCGTGTTATCAGGTGAGATTTCTATTTAAATAGATCTCTATTCTCTTCTAAACTTTTAACACGAATGGAGGAATTGGATATTTTCTAATTCTAGATCATTGTCTCATCAACCAATCTCAACTGGTGGCCGTACTCCATCCGTGAACGCTTCTCGTCCACATTCCCTTTGGGAATCGCAAGCACAGATTGTTCCAACACCACTTTCCAGGTAAAAGTTTGATACTTTAAGTTAACACGGGTTTTAAAGACAACTTTTTGAGCTCATTTGGAAATATTCCCATTTCTAGCTCTGCTGCCGAGCAATGGTCTCCTCTATTCAACCAGAATATCGCTTGGCGTCCATCTCCAGCTCCATCAACTGCATCCCTTCTCACACAAACTCCAAATATGACAAAGGTTGAAGAAAACTATAAAAATTACAATCCAAAATCTCTAGGTCTTGATCTCAGCATCAACTCAAACCGGTAGCTCGTGGCCGGGCACTCTTGGTGAAGGGGAATGTTCATGTCGTTGCACTTGTGGAAGAGGTCCAATTCCTCCATCCGTCTTCACTGGAAATCATTTCACCACTCATCGCAATAGTGGTTTGTTATTCATTCTGGGTATCTTATTCTTTTCAAAGGTGGTGGATCGACGTCGCCTCCATCGCTTGAAAGTGGATCTCCAGGATCGCGCGGTCCATCGAGCCCTGTTCCACCCAGCAACAATATGCGGTAGATGATTAGCTCTAGATAAGCGACAAGGATAGAGAACTGGACATCCTAATCAGTTCTTTAAAGTATTCAAGTCTTTAGCTAGCCTTTAGCCTTTAGTTTCAACTTTTCCAGAACAGTTTCAACGTTAAGTTCACCGTAATTCTTGTCTACATTGAAGCTACGGTGTAGTACTTTCTCTCTATATTCTATATAGATAGAAAGTACTACACCGTAGCTTCAATATAGACAAGAATAAGGCAAAAACAAAGCTACAGCGCAAGACTAAAGGCTTTGAATAGTATCTAGAGATCTAGAGAGTTTCCTTAGAGCTTTCTTCAAATCCAAATTTTTAGCTACTATGATCCATTCGGCAGTAATGTTTTCGACATCAATCCACTCACCAATCTCACTCTGTAGATGAAAAACAAATCGAATTCTTCTCAATTTCATCAAAAAGATAAGCATTTTCGAGAATTTCAATCTTTTACTGCCACTCTCAACCAATTTGTCGCCTTTTTTTGAAGAGATTTCATGCTTTTCATTTGAGAGAAACGCACGGCATCTAGTGCACAAATTTTTCAAAACCTTCTGCGCTAGATCCGATGCGTTTAAGGGAAAATCTCTCTCTTTCACTCTTCATTTACAACAAAACAGACGGGAAAGTTCTCCCACAATCACTCAAAACCAATCCATTTTTGCATATTATTCACAGTGATACCAATGAAGAAATCAATTTCGAAATTTATGTGAACTCAAAAGAAATTGATTGACTTCAAAAATCGATTTTTATGTGTCGTGCGAATTTTTGTCTTAAATTGTTGCGAATCGCTCAAAACTCTTCAATCCACTTTTATTTTTTTTTTTCACATTTTCCCAATTCCCACATTTACACTGGCCTTATGATTGTTTACTCAGTGTTTTTACATTTGTATTGTAACTCAAATGGATCTAGATCTTCAGCCAGATCCATTTTGAGAATATTTATATGTTGTGTTTATTTTCTATTCATTGCTTTCAAATCGTTTAGTCACAGTCCAGTTTCAACCACGATTTCGAGTTCTCCAATTGCATTACGAAAAAAACACAGAGATTTTTGTGATTACTGGGGGAATCTAAGCAATCTTTTCTATCGTTTGAGCGTTAAATGTTTAGATTTCTCAATGATTGTTCGGGTTTTTAAAGGTGACTTTTAGGGAGGGAATGGGTTAGGGAAATGGTGCTGGGTACGGTCTATTCCACAGTACTTTTAGTACTAGAAAGCTACGGTAGTACTCTATTTTATTCTTTGAGTTGGATTTGAAAGACTTATCTCGAAGACAAGGATACCTATAGGATATTTATAGACTTATCTATAGACTTATCTATAGAACAAGGACCTGTCCTTTCCTTGTAGTTAAGTAAATGGATTTTGATCTGTTATCAGTAATAGAAACCTCCATACAGTACCATTCCCCAGCCCTTTCTGAGTCCAACCCTCACCCATCTCCACTCCCATTCATACGGCCATTACTTTCACCGGCTCAGGCTTTTCTCTCCTCTCTCTCTATCGCAATACCCTTTCCCATTTCAATATTTGTTTTTTTCATATTTGATATTGATTATTTCTGGGTCAATCAATCGCCCCGCGACAAATCTCAGCCAATCGCACAGTACACGTTGAATACACGGTAATTGTCATTCTCTTTTCTCCATGTAATCCTTTCTTCTCCAAAATTCTCCGGTTAGCCTTTTCTCGTAAATCTTTCAATTCAACACGTGTTCTTATCACTTTAGCAAGACCCAATCCATTGACAATACTTTTTTTTCTCTATTTTGCTCTCTTTTTTCCATTTCTTGCCAAGAATGAAGACAGACTTTAGCTTAATTTTGCAAAGAAGCCAGGGAAATAGGCTTACAACTGTACTGGCTTAGTTACAGTACTCAAAAGATAATGGCTTAATCTTTCTGGCTAAATTTGGGTACAGTTCCCATAAAAGCCTACCTTATCCAGTGATTACTGTATCTTTGAAGCTCTATGGATTCTATTACAGAATCCTGAAAGCTTACAGTGACCCTGAAGGCCTATAGGGTCGCTACAGTACTCCGAAGACCTACAAAGCTACAGTACCAGCCTACAAAGGCATCAAGGTTACTGTAGACCTGTAGACTTTAGGGTACTGTACAGTACAGTACAGTAAAGTAAGCCGGTTCTAAAAGCCACCAAGCTTTTAGCAGATACAGTACCCGTTTCTCTGGCTATCCTGGCTACCGTACTCAATTTCCCCCTCTTATATTTCTTCTCAACTACGTGTCGGTCGCTAGTCGTTTTCCCCAGCTCTTCTCAAATTTCACAATCACAATCCACTCCCATCCCCCCTCCCAAATCTGCTTGTTCTACGGAGCTTTCACGACAAAATTCTACATTTATTCTTTTTTTGTGTTAATCTTTTTAAGCCAAAGTGTTTTTTGATCGTTTTTATGCCCTTTTCTTTGTGTGAATTGATGGTGATGTTCGACGAAAAGATTCAGGTTCTAATTTCCCCTTTTTTTTCTCAACTTCTCAACTTCTTCCCAATCCAAAACACAGTGATTATGCACCGAATTGTCGATAAGTCTTTCCCCTGAGAAATGGAAACAAATACTTGAGTTTTTTTTTGCTTAAAGATGGTTGCTTGTTGGGTTAATGTAGCCTTATTACTGGCTACAGTATCCCTGGAGCCTGTGGATCATCAGGGATTCCCTTAAAAGTTACAGTACTTGGCTGGATTTCAAATGAAACCTAGGGATCCTGAAAACGCTAGGGATCTAGTGCAGTTAAAGATCTTGATTTCATGTACTGTTTTTGAATTCGTAGTATTACTGTATCACAGTACCAATACAAGTACAGTGTTTTCTAAACAATTGAAAAGCTAACGTAATCTTGCTTCCAAATTGTCAACCCTTTTACCCAAAGCATACCGGTACTTGTAAGCCAAAAGTCTTCCAGTTAGTGCACCAGGTCCCTTGCTTTTCCACAAATCTCCCCAACAAGCAATCAAACCCTTTCAACCCACTTTATATAACACCGATTAATAGATTATCATTCGATTTTCTCTATAAATCGGTTTCGGCCTCTTCCCCCGAATTTCTTCATTTTTCTGTATCTCTCTAATTTGTGTGCTGTATTAGACAAAGAAATGGATTCACTCAACTTCATTCAAATGATCAATTTTGCTTGCAATTATAGCCTTTTGCCTCATGATAATTGTGCCAAAAACTTTCTTTTCAATTAGAGACTAGATTTCTTTATTTCTTTGAGGTGATCTTGAAATGGAGATTGAACCTGGCTTTGAATCCAATCAATCAATCAATTATCGACCATTCCAGGGTCATCATTGGTTCTCTTTTGAGCCAATTTACGGGAAACACTTGGTAAGATTTGATTGTTTAGTTTGTTAACTGAATATCTCAAGCTGATTTTTCTGCTATGACTTCAGAGGATTCAAAAAAAGATTCTTCTCGCGTTTCCTAAAAGTAACAGTACTAGAATACTTTGAGTACTCGAAAGTACTCGAAACTTTCATGGTAACGAATAGATCTTAGATGTGAGCTTTGAAAATTAAAAGCAAAAGCAGTACGAGTTGCAAAAGCCTACCAGTTGCAAAAGCATTACCAGTTGCAAAAGCATTACCAATAGTAAAAGCAGTACTTTCCAGTATTTAAACTACAATAGTACAAGTGATAGTAACCCATTGAATCCATTAAACCTCTAAACCAAACTAGATTCACAAAAGCTAGTCAGCTTCGAGAAGCCAGCTCTTGTAGAGCTAAGAAAAGCTGATTCAAACGCCTGTGTTTCCCCAATCATTCATTGATCGCAATTTATTGCCATCATCATTCCCAGAAAGTCACTTACACGTGTCTTTGCTCATCGTTTCCATTTTTTTCCCAATCCATTGTGCTTTATATTCTTCTCTTTTCATAATCTTAATCCCAAAAAAAATCCAAAAAAAAAATCTCGACTTCACTTTTACTTTTTACGTTACTTTTTTTTTGTCATTGATTTTTAGAAATTTTATCGGAGAGTGCATTCAAACATTCATCGACCAAAGTTCAGTTCTTTTTAAGGTCTAAATATTCGTTCTCTCAATCAATAATATCGTTCTCTCATCCAAACCATAAATAATCATAATCGAGAATCAATTCGCTTCACTATTTCACAATTGTTGGTGATTAAAATTTGGGGAAAAAAATGGTGGAATTGAACATTGGTTTACTTGCACAGTTCACTTAGCATTAAAAGCCTTGGTCACTCAACTCACTCCCGCTTTTCTAATCCAAATCCAGGTTTGAGTGTATTTCACCCTCTTCCAGCTCATCTTTTTCTAAAAAATGTCAACTTTCGAAAACTATCGTAACATTGTGAAGGAAGCCACCGTACTCTTGGCTCTACTTCTGTGAAAGATCATGGGAACCTATAATCAAGATTATGGTACCTTTAGACACGTTTTAGAGAAAGCTATATTTGAAAGAAACACTCTAATCTGTACCCTTTTACCCATCATTTCTCAAACCGAATTGCCTCAATTTCCCACAAAAAAAAACTGTCAAAAGCATATCGTCGCTTCGTCAAATTGCCCCCTTTTCTCCCGTTATCGATTTCATTTCTCGAGTTGCAATTTCAACACTTTCCCTATCTTTTTTTTTCATTCAATGTTCAGGTTTTCCATTGTTCACTATTTTGTGTCCTTTTTTTTCATCGTTTGCCTTTATAAAATGGGAAATTCGGTCGCTAAATTGTGTCCTTTCAGAAAAAAAAACAAGTCGATGGTTGTCTTATGGAAAAGTTTGTGAAATAGAATTTGGCAATGGATACTGTAGTAGTGGCTCATCTACAAAACAGGATTACGATACTATAGACAAAATTGGATACCGTAGTACTGGCAGCGGATAGTCAGTGAAGAGTTAGAAGGATGGAAGTAGTTGTCTTGTACAATAGGCACTGGAAAGGTCCATCGTTGAGAATTCAGCAACTGCCTTAATTCACTCAATGTTTCATTCATTGAATACAATATCCTTCATGGATTACGGTACCATCTTTTAAACCTTTTTCTTCTTACCTACAGTACCCTGGCTACGGTATCACTGTTGCCATCTATTTCATGATCTACCGTAACTCTAATCTCGTCTTGTCTTGTCTTGTCTTACAGTACCCCTTTCAACTCCATTCAGGGCTCATCTCCTATCTTTTTTTCCTTTTCTAAATATTCATTGAAACCATTGTGATATGATTGAGAATCTTTTTCAAAGTGTATTCACATTTTGCTTTCATTTTTTGTTCTTTTGCATTCATTGCATTTGTGTTCAAGCTATGATTGAGCTTTTCCCCTGTATGACCGCTATAAAATGTAAATTTAGCGCCAGTCCCTCAATTTTTTTCTTTTTCCCAGTCTTTTTCTTGGTAACATTTAATTTGTATTTCGTAGTCTGCAAAAGAGATTGAAATTTCTTTTTTTTCTTTTTTTTCTTTGTTTTCTTTTCTATTGTTGCCATATGGCTTTTTTAAGTAAATTCTTTTTTTCTGTAGTTTTTTCTCTTGTTTTCTCTTCTCTCACATCCAAATTCAATAATCAACGAGCTATGTCGTGTATTTTGCCATCATCATAATCAATAAACGGTTCACTTTGAGAGATTTGCTTTGATAAAAACACAGAACAAGAATAGCATCAGAAATTCCTGGGTTTTTTTTACCTCTCTTCTATTGATCGCTAATCTTATTTTTTGATTTCTTTGAAGGTTTCTTGAGAACCCGATGGTCATCTTCAACATGTCATTTTGTCCTTCGTCAAAAAAAGGTTCCAGTCAAAGAGATATCATCGTTTTAAGAAAAATTACTTTTCTTTGAAAGATGAGCCGAGCCCGGTGATTTCGATGAAACAGCTCTTGTCAATCTTTTCCAAATCGATAAAAATAATCAGCGAGTCTTCTGGGAGAACAACTTCAGATTTCTTATACAAGAATTGAACAACACCTCAATTCAATGGGCTATGCCTCTAAATTTGAGTTCCGCATATGACTGATGTGATCTGGCAGCATCCCTCAATCTCGGCTGCCCTTCTTTCTAGAACCAATATTCTTTTATTCCACATATTCTTACTGATGATGAAAAGTGGGTATTATATTCCAATTATTGAAGACAAAAGCAAGGAATTGGACCCGAAGAAAAAGCAAAACCTTAGCCGAAGTCTCCACCCGAAGGAGAAAATGTTCGGATTTTTAAAGGTGACTGTTTAGGGAGGGAATGGGTTAGGGAAATGGTACTGGGTACGGTCCATTCAACAGTACTTTTAGTACTAGAAAGCTAAGGTAGTACTCTATTCTATTCTACAATAGTCCTAAAGAACTATAGAAGGTTTGGTGTTGTATAAACACAAGGATACATGTTAAATTTGAATCTCTAGTTAGGATATCTTTAGTACTAATAGGTCTTCTAACAGGTTCAAGTCTAGCCCTAATCTTAAACTTTAAGTTGATTGAGTGACTTATCTATAGAAGATACTTAATTCGTATTCAAATTCAATTCAAAGCTGGCTTTGTGCCTTAGGAATTGAGTTGGATTTGAAAGACTTATCTATAGAACAAGGATATCTATAGGATATTTATAGACTTCTCTATAGACTTATCTATAGAACCAGGACCTGTTCTTTGCTTGTAGTTAAGTAAATGGATTTTGATCTGATATCAGTAATAGAAACCTCAGTACTGTGGATATATCCAAACAGTGCCATTCCCCAGCCCTTTCTGAGTCCTAGTTAGGATATCTTTAGTACTAATAGGTCTTCTAACAGGTTCAAGTTTAGCCTTAATCTTAAACTTTAAGTTGAAGGGTTGCCTCACCCATCTCCACTCCCATTCATACGGCCATCACTTTCACCGGCTCAGGCTTTTCTCTCCTCTCTCTATCGCAATACCCTTTCCCATTTCAATATTTGTTTTTTTCAGATTTGATATTGATTCTTTCTGGGTCAATCAATCGCCCCGCGACAAATCTCAGCCAATCGCACAGTACACTTTGAATACACGGTAATGTCATTCTCTTTTCTCCAAAATTCTCCGGTTAGCCTTTTCTCGTAAATCTTTCAATTCAACACGTGTTCTTATCACTTTAGCAAGACCCAATCCATTGACAATACTTTTTTCTCTATTTTGCTCTCTTTTTCCCATTTCTTGCCAAGAATGAAGACAGACTTTAGCTTAATTTTGCAAAAAAAGCCAGGGAAATAGGCTAACAACTGTACTGGCTTAGTTACAGTACTCAAAAGGTAATGGCTTAATCTTTCTGGCTAACGTGGGTACAGTTCCCATAAAAGCCTACCTTATCCAGTGATTACCGTATCTTTGAAGCTCTATGGATTCTACTACAGTATCCTGAAAGCCTACAGTATCCCTGGCAAAATTTCACATTTATTGAACGGGAAATGGGGAAACATCTGAAACTTACACATAAAGCATTTGCATTTAAGATCTACGAAAGGGATTAAGGGAAATTGAAAAAAGATAAGGAGGGAATTGAGGATGTTTCAAATTTGTGGCGGCTATAAACTACAAAATGGGGCCGAGGGACATTGAAAATGGAAAGGAAAAGAAAGCTGTGCCCCCTTTTGCCTAGTTCGTTTTCTAAAAGTAGAGAACAATAACAATTTTAAAAGTTTTAGAAAAACATGGCATTCGAGTGTCTTTATGTGATATTTATTCTGTGCTCATGCAATTTTCAATTTTACTAAATCGTTGAACAGTAGTTTTTCTTTTCAACTCTTTACTCATATACATTTAAAATGGCGCATCTTTTTGTTAGCATGATGTCTCAGCTTATCAAAAGTTCTTGTCATGCTGAATTTTCCTGTTATTGTAATCCTTTTATACTTTGTCGTGACTTCCTCGAGAGAATTGAAATTTATTTATTTTAGCAATATGGATTGGCGTGATGATCCAAGAGTCAAGCAATTATTGGACAAGGCGACTCTCGAAACTCTTCCAAAAATTTTCAAAGAGTTTATGCCAAAGATGAACTTGAAGAGATGGAAAATCTTTTGAAGCAGCGTCTAGAACTATACTCGAAGAAGGAACGCATATACAAGGTTTGTTTAAAACACTTTTGGTACTATTCTAGTTGGGGGGCCACTTTTTTTTTCGAAAATTGCACGTTTTCCGGGGTAACTTTTTATGCTGGTCACGAATTTCACGTTTTTAAACTACTTTTACTTATGAAATATGAACTTTTTCGCATTCACAGGCCTGTGAGGTCTTTGCGCCGCCGTCAGCACCTGCCTATAAGTAGCGCGCCTTTTTCGTGGTTGCATTTATAGTTTGTCTCAAGAATCGGTTGAAACTAATAATTTTACCTATTTAACGAACTTTTTGATCAAAAAGCTTACCAGCTCTGTTTGAAACATTTGAACTTGAGCTCCTATACCTGAGCTTGGCTTCTATTGAGTTGTAAACTATGATACCCCCCTCTAATTATTTTACCTATTTTACGAACTTTTTCGTCATAAAACATACAAAATGTTTTACAAAAATTTTTTAAGAGAGCGATACTGGCCCACCCCATCCTCAATTCAATTTCAATAACGCACCCCTCACCCACGCCAGATTCAGCCCCTAGCCTAAAAACCACATTCTTATTCAATATTTTTTATAGAAATAAATAGTATAAACCTTCGAAATAACCCCTTCGAAGCTAGTCGCTTCGCAATTATAATACATGTATAGAAATAATCAAATTGACTAATATTTTTTTAATTTGGATAAAATGAATAACAACTTTATTGACATTAAAACAAATTATATAAGGAATTAACGGTCAAAGCTTTTCGCTTCCAAATCATTTTTCTCTTCGTCAGTTAAATCTTTGAAATTCTGAAGCTTCTTCACAAATCCTTTTGCGAGATCGAGTGCATCATTCATCTTCTCCTCCTGCTTGATTTTATTGGTATAAAACGAGGAATGGCAACTAAAAAGGGATAATGTAGATAACAACATAAGTAAACCCTTCTTTAACGATAAAAAGTCCAACAATTCAAGAGATTTCTTCAAGTTAAAGTTAAAGAAGGGATATTGTATTTAAGTTTAAGTTTAAAACGTGATCAAAGACTTACTTTTCAAGATCCCCAAAGTCTTTGAACGTTTCCTGTGAGAGCGCGAATACGAATCTTTTTTGCCAGTGTGTGAATGAAGATGGACATTCAATCCACGATCGGAAATGAAATCTTAAAAAAATGAATAATTTATGTCTTAAGATTTTACTTTAGATAAATTTACTTTTGATAGCCAACGAGGCACCACCCCAAATAACCTCGCAGGCGAGTCGATAGTCTCCAATTAGAATGAAGAATTGAGCTAGGTCGAATAACGACTCCGGCGAGTGAGTTCTTCCTTGGGCTAGAGATTTCTGAAATAGTAATAATATACTCTTAGAAATCAAGTTTACTAAAACTTTATTATTACAATTTTATAAGATGGATCCGCTTAAGACCAAAAATTTTGGTAATATCCTAGTTGGGGGGGGCAGGTAAGGCTTTTTGCCTGAGTTTTTTTAAAACCTAAAACCCTTTGTCTAGGCACAAACCACAAAAAAGCGCGCTACTTATAGGCAGGTGCTGACGGCGGCGCAAAGACCTCACAAAGCCTGTGGATGCGAAAAAGTTGATATTTCATAATTAAAAGTAGGTTAAAAACCTGAAATTCGTGACCAGCATAAAGGGTTACCCCAGAAAACGTGAAATTTTCGCAAAAAAAGTGGCCCCCCAACCAGGATAGTACCAAAAGTTTTTTAAACCAAGCTCGTATATGACTTTCGTCCCCTCGAAATTTGCTAAACCCTTCTTCAACGTGTTTTCCATCTGTTGAACTGCTTGGTCCCCGTAGATCTTTTTAAAGTGCTTTTTGAGAAGGCTTTCGAGCGTCGCCTTCTCGACTAATTGCTTGATTCTTGCATCAGCCAGAAGACATTGCTAAAATAAATAAATTTGAATTCGCTCGAGTAAGTCACGAAAAAGTATAAAGGAACTTTTTGGTTAAAAAAATATCGGATAGGCTTAATAAAACTAGGTGGTAAATTAGAAATTGAGGCTAAAGGTATAATTCGCGAGGGAGGACGCGTCACATAGCTTTCTTCATGTGTCCGCTATGCGACTAGGCTTTGGATCCGCACCACAATTTGGTTAATACAGAGACAATAGAGAATACAGGAAGGGGCCGTGTCTTAATACCGAAAATCGAAAGAAAAAAAGTGCAATGAAAAAGAAAAATTTCATCCATGTTTACGAAGAGATTTCTGAGTCAATTAACTGAATATCTTATATTGTTATAAAGGTTGATTGGGGTGTGGACCGTTTTTATTTTTTTTTTAAAAATTTTTTAAAAAGATTATGTGAGGGGGGGGTTTTTTTTGGGGGGGGGAAGGGGGAAAGAAAATGGTTGGAAAAAAAAAAATTTTTTTTTTTTTTATTGATTTTTTTTTTTTTTTTAATTTTATATTTTTTTTTTTTTTTTTTTTTTTTTTTTTTTTTTTTTTAAGGGTTTGTTTTTTTTTGGTTTTATTTGAAAAAATGTTTAAATAAAAAAAAAAAAAAAAAAAAATTAAATTTAATTTTTTTGGAATTTTTTTTTTTTTTTTTTTTTTTTTTTTTTTTTTTTTTTTTTTTTTTTTTTTTATTTTTATTTTTTATTTTTTTTTATTTATTTTTTTTTTTTTTTTTTTTTTTTTTTTTTTTTTTTTTTTTTTTTTTTTTTTTTTTTTTTTTTTTTTTTTTTTTTTTATATTTTTTTTTTTTAATTATTTTTTTGTATAGAGGGAAGAAAGGGGGGGGGAGGGGGGGAGGGTGGGGGTGTTTTATATGTTAATTTTTTTTTTTATTTTTTTTTTTAAATAGTTTTTTTTTTTTTTTTTTTTATAATTTTTTTATTATTTATTTTTTTTTTTTTTTTTTTTTTTTTTTTTTTTTTTTTTTTTTAAATTTTTTTTTTTTTTATTTTTTTTTTTTTTTTTTTTTGTAAGGTGGGAATAAATTTGTTAGATTTTTTTTTTTGGGGATTTTTTAGGGGGTTTTTTTGTTTTTTTTTAAGAGGTGTTGGGATTTTGTGGGGGAGAAGAATTTTTGGGGGTTTGGGGGGATGGGGGGAATTGAAATGGGGGGGTAAAATTTTTTTGGGGATAAATTTTGTTTTTTTTTATTTTTTTGGGTGTATTTTTTTTTTGGATGTATTTTATTTTTTGGTTAAATATATTTTTTGTTTTTAATAATTTTTTTTTTATAAAAATTTAATTTTTTTTATTTTTTTTTTTTTTTTTTTTGTGTTTTTAGGTGGGTGGGTGTTTTTGATTGTTGTTAGTTGTTTGTGGGATTTTGTTTTTTTTGTTTGTGTTTGGGGGGAGGTTGGGAAGTATTTTAAAAATTTGGATTAAAAAAAAATTATTAAAAAAAAAGAGTAAAAAATGAAATTATATTAGATGATTATTTTTTAAATAATTGTACGATGAGGAAAGTGAAAATATGGCGCCGAACCTCTCGAGAGTAAATGTCTTGACGCACTTTGTGATGTATGTATTTTTCTTAACGTTTAGGAAACATTTAAGCGGATCCATCTTATAAAATTGTAATAATAAAGTTTTTAATAAACTTTATTTCTAAGAGTCTATTGTTACTATTTCAGGAAACTCAAGCAAAAGATCACAAGCCGCAGACTTTATTGACACTTGCTGAATTGCTCGCTCGAATTCGAGATTATCGACTCGCCAGCGAGGTTATCTGTTGTAGTGCCTCGTTTTCTATTCAAGGTAAATTTATCTAAAGTAAAATCTTAAGACATAAATTATTCATTTTTTTAAGAATTCATTTCTGATCGTAGATTAAATGTCCGTCTTCATACAGACGATGGTCAGAAACGATTCGCACGAGAGCTCTCAAAGGAAATTGGGAATAAATTTTCCGTTGTTAAAAGGTAAGTCTATGATTACATTTTAAACTTAGACTTAAATACAATATCCCTTCTTTAACTTTAACTTGAAGAATTCTTTAAATTGTTGGACTTTTTATCGTTAAAGAAGGGTTTACTTATGTTGTTATCTACATTATCCCTTTTTAGTTATCACTTCTGGTTTTTTTACGAATGACGTTGATCGAGAGGATGTGAATGATGGACTCAAAATCGCGAATGAACTTATTCAACAGCTTCAGATTCTCGAGTTAACTGACGCAAAGAAAAAGGAGTTGGAAGAGGGAACTTTTGACGATTAATTCCTTGTATAATTTGTTTAAATGCAAATAAAATTGTTATTCATTTTATGCAAATTAAAAAAAAATTAAAGTTAATTTGATTATTTCTATACATGTAATATAATTGCGAAGCGACTAGCTTCGCAGGGGTTATTGCGAAGATTTATACTATTTATTTCTATAAAAAAATATTGAATAAGAATGGTTTTTAGGCTAGGGGCTGAATCTGGCGTGGGTGAGGTGTGCGTTATTGAAATTGAATTGGGGCTGGGGTGGGCCTGTATGGCTCCTTTGAAAAATTGTTGTAAAACATTTTGTATGTTTTTATGATGAAAAAGTTCGTAAAATAGGTAAAATAATTAGATGAGCGGGGTGAGCTAGGTATCATAGTTTAGCATTATGGCTCAGCTTATGTTTATAACTCAAATGAAGCTGGACAGTGTCTAAATAGTGGGACAGCCTCTCGATGGTAAGATCGAATGACACTTTGTTTTGTTCTCATGCTTCAACAGATTTATTCACTTTATTCATTTAGTATTGTTTGAGGTAAAAATCGAATAGTAGAGATCCCTGCATATTTCCAATGTTGAGTGTGCACAGACGAGACAAGAAAATGTTGTCCTTCATTGCCAGAATCTGGAAATCCCATCGGAAAATGAGTAATAAGGACAAATTTCTGTTGTTCTTTTCACTTTTCTCCATAAACGGGCGAAGATCATCACGAGAAAACGATTTGTTTTTGCGTGAAAGCCTGGGAAAATGAGTGAAAAAAGTTTCCGGTTCAGATGTAGTCTTGATATTGAAAATTGGTAAATTTAGTCATAGAATTTTAAAATAAAATATTAAACAATAAAATGCTATCAAAACAAACAACGAAGTGTCGATTGAGGGCAATTATCCGATAAACCCGGAGCTGTCGATCGATTTCCGTCAAGTGCGGGTTTTTCTCGGCGATCAATTGGATCAAAACCTGGATTTAAGATTAGATTCAGCTAATTAAATATATTCAGTAGATCAGATCTTTTAAAAGAAAAATTTTTTCATTCAAACCTGTTCGTATTTTGCGCGCGCTTTCCGCACGACCATCGCCCCGTAATCAGAGAGGACACATGCTAGAAAAAGAATCCATAATGAAAAGAATTCGTAATGAAAACGATGTTCTTAGCGTACAATAAAATACTTTATAAGCCGGATTTGATATCATTGATCTTCTACAGCTATATCTTTCCTGTGTAATTGGCTTCAATTAGATCTCAACGTTAGAAACGCTAGAAATCGGAGAGGACACACGCTAGGGAAAGCAATCGATAAGGAAAGGAATTGATAATGATAAGAATTGGTAATGAAAAGAATCAATAATGAAAAGAATTGGTAATGAAAACAATGTTCTTAGCGCACAATAAAATATTTTATAAGCCGGATTTGATATCATTGATCTTCTACAGCTATATCTTTCCTGTGTAATTGGCTTCAATTAGATCTCAATGTAATTTTGCAATAACAAACTTTTGCTACTTTAAAACGAATGCTTTTGGCGATATGTTGAGGTTTAGAACAAATAAAGCAGATAATTTAAGTTTAAATTGATGAGATAATTGCATAAGATGGGTATTTTCATTTGGAAAGACAACTGAATAGTACAGAGAAGATGTTCAAGAAAGTTCATAAAATGCGTACACTTTTGCGCAAATGGCTTCATATTTCTAGACTCACTTGACGTAAAAAAAACGATTGTCTTGAGAATCACAAACTCGTCACTCGTCAATTGGAGTGACTCGAGATCGGGGAAAATATCATTGTGTACATAGCGGCTCACCAATTGACAAAACTCGTCGATGCTGAATTGGTGGGAGATTTTTGAGTTCTGATGTAATTTCCAAATCTCTTTTATTCTTATTCTTAGGTCTTTTATTTAGCCATTCCTACTGGACATGGACGCTACAAACTACAAGGTCAGACTACAAACGTTTGTAGAAACACGTAGAATGGCTATTTTTACAAGCTGTTTTGGGTAAAAAAACAAGTCAACTTTGGCAACTTTGGCACCCATGTCTAATTACTACCGTACTACTGTATTAATAAATGTTATAAATCTAATACAATATTAGAAATACAAAGCCCAGTGTCATAAGAGAAACATACTCATTTTGCGCGGGTCGATGCGAATCGACAAAATGAGTGCCGCCCGGGAAAACGAAACCCGGACTTTTCGAGATCCATGAATGATAGACCTGGAAAGAAAATAGAGATAATAAAAATTGAATCATGGAAATTGTATTGTATTTGTATCATTCAGTTAAAAACCCACCAATACCACCAATTCGCTTACACACATCTGTGAGGTAATTAGAGAAAGCTGTAAGTTAAGCAGCTAATTAGTAAAGAAGAAAACATTGGTAACACTGCACTAATGTAGTTGAATAGATAAGATAAAATTTTTTACCTTATCCTTCTCATCTAATTGCCTTAATTCGGCCAATCCGGCCACCCAATCGATGTAGTGAAGCGCGAAACGGCAGAAAAGTGACGGGAAATTGTGGAAAACCGTTTGCGTGACCTCGTTTTTCACCGAAAAGCCGACCTGGAGATGTTAGATCAAAAAATATCTTTTAAACTTACAGGTGTCCTTTGACAAAGTGCCAACGGATTCCTGAGTGCCTCGCCTAACGGGACGTCGATATTGACGTAAGATGAAGGACCGGCAGGCACATCTGAGACATCACAGTATCTAGAGTTTGTTTATACGTAGCTTTATTTTGAATACTTATTGTTTAGAGTTTCATAGATGAAGATCGTTTATGAACAAACTTCTTGTGATCACTGTGTACTTTGGGCGCTGAAGAAACGCAGCCTTTCTGCACTCATTTCTTCATTTTTCATGCGATTTAGAAGAATCGAGTGCGCAAGAATGCGGTGACTCATTCTTTTGCGCAAATGATATACTTTTAAGCACAAGTTCACCTAGAGCAGGTTTATAAATTGTTGGTAAATGATGAGGCAACCAGCTAACTGCTATTCACTTGCAAAATTAAATCCTAGTTTGGAACAAAGTTTACCTCTCCAAAATCCTCAATCGACTGAGAATATCACTCAGTGAATCCCATGGAGAACTCTCCGCGAAACGCATCCCTGAATCCATCGGAGCGAATAGGGTAAAACCGATGGCGGACGGGGCCTGAAAATCGAAAATTCTCCTCCTTATCAATAACCTACCATTGGGAAATTTTTTGCTTCAAAGTACGGGACAACAGCTTGATAGTTAGATGTGCTCGGCTCGCTAATATCCAGTAAAACAGGAGAATGAGAAGCGGAAACGGTTGACGTGGTTGATGATGGAGAAAGCGGAGGAGATGGAGGACGACGATGGAGGTAAGATGAGGGGGAATGATCATTCCATTGATCAGATCCCTGTAGGGAGATGTTTGAAAGATTGAAAGATTAGTGAGACTCACGGTGAGCTTTGTTTTCTTTAAAGGAGGGCTGTAGGGAGCGATGGATGGAGGGTTGCTGACTTCTTCGAAGGCTTGAGGGAGTGGCGGCGGTTGTGCTTGTCCAGAGGCTTTAGCTAATCTTTGTCCCTTCACCACTCCTACTGCTGAAAGAAACTCGGGGATTTGCTTTGTTTAAAACTATTTAATACTAGTTAATACTTGATGGATAATAAATGAATCAATTCTCATCTGACAAAACTCTTTCTTTTCAAAGTTGCCGCTGTACATACCATTATCAATTTCAATATGCAATACTAGGCTTATTGTTAAGTAGATTAAAATTGACAAGGCAAACCTTCAGGATTCATATTTGAGTCAAGACACTTCTGAAAGCGACACGCTCGACATTTCACCCAAGCTGCCGAACCAGCTAAATTGTAAATTGTCCACGGATTTCTGGAGTCTAAAATTATCCACAGCAAACCACAGAATACGCTTTTAATAAGTTAAACAACCCGCTTACTGTAGAGATTGATGATTTTTATTTACCGGGTGAATCCCTCAAACAAGCACCCCCATTCGCACATCGATATCGAGCTTTCGCTGTGACACTTCTCAAGAAGAACACCTTGCACCCACTAGAAAATCCGGAAATTTTATATTACGGTAAAACTCAGAATTTAATGTTTTTTTTTCTGAAAACTTGCCAACAAACTAGTCCCCCATAAAAAAGTGAGGTGCCACGAAGCGACGAGCAAACGGTACAAGGAGAAGAGCGCATCGAGGAGCCGTTTTCGATGAGATTTCTTTCCAAAACGAGATCGCTGACAAAAATATGTTTGCGGTTTTAAAAAAGGTATATAAAGAGATCGAATCTATATTTGAGAGAGATGAATAGATTAAATAAACCGAGAAAAATTTCATTTTAAAATTCTAAAAAGAGAACTCTCATTTGACGTGGGATTGTTGTTTGTGAAAGGGAAAATGAGAGATCTTTTATTCTTTTTTGTGACTTGCTATGCATCAAAATGATCAATATGATTTGATGATAAGATTTCGGAGAAAAACGGAATCTATTGAATCTATCTTATCTATTGAAGCCGAGCAATCAGAAGTTAGTTCTTAAGGAAAATGTTCAAGGACTTCAACTCTTGGGCAAAAATGCAACCAACAAGTCAGATTTACCAAACAACATGATAGGAGGTAGGAGATAGATCAAAAATTTCCAAATATTGCCAATTTTGAGGGAAGAGAGAAAAAGAGGGGGTCGACAAAGAGGAAAGTCTACCCGAAAAAAACAAATCAATGATCTATGGGAGAGTGAGCGAAAAAGGAAGGGAAATGGGGTTTTTTTTTGTCAACCATCCCGCCGACTCACGCGGCGAGGCAAAAATTGATAACCTGAAGCCGGAGCGGAACAGACAATATCAGAGAACGAGCTTTATTCATGCTTTATTTTTACAAAGTCTGAGATTATTTTTAGACGACAAAAGAGAGATTTTGTCTCGAACACCGATTAGAGAGTGTAATGTTATCGCGATGAGAAATCTCAACCCAAAGTTGTCGCTTCGACTTAGAGAAACTTAAAGAAACAAGACCATGTGAAATTTTCACAAGCTGCAGCCATTAATTCAACCAGTTGTTGATCAAATGTATGTTTAAATCACCAAAGAAAAGCATCATAAAAATCTTAAAATAAACAGTGCAATTCAACTTGCTTAATTGGGTTAATTTCAAGTTTGGAAAATTTTTAGAAATATCGGTTAAGAAAAAGGCTGTGGCTGACAGTGATTATCTCGATCTCTCCATCGCGGTTCTCTTCAAATCTCCAACGAATCTTCTCCCATTTTACCATGGCAACTCCCTCATCTAGGGAGGGGGGGGCTTTTTTCTTAATCTGGGCCAAAGACAAGACCCATGGATCTGATGAATCAGGAATTCGTGTCGGTATTTAGTGGATGTAGTTTAAAAATTCCTCAATTTGATTTTCGCACAAGATTACGTTGCTACGATGTCAAAAAACAAAAGACACAAAGTGCAAGTGCCCAACACAATAAGTAGTTTTATTCACGAGGCGTTTAAGTCGATAAATTAAATTATTTTAGAAGCAGTACTCCGAAGTTGCTGCGCTCAAGTTTTCTAAAAAGTTCTATACAAGGCTCTATACATGAAAACTACAAACCGTTAGAAAGAAAGTACTCGGAGAAGGTCAGCTCCGATTTACACATCTGCGCTCCATGTTCTCTAAAATAAAAGGCATAAAATTTAGATGATTTAGTAATACTTAGTTCCAAAAAGCTCTCCTTTCACTTGGTCGATCGATTCATTTGGCTCCAAGTACATGGAAGCAGTAGCTAAATGTTAAAGTTACCAGATACCTATTTTAATAAGCTTACTTGCAATAGCGTTATCCCTGGGAAAGGCTGCTTCTTCGACTGGTTCCTTGTACGGAATAACAGGTACCACCTATACAAGATACTTAATCTTTTTGGTCCTGAAAAAGTAACCTTTTCGATGAATGGGTCGGGAAGACGAGCAGTTTTCTCGATCATCTCTTCAATAAGAGATTGCAACCTCGATTCCTGGTAGGGAAGCAACGAGCTGTCCGATATCGATTGATCCGTTCTAAATATCCATATAAAATAACAATTCGAAAAAAAAATACTTGATCGCTTGCTGAAAGTTTTGAATCGAAGGAATGAGATCAGGTTGAAGGGCCAAAGGATCTGCTTTGCTCACGTAGACAGCACCCGTTTCATCGCGACCCACAAATAACTGGGACCCATACTTTTGAAGGCACTAAATCAAAAGCTTTAAGAATAAATTAGCGCACCAAACCTGGTAGAGATCTTGGCGGAAAAGTAGATTAGAACCGTCTTCAAATGAAGCGAATTGAGCGTTTTGGCAAATAATATCGGAGCGCTGTGCGTTGACTCCACCATCCGAATTCAGCCTAATTTTTAAAAGTTTAATACCGATAATAGACGGAAAATACTCACCACAAAAGAGCAATATTGATAGCAGTTAGCTTCTCGGAAGTTGTGAAATGCTTCGTTGACACCAAAAACTTCACGAACTCGTCGGGCAGATTTGCGATTTCCTTAAAGTTTTAGATTTAAAATGATGGGTAAAGAGTGAAAGTCATACCGAAGCGCTCAAGGCAAAAGAATGTTTAAGAAAATGACTGGCAATCAGTGAGAGGTTCTCGATACGCATGTTGGGAAATGTGTTGGGATCAAAAGCCGCATCGATAGCAATCAAGTTCATCTTTGCACTTTCGTTGGAAACCTCCCTTAACAAATTTTATTGGTCAACAACTCAATAAACTTACGCGAGTTTATCGCCAAGGATAGAAACCAATGCAGAAACTCCAATACAGCTTGAAAGCCTGATGAGAGCCGGAATTTTATGAACGTCAATTTCAAACTTAAAATACAATAGATAACTCGTCTTTTAAAGCCAGCTTACTTTTCCCGTATAAACGAAGTCGAGAAGGGGCACAATCATCGAAGATTCATCCCAAAATACGCGTATGTTGTCCAAATCTTCGTCTTTGAGAATCTAAAAAGCATAACATGGAGCTGCCTTAAAAATTGGTGATAAAACCTTGGCGATTTTTTGCGAATGGGCAGCCAAAACAACGGAATGACAAAGCTCGGAATGACCATCGTTGAAGATCAACTCTAGATCGTATGAACTAAAAAATAAAACGTATTCGTAAATAATTAAATCAAACTTGTTGTCATCTCCTATAGCCCGTTGTCCAATCAAATACTGGCCGATTGACAACAAATGCTTCTCGTAGTTGTCCACTTTGAGTGTGAGATGTTTCCTAAACAAATAAAATGAAATAAACCCTGCGTTTTAATAAGCTTAAAACTAGATAGATGTAAACTGTTTTAACGTAATACCCTGATGAAATGAAAAGAAAAGCTTACTTTGGAGTGTTGTCAGGTAGCGAACGATTCGTGTCCATCGAGAAACGTGAAAAGCGTGCCGAATCAAGAACGCGTGTCGTAGAAATGAAAAATGAATGATCCTCGCCCACCCAAAAAAAATTAACGACGGGGCTTTAATACGCAAATTTTTCGATAATCTTTTTAAATTTAAAATTTATGTTTGAATAGCTGAATAGCTGAACTTTGAACGTCGAAAAAATTCTCGTCGGCCAAAAGTTTTGCACAACATGCACAAACTTGGGGGGGGGGACAAATGCGACCTTTTTTTTTTGCGCACCCGGACATTTGCGCACCTTTTTTCGCGTTTTAAAAAAGCTCTAAAAGCTAATATTAAGCAATTTCTATTCCAAAAGTTGTTTTTCTAGGTAATTTTAGGGCGTAGAATCGAAATTTTGGCATATCAGAGCTTGTGGAACCAATTTGAAAGACAAAACGGCTAGGTCAAATTACAGGAAATTGTTGATTTTTCTCTTTGTATAACTCCGTCGGTTCGCTTCCACAAGCTCTGATATGCCAAAATTTCGATTCTACGCCCTCAAATTACCTAGAAAAACAACTTTTGGAATAGAAATTGGTTAATATTAGCTTTTTTTAAAACGCGAAAAAAGGTGCGCTAATGGGCAAGGTGCGCAAATGTCTGGGTGCGCAAAAAAAGGTCGCATTTGTCCCCACTCCTACAAACTTTGAAACAATGTGACGATTTTTTTTTTCGATCTATGGTTATCGCGTTTTTGTTTTCTCTTTTAACCATACAAATTATTGTCTTTAGTTATCTGGGCTTTTGCTTGTGAAAAGGACACGAATGCCGACCCGCGAAGAATGTAGGCTTTTCATACTTGTATTATTCATTTCCTTTACTTTAGATATCTCGGCTTGGTCGCCATTTTCCTCTGGTGTCTTCCCAACTAGCCTCTCGTCGCAGAACCAATTTCAACGCGGCGTGCAAATGGTGCAAAGCAACAACAACAACAACAACAACGTGAGTTGCTTTAGTTTCTTTCTCTAGAAATGTTCGTTTTTAGAGCTTGAGTCGCCCACGTCAAAATGCTAGCTTCGAATCGATAAGGACTGGAGCTTCAAAGAGTGAAAGTGATAATGTAGGTTTTGTTTTTGGAATCATTTGATATTTTCTTTTCAGGTAATCTTGCACTCCACTCTGCCTCCACACGCCTATGACAAAGAAAGACGAGAAGTGGCCGTCACTTTGGAACAAGTTGTGCGCGACGGACTTTTGGCTGAATTCGCTCAAGATAAAGTGGGATGCAAGTAAGACTTGGTGATTGAGTCAGGTGTAATTTTGTTTTTAGGTTCCTTCAAGAAAATTTTCCAGAAGCTGGTCGCCTCAAGGATGAAATCTACCACTTTGCAATGGCCAACCCTGGTTACTTTCAAGTAAGAATTAAACTTGTTATTGGTAATTTTTCCAACTTAGACTCTTTCAAAAGACGTCTTTGGAAACTTCTTCGCACAAGCTTTGGTTCATCACGCCGACACACCTGATCGAGTGAACTGGATTTTACGCACGATTGTGCACAACATGAGTGATATGTGCTTCAATCGCTATTCGTGTCGAGTTGTGCAAAAGACTTTTGAGGTTTGTTAGCGTTAGTATCTGTTTATTATTCTTGATTTTAGAGGTTTCCGGTTGAAGAAAAGAGGCTACTACTTGGGGAATTCGGTCGTCTGGATATGGTCGAGCTTTCGATCGATCAGAATGCCAATCATGTCGTCCAGAAGATAATCGAGTTCTTTGACGTGCCAACATGGAAATTCATCATCGACAGCTTCGTTCAATCCGTCGACTCCTTTTTCCGTGTCATCGAAAGCAAGTACGGCTGCCGAGTTCTTCAGTTGATTGTCGAGATGGTTGCAAAAGCGATGCCTCAACTATCTTTGGCGGTGGGTTCCATTTATTGGATGAATGAAACAAGTCTTTAGTCAGCTCCTGCTGTCGAGAGAATCAACGAGCTGATGGACATCATTGCGTTGAATTGCGAGCGTCTTGCATCAAACGAATACGCCAACTACGTTGTTCAGCACATCATATCTACACCAAAGTTGGAGGCTTACAGAGATGGGATCATTAAAAATTGCCTTTTGTAAGTTTTTTGTTTATTAGACTTTGAACTGCAAGATAAGGCGTGAAACATTTCAATTTATTCTTTTAGGCGCAACTTGCTCTCGTTTTCTCAAGAGAAGTTTGCTTCCCACGTTGTCGAAAAGGCGCTGATCTTTGCTTCACCTTCACTTCTCTATGCGATGCTTGAAGAGCTCTTCGATGGTTATCTTCCCGATCCAACTACAAAGAAGGATTGCCTCGACATCTTGCTCTTTCATCAATATGGGAATTACGTGGTTGGTGTTGATCATTTGGCACAGGTGATTTAACACAAAATTTAGGTTCAACGAATGTTGCTCATCTGCATTGGTTTGCTTCAACAAGCAGAAAGGTGAGAAAATTTATTTCTTTTGTTTACACAAGTTTGTGTTTTTAGGGGACACAACATTGGCCATCTCAACCAAATCTTCAAATGGACGCACCGCTTGGAAAACTTGATTGACACGAACGCACAACGTCTGGCGCGCTACTCTTCAGGAAAGAAACTTTTGGAAGTCCTCGAGCAAGAAAGACGTCGTAAAAAGTAACCATTTTTGCTATTTGTGAATTCTAAAAATGTAACCGTTCAAACAATTCTCTTTGTAATTTTGCTGTGAGTTTTGTATTTTCTGATTTTGTGCGTAAGATTGATTTGTTTGAGGGCATGTTGCTTCTCCCGTATTTACTTATGTGATCATTGTTTAGTTGTTGTTATTACCGTTGTTTATAAAGTTGTTAACCTTACATTGCAGAAAAAGCTGACGAAGAAATCTAAGCTAGAATAGCTGAGCTGATGATCAATGGATTCTGGATCTTTATAGAAATCCAGAGCCTTTATTGAATCGCTTAAACAGCATACATATCACAAAGCAAACAAGAATCGAATGTGTTTTCAAATAGAGATCACAATCTTGGACTGATTTTTAGGAAATAGAAATTGAGAAGTCAGATAGGAGGAGCGAATACTTTGTAAACTTTGGTGAGTGCTCATTACCCGATCGCACAAACAAGAACGTTAATACTGAAGTTATTCTAACAGAATGCATATTTCATAACATGACATTCATGGATGAGCTTCCCTCGCATTCCCGATAATCCAAACAAATTCATTAGACCAAACTCCTTATCGATGTAGTTGGAGACAGCCTGAAATTCAGTTCCGTTTTCGTTTTCATGAAGAAACTCCTTTTCAAATCAAACCTCAATAGTGGTCGTTAGATGTTCGACTTGAATCAATTTGAAGAGATGATCTGAAATTTTATTACAACTTAATTTTGATCGTTTACTGCATACCGATCGAGGGATTTGTCTCTTTCTTCTGTAAAATCAAAGCCACGAGAGCTGCCTGAAAAGGATTAGATATCTCTTGCTCTTTTGTCCAAACCTTATGTCGATGCTTTTCCCTCACAAGCACTTCTTTTCCGTGTTCAGTGAGTTGATTAAAGGGGAACCCTGAAAAGTCTTGGATCTTAGACTTCTGAACTCTTTTCCTCACCTTCAAATAGGAATAGAGTTGCCTTTAGCATACAGTACTCATCCTCATTGATATCCAAATCTTTCATCGGAAAGATCACATCGGCAAACACCGAGTCGACCACTTGCGAGAACATGTTCCGAACCCTGAATCGTTTTGAAGTTGAAATCTTTTAAACAAATTGACATTTATCTAGTAAGAAAAGGACTACGGTAGAAAAGGTCAACAAATCGGATAGGGTCTTAATGTCGTAACCAAATACAGTAAGTTTAGCATGTTCTTACTAGGAAGCATTCTCAACTAACCCGAATAAGTCAAGTACCATTCGGCCTTGAAAAGTAGATTCCGAATATTTGCGTCATAAAGGATCGTCGGTTAATTTGAATCACTTAAAAATGAATTCGAAATCTACGTGTCAAGGCATCGAATGGTAATTGGCTCATTCGAGACCAGGGTAAGTTGAGAATGTAAATTTGGAATTGAAAATGAACATTGACACTTTATTGTTTGATGGTTGGTTTAAGAAGCACTGCCCCTGTAGCTCTTTAAACTCTAAATAGCAACTTATCAGTTTGGATTTGGATACTGTAATCCCTTAGGTTCCCTTTGATTGAAAATCCAATCAAAACTCACTGATCATCGTCGATTTGTGATCGAAGAGCTTTATCAAATGGAAACACCGATCCCGTGCCTAGAAGCAGTCCACCGCAACCCTCTTTGTACGTTCGATAGCACATATTGAGCAATAAGACTTGGGTAAGTCGAGCGATGAATAGTTGAACCTGAAATTGGTGGTATTACTTTAACTCGTTTCTTTTTTTACCTTATCCGATACACAGAGACTTTTGAAGAGCGGAATATGGTTCACCCAGTCGCAGAAAAACACCACCAAACGCGCGTAGACACGTTTGAAAGATTTCCCGCCGATCATCTGATGTGGCTTCCAGATTATCTGCAAAAAATGTGTTTATTTTAGCAGTATGTATGCTAAATTTAGGTTTAGTACTATTGTTATCTTTCAAAAACAAAAATGTGGGAAGCCTTTGACCCCCATTCCAGAGTTCTGGAACGAGAAACACGTGCCGTCACTACATTCTTGCACATGCAATTATCCCAAACAGTCATTTTTGGACAGTTGGGCCCTTATCGTGCGTTCCGGGGAGTCGAACCCGCATCCCTCCGACTCGAAAAGAAGCACTTTATCCACTCGGCCACACCGCAACCGCTCGCAAGCGGGGAAAAGAGACAATAAAGCAGTGAAAGGAAAATGCTCGGTTTACCTTTTGTTTTCTTGTCATTTTAGAAACAAACCGGAAATCGTGGACATTGTGCGCTTCTTTTAAGGAGAAGATCCTCAACTGATGATTCGAGCATTGAGTTGATCAAAAACTCCTCTTCCTCTGACCCAATTTCATTGCCATTGAAAACCGAATTGTCACAATATCTGAAAAGAATAGAAAGGCTTTTTGCAGGCTGAAATCAAATTTTGAATAGAAATCAAATTTTTACCTTTCCAAATTCACGTAAAAGCTCGCAAGGAGCTTTGCCTCATCGGTGTTCATGAAAAGAGGGTCAACAGCCGGAGCAAGAGCCTGGGAAATGATTATAGAGTAAATATGTAAAATTTCCAGAAATTACAGGTGGCAAAGCGAGTGCAGTGGATGATCCAGAGGCTTCACTATGATTTTCGATGAACACTTTCACTTCTTGTGGACTTCCACCTCGTTCATCACCTTGCTCCGATTTGTGGCGAATCTCTGAAATTCTTTATAATGAATTTTTTTTGTAAATGTACTTATTGTACAATTGACATCTACATAAGCTGTTATTACAAGTTTTTGACGCAATTTTGTCTGCAAAGTATTCACTGCAGCAACGAAAATTTCTCAACCATAATCCATTGTTTGCACACCATTCACCCATAACTCTCTTCCCAAAATCCTCTTACATTGTGAGATGATTATTGAAATGTGGCTTAGGTTCATTTCATTATTTTAAAGAACCCGTTTTTCTCCTTCAACACTTTTCCTTTCGAATCCCTTTCTCTAAATGAATGGATGAGAGTGTTGTTGACGAAAAAACAAGGCAGATTAGCAAAAGCAAAAGCAAAAGCCAAAAAAAAGCAAAGGGAAAGCCTAAAATGGCAGCTTTCTCCCCAGTTTTTCAACTTTTATATATGGAATGATTAGAGATTAGAGATTAGAGATATCTCTTCTCAGATTCATTATCATTTATCTCTTCTATCCATCGATTATCCCTATTCCCAGATTCCTTATCATAACGCATATGAAACTTTCTCAAGTTTAGATTCGAATCAAAAAAGATTTCAATTCATCTATGTCATTCCTTCTAGAATTTATACATAACATGATCTAAATGTTTCCTTTATTCTTTTAACAACAATTGTTTCTTTTAGTCACAGCCTGTCATATTTTGTATAATTCTTACATCTAAATCTAAAAATTTTCAGCGATGAGATTTCCCCTTGCCCATTTCCTTATCATATTCTCGATTCTTTCTTCGATTCTCTCTTATACAATCGTCCCACCACCACCCCGAAAAAGTGTCGCTGAGGTTTGTTAAAGCTCTATTCTCTAGATTCAATCAAAAATCTCAATTCAAATTCTGAATTTAAATTCAGTTCGACTTGATGATTAGAAATTGTTTCCAAACGTTGTGCAAAGAATGGATGACCGAATGTCATTGGTTTTGTGATTCGGTGACAGCGAGGGTGAGTGAAGGGAAGACCCGTGAAAGTATCAGCTTTAAGTTTAATATAATACTTACAATGTTTTTAGATTATGGGTTTATAAAAAAGTAAAGTATTCAATGTCTAAGCTTTAACTGTGCAGTTGGAAAGAAAAGTAAATCTCAGGGTTTCGACCGTCGTCGCTGTATGGATTGTTTGAGTTGGAGGGGACAAAATTGCCTTGAATGTTTCAATCTCTGAGTGATACCCTTCACCTTCACTAACTCAGCCTCTATTCTGCTTTAAAGTCTATTTCCTCTAATTGTGAGTGTATTTCTAAGCACAAACCATTTGGATTCATCCCAGCCGAAAGACATTTCTTATATCGACACGCTCGACAATTATTCCGTGTACCTATTTTCAATTTTTTTCAAAATAAATAAATTTCTCAAACTTTTCGTAATCACACAACAGTTCCCACGATAGCACTCCAGATTTTTTGAAGCTAAATAAGAACGACGAAAGAAACCCTTGCAACTCCTGAATTTTTTAGTTCATTTAGTTATCATTTTTAAAACTTACGGACAACACACGGTTCCATAATGATTCTGAGCATTGGAGTCACCACAGACGAGGCATTTCACATCAGCCGGATCACCGCTAATGATTGGTTGAGATGATGCAGTGATTGAGGACGAGGATTGATTTGCCACGTTTGGAGGATTCGTTTCTTGGATTGGATTTGATGGCGGGATAGAGGAGGTGGGAGGTGAGGGATTTGAAGAAGATGACGAGGTTGGCGGGCCGGGGATTGACTGAAAATCGATTTGATAGTGTTGCACTGACTGACAACTCTGACAATTAGTCCACTATTAGATTACTGTACTGATCAATAATTTTGATACAAACCTGTAAAACTGGGACATCTAAGTTAACAATAGACCGATCGTTTCTCGTTGTCGGCGGCTCACGCGACGGATAGCTGGGGATTGAGTTTAATTGTTGGAGGGTTGACGAGTGAAGAACGGAGGACGGGGGCGGGTTGAGGATTGGAGGCATCGGGAAATTTTGGCTCAAGTTTTGTTGCAAATTTTGTTGCAGATTTTGTTGCAAGTTCTGCTGCAAATTTTGTGCCAATCCCATTCCATTTTGTGTGATCATCGAGGTCGGGGGCATCATGTAGTGCATCGTTTGGGTATCGTATGAATAATGTTGTGGGCGAGAGTGGTGAGAGTCTTGAGAAGTGCCTTGTAGATGGGAACGGAATGAGGAAGAGGTGGGGAGGTTGGAATGGGAATTGGAGATATTCGAGAGAATCGGATAGTGTGGTTGCTGTGGCTGTTGTTGTTGTTGTTGTTGTGATTGGAGGTGCACGGTTTGCAGATGAGATTGGTGGAGAGATTGATGTGGATGAGTCATCATATGGGAATGGAGAGGCGGGACTGGAGGCATTTGAAGGGAATGCGTTGTCCGTTGTTGTTGCTGCGGTAGTTGGAGGGGATCATTGCCCAATCCATGCGGAAGATTCATCATCTATTCCCTGGAAATTGGAAGGATATCAATCAGAAATTTGAAAAGCTGGAGAATTTCGGAAATCGAGAATGGAAAGGCTCACTGAAAATTGAAAAAAATGTCAACAGTCAAAATTTTTGGAGTCAAATGGGAGAGAGGATTTCCGATAAATGAAAGGATTCAAATGCGTTCATGGAAAAAAGCTGTCAGCTTTGTTATTAAGCTTTCAAATGAAATGTTCAAACTGTGCCTCGAAAAAGTGATATTTTTTTGAGCAAAACAGGACAAGGTATACGTGATTTTCAAATCTTGGTTGAAATAGGAATTCAAGCTAACAGATAAAGTAAAAAGTTGGCTGTAGATAAGTTACGATTAATCCTGAGGAAATCAAGAGACAAAACTCTCAAGTCGGATCATCTTGCACTCTCAATTTGGCTAATGTTCAAGCAATGTCATGGCTTGACGGGATGTGGAATTTACGACAAAAATGGGGCCGGGATTGGGGAGGATCTTGGGAGGGATTTTCCAGTGGTTCGGCATAGCTGACGCAAAAGCAGAGGAGTCGGCTCAGTCGCTCCCCGCTCCTTTTCCTTTATTGATTCCAAAAAGGAAACCTATCTATCGGGGACGTGTGCCAGGCGACGAGCGATTACGCGGTCGCACAAAGAACACCCCAGTGATTTTTCTTTTGCTTTGTAAATGGCACAAAAAGAAGATATTCAGCTGGAAATCTGTACCCGGGGTTTATCGGGTTCAAGCAATCGATTGAAGCTAATTAAATCCAGATTTGATCCAGATCCAAAGATTTTTCCATCACAGAAGACACAGATCAGCTTATCAAAGTAAGATCTGTATGTAAGGCCATAAAAGACTTCAGATCAAAGTCTAAACTGTAACTTATCGGTCATATTGATGAACTTCATAACAAAAAAAAGGAGAACTACGTGTGAATGATCGGCTTTTCATTTTAAAAAGTGCTGGTGAAAATGAGGGAACGAAACGGGGGGTGCGGAGTGAGCTGAAGAGGGAAATGGAAAGAGAAAGGCGGAGATGCCCTGTACAAGCCAAGCGATCAATTCATCCCCGGTTACCACCCGACTATCCCCCCTTTTGCGAAACTATTCTCGTGAGAACAAGATTTAAGCTGTGCCGTACATGAACGAGTACTCTTTTTGTAGGCTGTTCTTTGCCCTTTTTCGGATAGAATTCGAGAATTTTGCGTCTCTTCCAGTCCTCTCGTTGTCTCCACAAATGAATGGCTAAGTAAACAAGCAAATAACGGGAGACTGACTAGTGGTGTCATTTTTATTGATGAAAAGACAAAGTAAGTGAAAAGGAGAGGTCAGTTGAGAAATTCAATGTTTGTAAACTATAAAAACTTATGCCAATTAGTCTATGCTGGAATGGGTTGGATAGAATTGTTACCGTATTTTCTGTAATAGTAGTGCAGTCTATAATAGTAGTGCAGTCTGTAATAGTAGTGCAGGCTGGAGGGGGCTTAAAAAAATAGTAGTGCGCACTACTATTACAGAAAATACGGTATCAGAGATTTATCACGAATATTTTTTGAAAGTAAGACCATGCCAGATCAAATAGTTCTTATAATATAACAAGAGATTTGAAATTTATAGTAGATTTTGAAAGTTTTGAAAGTTCGAAAGTTATACTGGGATTAGTTTTGATAGAGAATTTGTTAGCTGAGGTTTATTTTATCGTACAAGAAATGGAAAAGTTTTGAAAGTAAAGTCAAATTGTTATATCATACTCATCAATTCAGCCATTTTTCTAGTATTTGACTACTTTATAAGTGTCCTGCGTAAAACATTTAGCCAATAAATTAAAATGGATGCCATTCAGCAAACCGTGCGTCTTTTTTTGCGGGGGTAAATAAGATCGGGCAGGTGGGGGAAAGGAAAAGACATGAAATTGAAAAGTCGATAGATTTGCAAAGATTCGAGATTGGCTCTCGAGAGTTGAACCGTTTCGGAGAGAAGAGAAAATTTGTGGGAAAGAGGGGGGAGTCTGGAGGTGCGAGATCAGAGAAATGGGGATGAGAGAGAGAAATACAAAGAGAAGTACTGAAAATCAGAAAAAGATCTATGTTATGTTCTTAAAAGTTTAACCAAAGATTCTGTAAAGTTTAAAGCGCTACAGTAGGCTACTACAATACTTCACTACAGTCTGCCAAAGTAAAAATCTTCCGTTAACAAGCGTACAGAGCTTTGGCCTCAATTAAAACCTTTAATAAGAATCAAATTCAATCAAAACATTTTACTCTAGCAAATTGTAGCGAGAGATTTGCCTTCTAAGTTCATCGTAATACTAATAGCAGCAATTGTTTTACATAAAATATACAAAACTTGTCAGCCGACTATCTTTTACTACTGTAATACGACTGCGTACTGGTTTGATATTAGAAATTAGATGCTTACAATGACAAAAGATGTCTTACGATGTCAAAAGTTACTCAATAGTCTAGAAAAATAGAACATGTAGTTGATTGATCTGGGTAAAAAGAACAGGCGAAAAGATAAGAAAGAACAGGCATCAAGAACACGCAAAAAGTATAGCCAAAAAGATAAGAAAAGATAGTAGATCAATAAAAGATCAAAAATCACGTCTGAACCTGTTTTTTTGATGTTTATTATATTACAAGTATGAGAAAATGACGTCCATTGTTGGTTGTATATAAAAGAAAAAGTTGGTTGATTGCTGAAACTTTGACAGACCAGAAATAATACGCGAAAAAAACAAGTGATACATGAAATAGACAAAATATCAATGGATCGGTAGAGTGGAGACAGCATAAACCCGCATTCGAAAGGAAAGGCGAAGGCGAGAGAGACGGGAGAAGACTCTCGACAACTGATAACAAGCCCATGAAATGAGAAAAGGAAAAGGAAAAAAAAGACATGGACAGGCAAAGTTCTTGACTGAATGGTGGATGAATCCTTGAATGGACTTCCTCATTGCTCACTGACCGGCCGAGCTCGCGATCCCTTTTCCCCTTCTCCTCCTTTCATTCACCGATCCGGCTTCTCCTTGTCTCTTTTACCATTCCACACTCAATCTTTCTTCTAGATAAGGCCGGCCGCCGACACAAAAGGAAACGATCCATTACCCAATTTTTGCTCTCGGTCTGCTTTGTGGAACTTTGTTTTCTGGAACAAAGAATTTGAAGCAAAGAGCTTTTCGCAGAAATATCTAATGGCATAACTATTTCCGAAAGAATAGCCAGACAAGTCACCTAATGCTAGATCAGAATTCTAGGTCTTGCCTAGGAACAGCTTACTTAGATAACCAAAGTATGCACTTGTGGAAGGAATTGGAAAAGATTACAAACAAAATCAAGACTAAATAGCAGACTTTTAATAGCAGCTAAGCAGCTTTAATAGCAGTCTTTTAGTGTCTATTAGTAAATGTTTTTATTCCAAAGAACTGTTGGAAAAGGTTACCAAAACTATACAGTATCTCTTACTATACAGTCTTTAGCTAAACAAGTCAGGCAACAAATATAAAAGAAGAATAAAGGCTTGAGTTGAGGTCTGTAAAGATAAGTTGACTTGAGGATTCAGTTCTCAAGTCAACTTATCTTTACAGACCAACTCAAGTCAACTTATCTTTACAGCAACAAGCTTATGTACAAGAATAATGTTTATATAATGTTTTGCAAGAATGTGGGTGTTTAGATAAACAGATTATTTTATATATTTAAACATAAATCAATGGGTTGATAAGGAAATGATGGGGATGTAAAAATGGAAGGCGGTAGACGTCAAGATGTACTGTAAAGAGGGAAAATGGGAAGATTGATGAGTGCGGTGAAGAAAGAGAAAGAGAAAGAGAAACGAAGTGTCTTCAGATGGTCCAAAACGGATGAAGGCAACGGAGGGCAAAGATTTCCATGGAAACGGGAAGAAAAGAGAAATTCTTGAGAAGTGAAGATATTTGAAAAGAGCTGAGAGAGGTGAGTAATCACTTTCCCCAACTACACAGTTTATTCGAACAAATCCTTTCACGGGATGGAATCGAAATTAAGATCAGATTTGAGTGTAGTTTAGAGAACAATAAAAAGAGAACGAAATCAATTTTCTTGGAACCATTGTTCAAAACACTGTTCAATCTCAAGTCTAAACCTCTATTTGATCTCTAAACAATAACAAGCATAGAACAAAACGTTTTTTCCTATTCAAACAATAGATATAGATAGATAGATAGATAGAACAATAGATAGATATCCAATCAATTCATTGGTATCTGGGTTTCTTCTGTCGTCTAGGTCAAATCTAGGGTCCAATGGTATCACGAACCTAGTTGGACTGGCTAAAACCAAGACCGGATCGATTCTGGTTGATCCAGAAGAAACAATCGATTCATATTAGGTTGAGGAAAAAGTAATGTCGCTTTTCAATTCCCCGTTGTTGGCAATTCTCCAGTTCTTTGCTTATGCGATTTTTTCAAACAGATATCAGCTAGACATTCTATACTTTCATATTATATTTAACTTTTACAAATTTAACAATATTTTCAGGCACAAAATGCAAGACGAAAAGTTTCGACTTTGTGGTATGATTTTAAACAAGGGAAATCCGCGGCTGAATCGCATCGGACAATCATTAAGTTTTTGGGGGAAGACAGCATTAGCGAAAGACAATGCCAAAGATGGTTTCAGCGGTTCAAAGATGGAAATGAAAGTCTCCAAGACGAGGAACGGTCTGGACGGCCCCAGGAGATTTCAGATGAGAATTTGCTTGATGCCATTGAACTCAATCCAACCGTTACCACTTGTGAGTTAGCGGACACATTTGGGATGGACCAAAAAACAATCGACAACCACTTACATCAGTTAGAAAAAACAATTCACTGCGGAATATGGGTTCCTCATGAACTGACTCAAGGCAACAAAACAACTCGTGTTATCGTTAGCTCTACTCTGCTTCAAAAAGGCAAATCTCTGATTTTTGGGGAAGAATTCTAACATCTGATAAAACATGGATTCAATATGAGAATGTGAAGCGCAAAAATCAGTGGCTTTCTCTTGGTCAACCCCCACAACAAACTTCAAAGCCCGGTATTCATGGAAAGAAACTTATGCTTTGCTGTTGGTGAAATACAAAAGGTTTAGAGTATTATGAGTTGTTGAATCCTGGTGAAACTGTCACCGCTGAACGTTATTCAAAACAGTTGATGAGAGTTAACGAGGCTTTAAAGAAATTGGGCGTTGAAACATCAAAAGTGCTATTTTTGCATGATAATGCAAAACCTCACGCTGCAAAAAATCACTCACCAAAAAATCGACGAGCTTGGTTGGAAACTTCTGCCCCACGCGACTTATAGTCCGGACCTGGGCCCATCAGATTATTTTTTGTTTTGGTCGTTGAAGAGTTTTCTTATGGGCGAAAAGTTTGAGGATCATGCACAGATCAAAAAAGCAGTCGACACTTATTTTGGCTCGAAAACTCCCCATTTTTTTTGAGGATCCGATCAGGGACTTGCGACAAAGATGGGAACAAGACATCCATAATAATGGATGAATATCTCATTGATTGATCGTTTGTCTATGTTTTTAGCAATAAACAATTTTGTGACAAAAAGCGACATTACTTTTTCCTCAACCTAATATTTGGATTTGGATATCAGGGTTATTTCAGAAGTATTTTTCTGGACCGGCCCAAGAAAAGCCTGATCCAGAAAGAAAAAAAGCCATCTCGAAAAGCCAGCTCGGACCAGGTCCTGCTGGCTTTGCTGCGGACTTGGTTTGGCTAAATCTGGACCTTGGATCTAGATTTACTTTGCCTTGTCTGGCTTGGCACCATTGGCCTATACCCATGAAGCATTTCTGATGGATATGACTATACAGCATAAGTATATCATACTTGTTCATTTTCTTTATATTGGGCTTATCATCTCATCATTATCCACTGCACATCAGAATTTCATCGAATGAGTTTTGGCTTTATTAGCTGCTAAATGCTCATATGTTCATATTTAATAAAAATATAACTAAATTATTTATTCCTCGACAACAAAAAGAACTTTGGCAGCTTGTATTTACACTGGCAAAATGAGGCAAATATCGATTTTGATAATATCTTATCTTAATTATATCTTAATTTAAAAAATATTTAAATTGATAGTTCAATTCAGAAATTGAATACATACCCAGAAAGTGAAAAGTCAAAGTGAAAAGTAAAATCAGTAAAGTCAAAGTGAAAAGTCAAATGAGCGACCACGAATGAGCAATTGGTTGTGCTTAAAAGCAATCATAATTCACGAAAGCTATTATGAAGTAGGATATTGTGGATGAGAAAAATATTGTTGTAGAGGGGGTTTAAAGGGGTGAAGGGACGGTTCGGTGATGGTAGTCCATTGAACGAATGATTGAGAAGATTGGGGCGCTGGGGGGAGATCCATTGGTGGAATGGGAGGTGGATGAGTGGATTGATGGAAAGGATGGAGATTGTTTGGTGGGGGTGCAGCCTGGAACGATCGTTCATTTATAAATGAAGAGTCTTTTCACGAAAATTACTTTTATCTCTGTAACCGACATTTTATTTTTGATTTGTTTACCAAGTTTTCTGGGAAAGATACTTTACCGTAGCTCTACCGCAGCTATCGTAATCTGCTTAAAGCCATGGTCTTTAAGCTATCCTGATCCTTCCTAGCTTCAAATTACGAGGAAAGAGCCAAATCAATCGCTCTTCTAGCAATCTATACGACTACAGTAGAGACTATTTAGCTTACTGTAACGTTTACTAACCGATTACGGTAGCTAAATCAAACTTTAAAGTCCTTAACCAAGTCGATGATCAGATAAAGTTTTTCAGAATTGACAGTACGGCTAGCAAACAAGTACGGCTAACAAACAAGTACGGCTTTTCGGCAAACAAGCCAATTTTTCAAAAAACATTACAGATACTCACCATCACCGGGTATTGTGCAGAATTCTGAAGCAAAAGCGGGGCATTCGGATGAGACGAGGTACGGTAAAGACAAGAGCGATTGTCGAGCGGATACCCCGGGTATACTGGCAAATCTTGACGTTTAGAAATCCCCGGAACAGTGGACAACTGAAAAGGGCACTACTGTAGAAAGTTCTAAATAAAGTTTTGTTGACTTACAGCCAAATAGGAGCGCGATCGTTTCTTCTCGACATTTTCCGGTTGTGTCGGCTGGGATGAGGCTCGAGGGCGCACTTCCTCGTGAATCTAAAAAATATTTCAATAGAAATTTTCTCCTTTTCATCTTCACCGATGATTGTGAAGTTGACGGTAGCAAACCGGCTTCCTAAAATGGATTTTTTTCATTGGAATAATAGCCGAGTGGCTAATAGTTCTGTATCATAGTCGGCAGGTCAATCCCGTTGGTAGGGTTCAATCCCGTTGGTAGGGTTCAATCCCGTTGGTAGGGTTCAATCCCGTTGGTAGGGTTCAATCCCGTTGGTAGGGTTCAATCCCGTTGGTAGGGTTCAATCCCGTTGGTAGGGTTCAATCCCGTTGGTAGGGTTCAATCCCGTTGGTAGGGTTCAATCCCGTTGGTAGGGTTCAATCCCGCGGGCTAGATTTTTGCCAGCTTTCTTCCTATATTTTGGCTTAGGGCTTGTGCTTTTGTGTTGTTTGTATCACATTATTTGTGTGAATAAATGTATTCTTTAGCTCTCACTTGTTCCAAATCGTCGAACATTTCGGCTAACGTGTAATCGGTTGGTGCCTCGCGGAGAGAAAATGGCATTTTACGGGGTTCCGACTCGACGGGTGATTTACACGATTCGGGTAAACGGCGTTTCTGAAATTCTTTATTAAGTCATACTGTAGTTTAGAGCTATCTAGACTCACCCTTACAGCCAATGGATGATCGGTTTGTACAGCTCGATCCACATAGAGACTCTTTTTTGGCGAGATCGTCGACGAAGAGGAAGATGTTGAAGATAAACTCAACTAAAATTGAAATGAAAATGTTTTCCAAAGTTTCCAAAGTTTCCGAAGTTTCTTACCGTTCTAACCCCTTCAGTCGTTTGTTCTTCTTCAAAAGGTTCAACGGGGAAACAACCAAAAAGATTACTCATCAACGGAATGTGCGGTTGAGAAGAGAATGTTTGAGCGAACACGAGATTCTCGCACATTTCGTTGGCCAGAGTCTAAATGGAGCTTTTGTAGATGAAAATCGTTGACTTACAGAAACAGTTGGTAAAGAGAGGAGAATGTTTCCATAATGGACAGAGCTTTGACCCGGTCGAGTCTCGCGGATCACAGCGAAGAGGCATTCCTGGAAGGGATCATTACTGAGTAGGGTAGGACACATGTCGGTGTAGCTCATTGATGGAGCGCTAGCACAGTAAGCGAGAGGTCGCGGGTTCGAAGCTCGGTCTTTTATAAACTGATAAAAGGACCGGCGTGTCTAACTACTGATGGCTCGTAACAGGGTTATTACAAAGCTTCTGCATTTGCTTGGCTTGGCTTGACTTACAAGAAGCCCCAGAGTCTATCAGAAGCCATAGATCTTGCTTCTGGCCTGAGCTAGAGCTTATAGAATCTAGTTGATAACTTAGGTTGATAACTCTATCTATAGGAAAAGCTTTTGTTCACATTATTCAATGTATTGAGTGTTTTCATTTTAATCAAAAATTACATTTCAAAATATAAGCCAACTTGCGCTTCTTTTAAAGCATTCCCAACCTGTATCTTATTCCTTAGCTCAATCAACATGTCCGAGGCTTTCTCTGATAGATCTTTGTACACTGAAAATTGTTTAGATTAATGTTGTGGATCTTTTCAACTTACATGGATTGAGGACGACAATCGACGCGAGACAAACAATTTCTTCTTCTCTTAGCGCCACTCGTCGATATGGTTCAACGAGTTCATCTAGGACTCGATCCACTAATCCATTATTCCAGTGACTAAATGGATAAGCTTTTTAATAGAAGATAGAAGATAGAAAGATAGAAGCAAAATTGTAACTGTTTAAGGGTAGTAGATTTTGTGTGTTCTTTGTTCTCTTGCAAACGTAGAGTGCACAGAATATAGTTGAATATAGTCAATTTTACGATACGAAAAGAAAAATCAGTTATGAATCTGTTTTTTATATTGAAAATCAACCGACTAGCAGTCATTGTAGAGTTTGCTGACATCACGCGTAATGTACGTGAAATTGCACATGCATAGAACGTTTGGATTCTGGGTGTTCATCGCCGTCCGCACTGACACTTTGAACACCAACAATGGGAGGAATGAGCCTTTCACTAAGGCGATCTGAATTCAGATTTTGAATGATCAAGCATTTCTGTGATTACAATTTTAGACAGAATCCCTCATCTAGAATTCTCTTATCTATTCTCTAAAGATCTCTTACCCGATCTTCAAGCGATAATTTCTCTGGTAACAACTCTGACAAGTACTCGACCCAATCAATTGCCGCTATCAAACGCCGATAAGCGATCGGTGAAAGTTCCCCATTTCGACATAAACGATCTCTTTCGTATCTCATCTGAATACCTTTTTTAATTAATTTTTTTCACTTTTTCACCTCCGATCGTTTCCCTTTAAGTATCGCTGGATCTTCTAGAAGTTCTCGCAAAGTTTTTGCTTTCAATGGATACAAATTCGAGAGCTCTTGATTCGTGTCACCTCGTGAGATCTAAAAGATTTGTTTTTTTGATTTTGATTTTGATTTTGATGTTAATTGACCTTTGTCTCAAGGTTAAGCAATGTCATCAGCATTGTTCTCATTTCAACCGATAGCCGTTTACCCCATTCCTCGCTCGTTGATGGGATTCTTTCGGAGGCCTAGAAAATTTGATTCTAGTTTTTTAAAGGGGATTTTTGGGATGATACTTCTTCGGTTCAACAGAATTCTTCGGTTCAACAGAATTCTTCGCTTTCAATCTTCTTCAATCTTGAATCTTGAAATCTTTTACCGGATTTGGTTCAACTCTTATCGGCGTTTTCTTGTTTTTTCTTTGTTTTCCAGTGAAATCTCGATCCGGTCGCACGGCAGCTGGATTCATTCCCGCTTCAAGGCAAGCTCTCAAGCGACAACTACGACAATTTGTTCGAGCATCTAAAGTGATTCGTCTAAATCAAGAACAAGAGAGTTTTTATGAAAATTCAGTATCAAAGCAAAAATCTTGAAACTTTCTTGTCCACAAACCTTTCGTTATATGACATGTGCCCAAGCCAAGACACTCCAATTGATCGATTTTCTTCAAGGCTCGACGAAAGAATCTGAATTTTTAGCTGAAAAACTTGTTTAGCTTTCATTTGAGCTAGCTAACATGAACAATTTCTGAAAATGAAATCTTATTTAAACTCTCATTCAACTTATTCAGTAATAGAAACGATTTCTACAATATCAACCAGTAATTTACACCTCAAATCTTTTTCCTTTTGCCAGAAATCTTCTAGATTCTATGGAGTGTTAAAACTAGTATTTACAGCGGATCTATCTAGGTAATAAAGGTAATCGTTATATTCTTAAACTGTGGGTATAGCATAGGATATGTTTATCTATATCAACCCCTTGCATCCGACACACGCCAACGCTCCATAATGCATTTGTGCGCCGGGTTGTCCACAAACACGACACATGACTCCATCTCCTCCACTCGGCGATCCCAATCCTCCTTGTCCTTCGTCCGATGAACCCTCCGATGAATCTTAAATGATTTTTGATAATTTCCTGAGAATTTAAAAAGTCGATATCTTTGATTTTATAAAAAGAATATCTCTTTTCTTTTTGTAATATCATTTTAATATTTTATCCGCTAAATCCTGACCCTGATCTTTTGATATAACTGAGAAAAAGATTCATTTTTGCGAGATCATCAAACTTTAGCATTTTACGGTTTTACCATAAACAAAAATAGTTGAGAAATTGAAAATCAAACCAATAATGAATTGTTGTCGCACTTGCGACATCAAAATGGGAATGTGGAGAGATGTGGAGAGAGGTTTTCTGAAAATACAAGGTTAAGTTTTCAAATAGAATTCGAGAGAAGTTCGAGATTCGAGAAGTTCGAGAGAAGACTGACAGAGATATCTGAACGACTGACAGGGATATCTCAATAGTCTAACAATATTGCGATGAATAGAGACAGCCGCAATAAGTTTAAGTTTAAAATTCAAGCTTTGCTTGACTTTGTCGAAGAATTGAACAATCTTAAATATTAGGGTTCAGAGGAAAAAAACAATGTATATTTTAAAGACTTAAAAAGCTGATACATTTAACAGATCAATTTAGATGATAAAAGATGGAAATAAGCAGATCTATTGCTGGAAATGGATCCAGAAAGAAAAAAGAGGGAAGACGAAGGACGAACGAACTACAATAGTCATTACAAAGCTCAAAAAGGGCGAGAGAATCATGGTTATGCAGAAATACTCATCGAAAATGAGAGAAAAGCGAATCGGGGTTTTTTTGAGTGTGAGAGAGGAGAGTGATCTGTCACATGGTTCTCATCCATATCGATAGCTCTCACTCGATCATTCTATCAAAAGTAAACCGGAGAGTAGCTTAATTTTATTCTAAACCCTTCTCCAAAACTTTATCGATTAGTTTTTTCAAAAATGTTGTTCTTCATTAAGTTGATGGGGTTTTTGTAGCGGGTTTTCTGATCGAAAAGTCTCAAAAGTCTCAAATCAATAAATAAATAGGATAATCCTAATATTTGTAACAGTTCATATCAGACTTTAAAGACCCAAATACCGTAATTATTCTATTCTATTCAAATTTTGAGAGATAAGGAAGCAAATTTAGAGAGATAAGCACCATGTAGTCTACCGATGTTTTATGAAATCATTTTTATTCTCAGCCTCCAGATTTTTCTCAATTACCTCTTTGATATCAAAAAGTACTAGATTAGAAGGACTATCGTTTGACATCCAAGCGCACATTATAGCATAAAGCAGCGCTGAGAACGGAATGTGAACTGCGCGGCAATACCTCGTCATTATTAGAACTTCTTTTAGAATAATTATGGTAAATGAAACTAGATCAAATAAGAAAAGCAAATACTAGATTAGAAGGGATATCGTTTGACATCCAAGCACGCATTATAGCATAAAGCAGCGCGCAGAACGGAATGTGTAAAGTTAGACTGCGCGGCAATACCTCATCATTATTAGAATACTTCTATTAGAATAATTACGGTAAATGAAACTAGATCAAGTGGTGAAAGCAAATAAGAAAAGGAATCAAAAGGCAGAGATCGATTTGATCAAACGAAAGTCTTGCATGTGAATGGGAGAAAACATCAATAAATGGTAAAGGTAAACAAGAAAATCATGGAGAAAAATGAGAGAAAAGGAAGGAGAGAAGAGAAAACAGATTTTGCTCAATTTTTCATGAAGTAGGCAAGAGAAATGTGAAAAGGAAAAGTTTTTGACGATTTGATAGAAATCAAATCGAAATATCTATGGAAAGAAACATTTAAATGAATGTTTTTGAATGGGAAAACAAGATCGAACAGTAAAATGCACAATCCCAGTGAAAAATGAACAGTGAACAATGAACAATCCCAGTTGATTCACCGATTGCGAAAATCCCTGACTACAAATTTACATCTCAAAATCTTCTTTCTATACCATTTACAATAGAAAACAAATCTTTATGTAAAAGGTTTGTTACGAGGTGTTTTTTTGGGCCCAAAGAACACCACGCAATGCCAAATGCCCAAGTTCTTTGTGTTCTTTGTGCCCAAATTTTTGGGAACAGTTTCCCCCCCCCCAATTCTATGTCTTTGTATTTTTAGTAAAAATTCTACATCTCGTTAAACTATTGTTTCACTTAAACAGTAGCCAAACTGGAAGAGAAACAATGCGTTCTGACTTGAGTTTTCTCTCAATTTTCTCCAGATTCGTCAGTCAAATCAACCTCTATTTGATGTCATTTGAAAGGCTAAAGTTTTCTCATTAAAATCAAAATCAAACTGAATAGTGCAAAAGAGAGAAATCTCTAGAAGAATATTCAGAAAACTAAAGACTGAATAGATTTGATTCTTGATTGATTTCTTAAAAAGAATCTCTCAAATGACTCTCTCAAAAAGAATCTCTCAAATGAATCTCTCAAAGAGAATCTCTCAAATGACCAAGGCCTTCCTTTCCTTTGCGAAATATCGGAAGTTTGAGCGATAATAAAACGTGAAAAGAACAACAAAAAAAAGGCTTTTCTTTTTTTTCTGACCTCATTTTGGCGTCACAACCTTAGCACTCAATGTGTCCCTTTTGCAGAAAAGGGAAGATTTTGAAATCACTCAAAAAGGAACTGAGTGAATCATCGCAAGAGGAATTGATATTGCATAGGAATTGAGGAAAAGGAAATTTAAAGAATCAGGAAGTTCAATGACTAGAAGTAAAGGGTAAAAATTTCATTTATTTAGATAAATCATCAAAACGGAAATGAGAATGAAAAAACATGAATTACATGAATTTTAGAGTGGCTATTTTGAGTCGGCTATGAAAATTCTAATATAAAGAAGAGAAATCTAAGAAAGCTAAGAAAGCTAAGAAAGCTAAGAAAGCTAAGAAATCTAAGAAATCTAAGAAATCTAAGAAATCTAAGAAATCTAAGAAAGCTAAGAAATCTAAGAAATCTAAAAGTGTGAATACAGTAAAGTCGATTAATTTTGTCAAATCTAAATAAAGAGATGAAATTTTTAACTTAAAAAAAGCCTTTAGCAAAAGAATCTGGGATTGTTCATTGTTCACTGTTCATTGTTCACTGGGATTGTTCATTTTACTCTGCACAAATCTGCCACCAACATATTCTTTTACGACTCAATTCTCTTTTTTTTCTTGTTTTTTTTTTCAAAACTCTTTAAATCTCGTAAAGATTTAGTGAGTGAAATAAACTTTTTTTTTTTAAAACAAAGTTAAACAACTTAAAGCTCTAGTTATAGTAAATTAATTTCTAAAACGATCATTTTTCTTTAAAATATGAAACTAATAAGGTTTTATGTTAGTTAAACAATAATGATTAGAGATTATCGATATCAATTATCGAGATCGATTATCGAATAAGCTCAAACTTGAATCTCTTTGTCAAAAATTTCTTTAGAAAACTATCGAGTGGGGAAAAGAGAAAAATCGAAATCAAATTTCAAAGAGAAAGAGAAAAAAGAACGAAAAAAAGTGCTGAAATGATAAGAGAATTTCGAGAAAGAATGGGAAAACGAAGGAGAACGGTGATGAGATCAAGGTTTACAAAAAGAATATAAAAATACAAGGACTGGCCAATTAAAGATACCGGTTAGAGATCAAGGTTTACAAAAAGAATATAGAAATACAATGACTGACCAATTAAAGATACCGATTAGAAAAGACTGTGAGAAAAGAAAAGAGCGATATTGTATTTCTGTATTTCATTGTGAGCGATATTGGAAAAGATATTGTCACAGAAGCACTCAAATTCTTGAGCGTACTCTCGAAAAATTGAAAAGAAACCCCTTCTGGCTCATTAGTTTTTAAAGAGGCGCTTTCTCAAATGTGATTCTTTTTCGTTTTCTAAGATCCAAAAACTATCGTAAGCAAGAGTACTAAAGAATTTTGCTTTCAGGCTTCATTCTATGTGAATTCATGAAAGATTATGATAGCTTTAAGAAATTTGATCGGTTACAAAACTGTAGATGAGTTTAGGTGATTTAGCTTTAAATAAAAAGGTGATTTCAAAACTGAACTCTATTTCATTTATTATCTTTTTGTACTTATTCTTTACAAGTACAAAAGTTTAGGCTTTTTCTTTTTGTACTTATTCTTTACAAGTACAAAAGTATAAGCTATTCTTTCAAACTTTATAAGTTTTTAAGTACAAGTTATTCTTTCAAATTTCAAAGAGCTGATTTCAAGACTGAACTCTATTTCATTTACCTTTTTGTACTTATTCTTTCAAAAGTTTTATATAAGTTTAAATACACGAAATATTTGTTGTTTTCCCTAGATAATGAATGTATAATTGTGTGAGAGTTAAAAGAAAAAAAGAAAAAGAAAAAAGAAAAAGAAAAAAGAAAAAGAAAAGAAAAAGAAAAGAAAAAGAAAAAAGAAAAAGATCATTCTCTTATTTTTGCACAATTTGGCGAAATGCAAGATGATGATTGATTGAGTGGAGAAATGGGAGAGTTGAGAGTAAATGAAAATGAAGAGAAAAATAAAGAGAAAAATTGGGTAGATAGAGTTTGAATTTGTTGAATACAAACAGATATGGTCATCCAAGATATGATGTGACAAAAAGATGTTTAAATTGGACTTTGTAGTCAAATTTATCTATGGAAAACGATGAAGTGAAAAGGATTGAATAACAAGAAGTTAAACTTCATTAAAATAAAGCCTAGAAGATTGTTTAGAAATTGATTTACTATTGAGAAAGATGTTCTATGTTCACTGCTCATTGTCATTGGAGAAGGAGAAGCTAAAGCCGAAGCTAAAGCAGAAGCTAAAGCCGAAGCTAAAGCAGAAGCTAAAGCCGAAGCTAAAGCCGAAGCTAAAGCAGAAGCTAAAGCCGAAGCTAAAGCAGAAGCTAAAGCCGAAGCTAAAGCAGACGAACTTTAAACAGCAACTAGTCCAATGATCAAGTTTAGCAGAAAAACTTTCGTCAAATCAATGGCACTTTTTATGTGTTTTTTGTCAGAGTAAAAGGCACGACTCTCGTTTTTTTTCCCTTTCTGTCTATGCACGAATTTTTAGGAAAGAGAGAGAAATTTTCGGGGGGTGATAAGGTGCCCTGTCCTCTCCCCTTCCCATCGACCGGATTAATGCCCATGAGCGGCCGAACATCAATGATCATTTCATTTCTCAATATTTCCCAGTCATTTTCCCCCCCAATCAGTTCTTTGTTCATCTCTGTACTCGTTTATTTTTATTTTCTTTTCTTGATTTTCATTACCTAATCTTTTTTGTTCTTGATTATTTTGAAACTTTGAAAGTCCATTTTTTATCCATTTTTCTTTACTGACTGAATAACTTTACTTAGGTTAAAGAGTTTTAAAGATAACTCTTGTAGACTGAATATTTTTACTATAATGAAGACAATATCTGGCAATGAGCATTTAAAGTATCTTAGAAATTATCCAGATATGTGGCCCCGTTCAATTCTCATCACTGGCGCTAGTCGGGGAATCGGGCTGGGATTGGTGAAGGAATTCTTGGCAAGATCCGAAGTGGAACACGTATTTGCTGGAGTCAGGGATCCAAATAGGGCACCGGTAGATGATTTTATTATTTAGAGTATAAATCCTTTTCCAGAATTTGGCCTCAATCAGCGATCCGAGGCTAAAAGTGATCGCTCTAGATATTCTTTCGGATCAATCGATTGAAGGAGCTGTTGAAGAGGTTTGGTTATCCAATCTTGGAAAGATGCAGTCAGTCTTGGCTCAATGGTTTTACCAGTACCGATACTGAACGAGTTTAAGGTCTTGGTGTTGCTAAAAGAAAATCTTTCTTGAAGATAATTTAACTCTAATAGATACTGGATAAAGATAAACTGTAAAAACTGTAAAACAAACAAACAAATTCAGATTTCAAAAGTTGTCGGTGAGAAAGGATTGAATGTTTTGGTGAACAATGCTGCTATAATGGTTCAATATCATTTCCAGTAATTGAAAAAAAGATTGAGCAATAGAGCAATAGATTTCAATTTTAAGCGAATCACCGAATCGGGCGAAAATCGACGAGGTGATGCGCTCGAATGTCACGGCGCCGATCATCGTCACTCATGTGAGAATATTGAAAAGGTTTAGAGAAAAATCCGAGTTCTTATTGGTAGCTTCAATAAAATGAATAGCTCTAATCGATTCGGCGACTTCGAAAACCCCCGGCTACAAATTAACAGCTGAATATCTTCTTGTGCAATCTACAAAGGAAAAGAAAAATTACTGCGGAGGTGTTCTTTGTGCGGCCGCGTAACCGCTTGCTTTCTGGCGTAATCCCGATAGATAGGTGTTCCCAATTCTCTTTGACTACATTAAACAGTAATCTCCATCCATTTCAACCATTCAGTATTTCCTGCCACTCCTCCGAAAAGCCCTACCACGCGATGCGAATTTCCTTCCCTCTCATGCAGCAATTATCAACATTGGCTCGGATTATGGATCTTTGACGAAATGTTCAGTTTATGGATCGGGCGGAGAATTGGGGCATTTACCACATAAAGTCAGCAAGGTGGGTGGGGATTTTGGTGGTAAATGGAAAATGGAAAATGGAAAATGAAAGTGTTCCAGGCTGGATTGAGTCAATTCTCTCGAGTTCTATCGGAAGATTTGAAAGCGGAGAAGTTGTTGGTGGTGACTTTGCATCCAGGATGGGTTTCAACTGATATGGGGACAGATGCCGCCGATATTTCGGTGGATATTTTGAAAAAAACATCAAGAATATTGAGATTGCGGTGCTCTTAGAAAGCAGCTACCGAGCTACCGTAATCTTGTAATATTTTTGTCTACAGTAATCCTTTGTTTACAGCAAATCTAAGTCAAAAGTAGTAAAGCTCTGAGCTCAAAAAGTCTTCCATATTTCCAGGTGGGGGAGAGTGTCGGCGCGCTGGCCTCAACAATCGAGCTTCTCAATGAAACTCATCATGGTGGATTCTTCGATAGAAATGGAGAACCCTTACCATTGTGATTGATTTTATTTGATGAGAAATAAATCAAAACTTTGCTTGACAAAATTCTTTTCAATGAAACTCATCATAGTGGATCGAAATGAAAAACCAAATGGAGAAATGGAAAATAAAGTTATTTGAAAAAATAACGAGGAAATTCACATGAGAAGGCAACAATGGGGATTGGGGAATGGGTAATGGCTGAATGGAATGAGGAATGAATAAAGAAAACAACATTTCACAGGCAAAAACCAACTAACATCACTTGCATTCAAGAGCTACAAAAGGAAGAAAAAAGGAAAAAAGTGAATTGAATTGTAAAAGAATATTTTGGCGGAGTGATCCAATATACTGCAGGAGTGATCGTCGACCGATTTGTGCTAAAGGTTTTAATGTTTATTAAATTACTCAATTAACAACTCCAAAACATATCCAGTCTTGTCGATTTAACACATTCATCTAAGATAATGTTAGTTTACTTTTTCATGAATCTACTCAACCTCTTGATGAGAATCAGTGGATACTGTACTCCAGTGAGCTTTATCTTGTGAGTGAGTGAGCTCAGTGAGCTTTATCTTGTGAGCTTTATCTTGTGATAATCAGTGGATACTGTACTCCATTGTAAGTTCATAGACAAAAGGAACTTAGTACTTGATAGGACTATAGACTGACTGTAGGGAAATACAGTCTAACAGTCAAGCAAAATTTCTAACTATCTCCAGCTTTTTTAAACTGAGATAGTACAGACTGTAGGTCTCATAGTCAATTATGAATATAGTACTGCAATACAGTAAGTACCATAAAAACTCTAACAAGAGCCTCTTTTTTTATTTTGAGCTTATACTGTAACCCAAAAATTACCATAACAAAAAATAGGTATTTTGCACTTTTATTAGTGTAGGGATTTTTCGAAGATGATTAGATCTGGTCAGAGAATGAGGTGGATGAGAGGAAACGATCGCTCAATTGTTCGAAGAACGATTGTTCAAGTGAAGAGAACGACGAAAAACCGCTCGACTCTTCCCGAAAGCTCAAGGTCTATTTAAAGGCCTATGAAGCTCAAATTGGAAGCTAGCAAATACGTCAAAGATTTTTCTATGCTTGCGGCAGAAAGAAGAATTGGGTTGATCGTGTGATGATGAACCGGACAAGAAGAAAACTTGTGCAGCAAGAAAGCCAAGCAAGAAAGACAAGCAAGAAAGCCAAGCAAGAAAGCCAAGCAAGAAAGCCAAGCAAGAAAGCCAAGCAAGAAAACAAAACATTTGAAAGGAGGTGGGCGACACTTGGCGCTGGAGAACGAGGCTGTTACTAGGAATCTCTGTTTGTTTGATTGTTTGATTTGAAAATTTGTTTAATTTCTTAATTTTGCATGAAAAATAAAAGCCTCCTCTCTATTAGAAGTCCAGTTTGGAGGCGAGTTGACAAATAGAATCCCTGGAGCTTCTATTAGAATCATTACGGTACTATATGAAGCTTACAACAATATACTGACACTGTACTCCATCTACAGTACTGATACCGTACAATGCTATATGTCTATAGCTGGAAATCTGCTTATAATATGTAGTTCTGTCGATCTATCATTGCTATTATTTACTTTACTATAAATTGAGCCAACAATTGACTCGATCTTAGGTGATCTTTTCGTCTTTCTTTCAAATCTTTCATTTGAGAAATGTAGGAAAGTAAATTGAGTGAAGAAAAGTCTTTGAAATTCGAGGAGGAGACTTTGCTCTTGCTTTTGAAGATGGATTTGAAAGAAGGAACGGTCAAAGGTCTTAGAAAAAGAAGAGAGGACTAGTTCAAGAAAAGGATGAATGACATCTTTTGGAAGGAAAAGAAAGAAAGAAAGGAAGAAAGAAAGAATAGAGCTCATCTCAATAATTGCTTGCCTCTCATCCTTTGACAATCCCTAGTAAAAAGAGGGTTTCGAGCTTTGGCCATCGGAAGATTTAGGGATGAACCGGTCAATCCTCTTCTTTCTCGTATTCATTTTCCATCTAGTTCTCTTTGAACAAGATTTAATTTTTAACTTTTATTCTACCAGAGTCAACTAGAACTCGTTTGTTTATCACTTTCATCTTTTTAATATTCTTCAAAAACTCGTTCTTTATTAGACTCGATTAAAAAACAGACAAGATTATGATAACTTTTAAAAGTTAACTTTTTAAAGAGTTTAGGCATTGTTTTTTAAAACTTTAACTTTTACAGATCTAAAATCCAATCCAACTTCTTCACTTACTTTCAAAGCAATTGCTGAATCACAGCCCAATTTTGTTCATTCACCCATCAATTTATTCAATTTCTTTCAAGAATCTTCAATTCTTTCACTGTCATTTTCTTTTTTTGCACAACAAGTTTTTCTCCTTTCCTTACTCATCCATCTTCATTTCTTTCCACTCTTCAGTTCATTGAAGCTTGAGCAAATTGAAGCATATGCAAATTTTTGTCGGCAATGCCATAAAGTAAATCTATTAATTGCGCGTCTTGCATCCAAATTCGCGTTAATTCAAGCATTATTTCATTTTCCTAAATATTTTTCTTCAAGTATTCGTCTTTATATTCTTTTGTTAATTTGCCAATTCTACATTGCTACATTGAAAAGTGGCCAAATGACAGATTCGCCGGAGAGATGTCGACTAGCGCTCATTCAAGCGCTTGTTAAATGAGTTGTATAAGTCCAATCGGGATGTTTTTGGTAGATAAATGTTGCCGAGAATTAGGCCTACAATTCTCTGCATAACACTTGCCACTTTTGAAATAAATTAGACATTTCCCAGATACTCTTCCAAAAAGTTGTTGCGGTAATTCTTGGTCACCCTGCATAAATTAAAGCCGAGTTCCTAGCTGAGGAAAGCTTAAATCCTTAGCTTAAATTTAGCTTTAATTTAGCTTTAATTTAGCTTTAATTTAGCTTTAATTTAGCTGTATTTTGTTACAAATTCTACATCCTATTAAACCATTGTGCTACTCAAAGTCCTCTATATATGAATTTGTATGGAAATTAGTCTAAAGATGTCTAAAGATGTCATAAATCACGTTTTCTCTAAATGGCAACACCACAGTTCTACAAAAACGTGAAAGTTTCCAAGAATATGTACTTGAGAATGTTTCCATTTCGATTTCATTGTAATCATTTGACCTATATCTAGATATTGAACAGAGGTTGATTGTCCATTCCTCAATCTCTTCTCCACTTGAGATCACCTCTTTTCCCCTTTTTCCATCAGATGAACACCGGTCTTTTCTAATGATCTCTTCAATCTTTTTTCCCTTTTTTACAACCATCTGATCGATGACGTTTAAGAGAATTTGAAAGAACACGTTCACTTTTTTTCTCCTTTGCAACTACACTCTTCAAAAGAACACTTGAATTTCTTGCACAAAATTGATCTGAACTTCTTATATTGGAAAATGAACCAAAGCATAGATACACTACTGGACAATGAAATATCATATTTAAAAAAAGATCGTCACTTTCGCGCGTCTGTAACTCCCTTTTTTTTACCGTATTTCTAAATATTAATATTACCATTGTGTAGCCCTTGAAAAGAGCTTTCAGAAAATGTAGAACACTAATAGTTTAAACTCAAAGACAAGGGAGTTACAGACGTGCGAAAGTGGCGATCGTTTTTCAAATATGATATTTCATTGTCCAATACTGTAGATAGAATTCTGATGGCTTTTGTGAACATATCTTACATACCGTATTGTCTAGATTACTGTCTGTCTGTCTGTCTGTCTGCCTGTCTGCCTGTCTTTCTATCTGTCTGTCTGTCTGTCTGGATTACTGTACCACGCTGTACTCATAGATCCTATCCCAGCAAGTTTCACATGTAATTTTTATTTGGCGGGGTATTTGACGTGTTATTTCAACCAATATGCGACTTTGTGAACGTTTTGGGTGCAAGCAAAATGAAGAGATAGAATCCGTGTACCCATGTCACACAGTAGTACTTATAGTACTTATACCTATCTAGACTATTGTATCTGGCTAAATCTTGTTATCCATTGTCTTTCAAATAATTCTTTGTTTCTTCTTGTTTTAAAATCTAATAGCTATGAATAGATTACTGTAGAGAAAACCGAAATTACTTGGCACTATTTGGTGACGATCTAAATGTACAGTCTTTCAAGTAATCCGTTTTCTAAAACATGTTAAAGTTACTGTAATCTTGTCTCAATCTCAATCTTAGTCTTTGTAATCAGTTGAATCAGTTGAAATGGAGATAGGTTGGATAAAGCTAGCTTTCGAAAGCTTTCAAAAAGCTGGCACATTGTAGAAAACACTCTCAAGATTGTTTTCAATATCTTTACAAAGTAAAATCGAACTCTTTCCTTCTTTCTTCTTTCAAATGAGTTACTTTTTTTTCCTTGTCTAAAGTAAAACTCCGTGGTGACCCCATAAACTCTCGAATCTTTAATTGTTTTCCATTCAAATTTTCTTTCTTTTCCCTCAAATCACATCAGTTTCCTTGAATTTCATCCCCATTTCTCGCCAATCTTTTATTTCATTCCAATTATTCCAATTCTAATTCCATCCTCATCTCCTATATGCAAGAATGGTTTTTTTTTCCTCTTAAAACCCATTTCCTTTCGTGGAATTCCTTTCATTTCAAGTTATTCTCTTTCACTTAAATCTAGATTTTGATTTTTTTTACTTTATTCCAAAAGCAGAATTTATTATTTGTTTCATTGAATACTATACTATTGAATGACATCGAAAAACTCAATCCAACCATCTATACAACACCTGTTTACAACACCTCAATCCAACCAAAGCTCGTCCAAAACCATACGTTATGCTTCTGTCGGTTAAACTTCAAGTCGAAAGGGTTCGGCTTCGCTTCGACAGCCGACCCTTTTGCTTTCATTTTTGATTTCTCTTCACCATTTCTAAAGCTTTGAGAGTTTTTCTCCGTTACGTCTTTTTCAAATGTCTTTTTGATTTTCTTTACTTTACTCCAAAAGCAGAATTTGTTATTTGTTTCATTGAATTACATCGAAAAACTCAATAAAATCAAGAGCTCCAATCGATTCCCGATCCCGGGGTACAAAATTTATAGTTGACTATCTTCTTATCATTTATTTACAATGTAAAATAAAATCCCTATGTAAACAGGTGTTGTATAGAAAATTATGATCTAACTTGCGAGGCTTTTCTCTGAATTTTCTCCAAATCTCGAAATTCCTTAGTCGATTCGGTTGATTCAACCTCTATTTAGTCATCATTTGAAAGCCTAAAATTGCTATATTTCGATAAAACTTTCTACAAATGAAACTACAAAAAGAATAAGTTGAAAAACCTCGGACAAAGCCGTGGATTTTGATATTAATATTGTTTTTTAAAATCTCATCTCATTAGGTTAAATAGTTCTAGATACATTTAATCTAAAAATGCCTCAAACTTCAACCACTTTTTTTTTTTGGCTTTCTCACCATTCAAGTTGAAAACGAAATTGAAACAAGAATTGAAAGAAAAGAAAGAAAAGAAAGAAAAGAAAGAAACACATCTGATCAAATCCACAAAACTGAGCTAATTAGAGTCGTTTTTTTTGTGCAAGCAAGTTCCCTCACTTAAATCCTTTTCTAAATTCAAAACGATCACTTTTCAACTTTTAGCTTAACTCGACTAATGCGTTTTCCTAAAATACACTTATTCTAGAAAACCACCGTTATCAAGCTACCAATTTTCATTCAATCATCTAATTTTTCGTTTCATTGATTGAGCCTTGTAATTCCTGATCGAATTTGATCAAAATTATGGATTTAATCAACGAAAACGGGAGTGGGACAAATGCTATCTTTTTTTTGCGCACCCGGACATTTGCGCACCTTTTTTTCCGCACTTAGCCCATTAGCGCACCTTTTTTCGCGTTTTAAAAAAGCTCTAAAAGCTAATATTAACCAATTTCTATTCCAAAAGTTTTTTTTCTAGGTAATTTGAGGGCGTAGAATCGAAATTTTGACATATCAGAGCTTGTGGAAGCGGGGGGAAAGACAGAACGGCAGGTATACAAATTACAAGAAAAATCAAACAAATTTTCTGTAATTTGACCTAGCCGTTTTGTTTTTCAAATTGGTTCCACACGCTCTGTTATGTCAAAATTTGAATTCGACACCCTCAAATTACCTAAAAAAACAACATTTGGAATAGAAATTGCTTAATATTAGCTTTTAGAGCTTTTTTAAAACGCGAAAAAAGGTGCGCAAATGTCCGGGTGCGCAAAAAAAAAGATAGCATTTGTCCCACTCCCACGAAAACTGATTGATTACAGTAGTTTTCAAAGTGTATTTTAGAAAACTCTTTAGCCGAAATGGATTCTACATTCTGTTCGTTTTGCACCTCTTCCAGGGCGATCAGAAACTCTGCCCAGAGTTTCATAACGTTGAATGGTTCGAGAAACGAGGCTTCTGTGGACATTCAGGCGCTTTGAGATCTCAGATCTCGCTCGCCTGAACACGCTGCCGCTTGAGCTCAAGGATCGATTGTCGATGTGGAGACGCTTTCACCATTCCTGAAAACAAGCATACATTGAATGTATTGTATGTAATAAATAATGAATAATGAATGTAATGTATGTAATGAATAACAACGATACTAATGTATTCAAAGTTAGTAATCATACCATAAAATAAGAAAAATACACCAAAAGCCATAAAAACAGGTAAGCAAAAAGTGAAATGGGGCTCATAACATAAAATATGACGCTATTGCGGTAATTCTTGATCACCCTGTAGTTAAACATTCTAGTATTCGAAAGTTTAAATCCGAAAATGATTTCTTTTCTTCTTCTTCTTCCGGAAATCTTCACTCAAATCCCTCAATTTTACGGGGAATTTCACTCTTTTCCCTCTTTTTTTTTTCATTGGTCATTTCCTTTTTCAATCTCGTAATTTAACCGGTTTTCCCCTTTCGAAAATCTCCTTGAATATTTATGCCTTATCCTTGTATATTTATGCCTTATTTATGCCTTATCCTTATTGCTCAATGATTCTTTGAATAACCTTTTTTTTTTTTTTGAAATAATGTTTTGTTCTATAGCCGTAATTCAACTTTACCTGTAGTTTTGCCAAAAATTCTACATCTTATTGCTTCATTTCTTCATTTAAATTGAGAGAACAATGCGATCCCATTTCAGAGTTTTTTTTGTCTCTCGATTCTATCAGGATTTGTCGCCAGTTTAATGCAAAAAAAGCTTTTCTCTAGCTTTAATTTCAAAAATGACCTTTTCTAGAGTTTTCTATAATTCTTTCAGATTTCTTTTCGAGTATCAAATGAGTAGCAGTCGAGGGATTATTTGAATCAAAGCTCATTCCAATCAAATCAATCACTTCTCATTTCAATGAGGCCCTCGAGGCTCTCCATTTCTCTATTTTCATTTATTTTTTCTTTAACAATTGCTGATGAGCTTCACTACGATCGAAAAAGTGCAATTCTGAATGGAGGAGTGAGAAGGTGAACCAGATATCGATAGCTGAACATCTTTATGCTGATGTTAATAGCTTCAAGCTGTTACTAGCTTCAAGCTGTTAATAACTTCTAGCTGTTAATAGCTTCAAGCTGTTACTAGCTTCTAGCTCTTAATAGCTTCAAGCTGAAGACTGAATATCTAATCATTTTGATCTCATTTCTATCTAGATTTCGATGTGTTGAAGAATGGGTTCCAGTCGATTCATTCGGGAATATTCTTGATGAAGGAGCTAAAGAGGTTCAATCAACAAATCCCCGTTTTGAATCCTCTCAATTCTCTGACACTCCATCATCACTTTTTTCAGAATATATTAGAGCTCAAAAGTTTCAAAAAGGAGAGGTAAAATGGGGAGAGATTTACGGTAAAATAGATTCATTTCAGTTGAAGAATAAAGAAACGCAGACAGTGTTCCGAAAGAAATTCCATCCACCGCAACAACATGGAGTGAAAATGCTTGTGAGTTGAATAGGGAATTAGTGATGAGAAATCTTTCCTACGCTGAGTTTCTCTTGGATTTCAATAGATAAAAGATAGAGCATAAAAAGTTGAATGTTAATAGATAAAAGATAGAGCATAAAAAGTTTAGTATATCGTTAAATTTTCAGAGAAATTCATTCAGTCAGCTACTTCGAAAATTGACCAATAAACACTTTTTATTGAGAGGAAATTATAGGTTAATTGGTGAATTTGTTTTTTTATAACAAAAGAAACTAAAAGACTTTCTGAAAAGCTTAATATTCCAGGAAGCACCAAAAGAAATGACTGAATTGGGCCCATGGGAACGAGAACTTTTGGAAACTCTGGAAGAAGAATTGGCAACGACAATAATACCGGAAAGAAATACAAACAAGGAGACACCGATACCTAATGAAGTTGTTCGAATTGTTGCCTTCAAATGAAAGAGTTTAGATGTTTGGGGAAAAGGTGACAACAGAAGTGGCAGCAAGATCGACGAATCTTTTCATTCCAAAGACGACAACTCAAACTTCGACAATAAGAGATGTTGATGAGATAAAATCTCTCGAATCAACGAGAACACCAAGCACTCAATCAACTACGACTTTTCTTTTCCCAACAAAAAGTCCCAACAAGGTTTAAAGTAGTTGCTATTGTTAAAGTTTTTATTTTTAGAGCACGTTTTCTAAAAGATTACTTAAAACTACTGTAATCAAACCGCCAGATTGCATAAATTAGCTTAATTTTAGTAGCCTATTGTACTTTGTGCTCGAAATAGATAAACGCATCTTTTCTGGCACACTGGAGCAATGATTTTATACTATAAACAAACAAAATGAATCATTAGAGTGCATTAGAAAGGATGCGTTTCGATTTAAGCACGAAATACAGAAGGAAATATATAAGCTTATTGATAAAAATATCTATTTATAACAAGATCTATCTATAAAAATATCTATTTATATAGCTCATTGATTTCTAGAATCGAATGCAAGTTGGTGGAATGAAATTTTCAAAAAATCATCAATCGTTTAACAATCGAAATGAGGAATCAAGTGATTTCGATGAGGATCAATCCCAAATTGAAATCCGACGACATGAATCAAATTTCAGCAAAAAGCCGACAAATCCTATTCGATCACAAACAAAACATGTTTGAAATAGTGATTGATAAAAGATATTCAACCTTTTTCAGAGAAATCTTCATCATGATGAAGAGGAGAAAGATGAATCTGATGATCGCCAATCACTGGATTTCGAGGATTCTGTGGATTCCGATGATGAGAGGTTTTTCAATCAATTCAATTCATCTACTCAAAGATTTTCAGCGCTTTTCAATCAGATTCTCGTCGATTCATCGAAACGGAAAGATTCGAAAGAGCTAGACGGTTAAATTTAAATGAATTTTGATGACTTTAATTTTCTTTAGGCGTGGTTATCGTGGGAATCGAGGGAATTTCCGACGAGCGTCTGAATACGAAGTGAGTTTTAAGAGCGTATGATGCTTACATTCATTCAGGGATTTAACTATCTGATCTATAACTATATACTATTCTATTTTTATCGTAATTTATCTATTAGGTTGATGCATAAGTGTTTTTGTTCCTTTTCGTCTGCCGTTTCAAGCCAACAAATGCACCAATTAAACTACGGTTGATTCATTAGAAAAACCAATATTTTCTGCAAAATAACATAAAACGGGTTTAAAAATATTTAATGCCTGGATTTTCTTGAAAGTATGAAGTCGGGTAGTCAAAAAGGGCTAACTCGATAATGCGGTTTAGACACCTTAGCTAAAGAAAACCTATCTTCGTGTCAATAGATAAAAGATAGAGAAAAAAAACGTTTGATATTTCGCCAAAATTTCAGAGAAATTCATTCAGCCAATTTTTCCGTAGAGTTTTTTATAGATTTTTACGAAAAAGGCGTTTTTCACTCTCGAATTTGCTTGAAAGTGAACCGAAATTCATTTAAAAAGATGCAAATTGAACAAAAAACACTTTTTTTATAGAGCAAACTATAGATTAATTGGTGAATTTGTTACTTTTTAACAGAAGTACGAAAAAAACGAAAAGACTTATGCATCAACCTATTATTTTATGCGATCGATTTTATAGTTAAGCTTAGGTTTATGTATTCCATTGTTATTTAATGCAAAAATTTGGATAATATTTTCCAATTTACCGAGCCTTGATCGTACTTTGTTGTAAAGCTTTTGCATAAACTTAATATCGTAATTGAATCTGATAACCTTATATGTAAATTTTTAGGATTTCTACGACGATTACGAGGAGCCATTGAGGCGACAACCAGCTCGACCACCATCCCGCAGAAGATATCCACCGTATCAAGGTTCGTACAACAAAACAAAACAAATCGCGCTAAAAATCTCTAGAAATCTCTAGAAAAAAACTCATTTTATAGATCAAAGCAATAAGCAATAAACAATAAAATGGATTTTTAAGTGGCTTAGGATATTTAGTACTGCTGAGAAAATCAATTTCATGTAAACATTAAAAAGTGACAACGGGAGATGTCCTAAGCCTAAGCCTTAAAAAAAAGGACACACAAGAAACTTATTAAACAAAAGAAGAGAAAGAGAGACTGAAGAAGGAATTGATTTTATTTTGAATTCAAATTTAAAATCAAAATCAAAATCATTGTTTCTTGTTTAGAAGATTTTCTGGTACCTGCTTTCGAGCAATTCATCGCACGACGTCGGGCTCCAACAAGGCGATATGGCCCTAACTATGTGAGAGATTTAAAATCTGATCTAAAATCTGATCTAAAATATGTCAACTTTCTAAAACTCTAGAAACTCTATTGTACCCTAGAAAGCTCGCGAACAGTACAAAGTGATTGAATTATCACTTTGTACACAGCCTGAGCAAAACAAACGTAAGACCACAGCAGCTTCCGAAAGTTAGCCACGTTTTTTGAAAGAAAAGACTACGAGACTACAGTACTAAAGCACATTATGATATACTCAAATTACAATAACAATTCAGGCCTCCGACGACCCTCGTCGCCATCTCTCGACCCTACCCCTCTCCCATGAGAACATCCACCGATCCCTCCCTCCTCCCCCTATCCGATCGTCATTCCCCTCCCCATCTCCTTCCCAACTTTCCCCACTTCCACCAATCAATCTCCATCAAAATCCCCCAATCTATCATCGTCCTCAACAACAACCTTTCCCAATCCAGCAATTCCCGTTGCCTGCTCTACCTGTCAGAGTCACACCGTAAGTGTCAAAATATAGACTAGGTCAAAAGTTTGAAAATAAATCGAATCCTAAATTTAGTTCTAAACTCTGAACTTATTACTTGACTAGGAATAAATTTCCCCCTAAATTTGACTGCATTTTTACAGCAAATTCGGTATCCCGATAAACCAAAATTTGTCGAGATAGTCAAGACTGAAAATAACCGGAAAAATATGCAAAAACCCAAAGCCAATTCGTTTCCTTTCCACATCCACAATATATTCTCCAACTCTGGAATATCCCAAAACTTTTTTTACCAAATAGCGAGCGATTACGCGGCCGCACAAAGAACATATCGCGATCACCAGTGATTCTTTTGTTCTATTAGGTTGGAAAGAAAGAAAAGGTAAAGTGATCGCGATATGTTCTTTGTGCGGCCACGTAATCGCTCGCTATTTGGTAAAAAAAAGTTTTGCGATATTCCAGAGTTGGAGAATATATTGTGGATGTGGAAAAAGTTTGCAAGGTGATTTCTCAAAAACGAAGCTATGAATTCTTCCCAAATTTTTTGATAAACTTGACTAGATTTCAAAAAGTTTTCAACAAAAATAAAAATCAGAGTGGGCTTCAGGTCTTTCTTTAGTTTGACTGAATTTATAGCCATCAGGGTTCCACATTAGAGCGATGTAAATATCGAAATCTTTCAAGAACTCCTCGTACGACTCATTGGACAGAAGCTAAAATATCAGAAATGCGATATATTACATATTCTAAACATAAAACTCTACGACAAAAATAGTTATTTTAATTACGATATCTTCACTTCATTAATTAGCCACATGATCGAATTTCAGGCAAAAAAATGAGAGATTTCTTCAGCTGAAGTGACTTGGAGTGACTTGACTCACTTTTTAAGTGGTCAGCCTTTAGACAAGTTTTTAATGAGGTTCCTGAATAGGCAATGGGTTCCATTCAAAACCTAAAATCAAGTACTTAAAATAGATCAGAGCGGGCTTCAGGCAAAAAATAAGAGATTTCTTCAGCTGAAGTGACTTGGTCACTATTTAAGTGATCAGTTAAGTGGTTTAGACAAGTTTTTAATGGGTTAATGAATAGGCAATGGGTTCCATTCAAAACCTAAAACCAAGTACTTAAAATAACCCGGATTTCTGAGAAGAACGATAACATCTTATTCAGCAATCCAAATCATCGATCTGTTCGACGGGGTGAGCGAGTCTTTCCCTCACCTCGACCACAAGTCACCGCTTTACCCATCCAGCCAATACCGTAAGTTTATGAACTCAAGAAATATTTATTCTTTTCAATTCTTAGACCATAAAGTGTCAATTTCAAAAGTTTATTAGATTCAAGAATTCAAAAGATCTTCAAGAAATCTCCAACTCTTGTTATTCTTTCTTTTCCAGGATAGCACCTAGTCCTCAACGAGTGACTCCAACATTGCGACAAACAACACAGTTGACTATTTCAAAAAATTTAATTGATAACAATATTTACAGTAATCCGCAAATCCCAATGGGAACCGGGCCGAGTCTGGAGGAGTCAACCCCAGAGAATTGCAATAAAATGAAACAAATGGCTGGTGATTGGGGTGAGTTTTAAAGAAAATAAGAACAAGAGCAGGTAAAGAAGAGATTCAGGAATATAAATCATTGTGCAAAAGATAAAAACTCAAAATAAAATGCAGGAATCGTGGATGTTGTCGGCTTCTCGAAGTCAAACTGCGGTGTTCTCAGGAGTTTCGTTCCAAATGTGAGTGTTTTTGATCAACAGATCTGCAATAGTAGAGCTGTTGCTTTGTTTTCAATCCTCCAAAACCAATTTTTCCGGATCTAGACCAGATCAGAAGCTAAGCTAGCTAAGCCTGACCTTTCTGGGTCACAAAGTGTCCACTTTGCCCAGTTCCAAATTCTTTACTTTATTATAGATTTGATTAGAAGATTGGTGATAGCAGACCCGTTCTTTAGCTTTAGAACAAACAAACAAACACTTGTAGCTTTAGAATTTGCTTCTAAACTTGCTTGCTAAATTCTTTAGCCAAATTTCAGCCAAAAAGAAATACTTAAATTTCCAGTACACATGTGCAGAGATCACCCACTTCATCGAGAGTTGCTATCGAAAGAATTTCTTCACTTAAACAAAGATGAGATTTCATTCATTTTGTGATGACTATTCTTTTAACAATCAATCCATATTTCCATATCAACCAGATCTTTCCCTTTTTCTTTTCTTATGTGCAATTTCTCTCAACTATACGAGTACTCTAATAATTTCCCATAAATCTTTCAATGTTTGTTTTCAATGTTCAAATCTAAACCTAATAAAGCTTAACGATAACAATATAAGTTGTGCATAGCTATGTATTGGATTGGTGAATTGAAAACTGCCGGCTATTGTCATATGTGACAGTTTGAGCGCTTTCTTCAAAAGAAACCCATTTTGGTGTCAATGGAAAAGCTGTAGAGAATCAAAAATGAAGCTTATATCCAAATTTTCAGAACGATTCAAAAACTGGTTTTCAAGAAATGCCAAATTTACGAATTTTCACAAAACTTGCATTTTTAAGCGAAACTACTAAGTATATCTTTTTGGAAATTTGGCTATAAGCCTAATTTTTGATTCTCTACAATTTTTCTATTGACACCAAAATGGGTTTCTTTTAAAGAAAGTGCTCAAACTGGGACATCTCCAGTCCTCCATTTTTGAGGCTCACACTTGTCTCACACACAAACCAAAATCCTACTACGAAAGAGGAATCCGCAAATTGCCTGTAAGTCGTCAGAAGTCGTCAATAATAATGAAAATTATTTGGAATGAATTTATGGTTTAATGTTGAATAAATTTTAGTTCAAAGTCCCGCAGTTTTCAATTCACCAACCCAATAGATAAGATAGTTAAATCCCTGAATGAATGTAAGCATCATACGTTCTGAAAACTCACTTCGTATTCAGACGTATTCACTTCGTATTCGGAAATTCCCTCGATTCCCACGATAACCACGCCTAAAGAAAATTAAAGTCCTCAAAATTCGTTGAAATTTAACCGTCTAGCTCTTTCGAATCTTTCCGTTTCGATGAATCGACGAGAATCTGATTGAAAAACGCTAAAAATCTTTGAGTAGATGAATTGAATTGATTGAAAAACCTCTCATCTTCGGAATCCACAGAATCCTCGAAATCTAGTGATTGGAGATTGGAGATCATCTCCAGTCCTCGATTTTTGAGTCTCACACTTGTCTTGCACACAAACCAAAATCCTACTACGAAAGAGGAATCCGCAAATTGCCTGTAAGTCGTCAGAAGTCGTCAATAATAATGGAAATTATTTGGAATGAATTTATGCTTTTATGTTGAATAAATTTTAGTTCAAAGTCCCACAGTTTTCAATTCAGCAACCTAATAATAGTCAAAAGTTGACAATACTTTAGATCTAAAGTTCTATAGGACATGAAATCTGTATGGAAATGATTAAAGTTCATGAAGCTTTAAACTTCAAAAAGAATTAAAGTCATCAAAACTGTTCTTGGTTAAATCTTATCCTAAAAACCTTTGTCTACACCCATTAGATCTATCTTATTCCCTTGAAGCCTTTGCAACATTTGCATATCGGGATAGAAATGGATGGTAGATCGAGATCCATCCTTGACCTGTCTTTCTCGATCTCCTCTCCCCCAAATATCAAAGAAGATCTCATCTAGAATGAGACCGGTCCATCCACTCCTTCACCCCTTATCACACCAATCTCTTTTCTCTAAAATGGTGCCACCCCTTCCTATATAAACCTTTCTCCATCAGAGCTCGCACCCAGCTCCAAACCACTCCATGATCATGGACCCGAAAATGGAAACCGAGCATCAAAAGTATGTTTGCTTAAATGAATTCCTTTAAAGATGAAAATCTAGTCGCGCTCGTCGCTTAGCCTTTTGCGCGGTCGCTGTCTCATCAACAGCAATGCTTACCGCAGCTTTGTTAATCCCATTGGCGTACAACTACGTGATGCATCTTCAATCACAAGTGATGCGCGATACCGAATACTGTCAGGTACGAAATTTTGTAGATTCTTCAATTACTGAAGACTCCTTTCAGCTCCGTTCTCGTGATCTCTGGTCCTCTGTGCACTCGGTGGATCAACCACGTGCAAAAAGAGAGTGGAAATTCGGACGATGGGCGCCCGATGGTGGTGAGCTTTAGATTAAGAATAGCTCTTATTCTAGCAACCATGAGGAATAATTAATAAACCTGTGATTCTTTTCAGGAATCGGTGGCGGTGCCGGTGCCGGATCGTACGGAAACGAGCCACCACCCCCGCAAAATGCGCAGAACAACTATGGATACGCGCCAGTTGTCAACGCTGAGCCTGAGCCCCAATGCTGCACTTGTCAACAAGGTATCTAATAAGGATTATAAGAAAATATCTATATATATAACTAAAAACCTAAATCAACCTAGGACCACCCGGACCCCCCGGAGCTCCCGGAGACGATGGATCTGAGGGACGGGATGGAGACATGGGAGCTGATGCTAAGCAAGGAAAGGATGGATCGATCGAGCCATCAGATGGACTTCAATCCGAGCCTTGCATCATCTGCCCACCTGGACCACTTGGAGCTCCAGGACCCGCTGGAAACAAAGGACCGCAAGGACCAAGAGGAGCACCTGGAAATCCTGGAGTTGATGGACGTCGTGGAGAGCCTGGAATGGTTTGTTAGGAAAAGGGGAAGATAAAATGGATTTTAAGGTTGGACCAGCTGGGCCAATGGGCGAGCCAGGACCACTCGGAAACAAAGGAAAGAAGGGAGACGATGGACGAGTGGTAAGTGAAGGGAAAGGGCAAGAAATGGAGTAGATAAAGATCGATGAATATTGAATAGTTTTAAAAGAGAAGATGACTATATATCACTTTAGGTCACTATTCCTGGTCCACCTGGACCCACTGGACATCCAGGACCACAAGGAAAGCAAGGAGAGCGTGGGCCAAAGGGTATCCCGGGAAAGACACACGTTGGAGGAGAAGGACCACAAGGAGATGTGAGTTGAAAGAAGATTTTGAATGTTTGATAATTCTATAGATATTGTCTCTTTTAAAGCTAAATTGCATTAGCTGGCTTGCTGGCTGGCTTGCTGGCTTGCTGGCTTGCTGGCTGGCTGGCTTGCTGGCTTGCTGGCTGGCTTGCTGGCTTGCTGGCTTGCTGGCTGGCTTGCTGGCTTGCTGGCTGGCTGGCTTTGCTGGCTTGCTTGCTGGCTGGCTGGCTTGCTGGCTGGCTGGCTTGCTTGCTGGCTTGCTAAAGCCAGCTCAAGTATCGTGACACAACCCGAATAGTCTGTTTCAGTTTTCCATTGTCCTAGTGTTCTAGTAAAACTGGTTTTCTTCCAGGGCTACAAACGGATACTATAACTGACAAGGATCTTAAAAATATAGAATATAATAATAATTGTATTCAGGCTGGACGCCCAGGACGTGGCGGTCGCAAAGGACCAGCCGGAGGACAAGGCCCACTTGGATCAAAGGGACGCGATGGTGAGTTTAAATTATATTTAGATAATTATCTTTTCAAGGTGGATGCGATCATTGCCCTCCACCCAGAACCCCGCCAGGCTATTAAATATATTAAATATATCAATCTCTTATACCTTCTGTGCAATTTCTGTAAACCTTGCAATAAAGTTTCTTTTGACAATGAGTTTCTTTTTGTTCTTCTCAAACTGCACTCAAACTACCGTAACCAAAGCTGAAGAGAAGAGAGTAAAATTTGAAAGAAAAAAGAAAGAAAAAGAGAGTCGTTGAGTCACCAATTTTGAAGAGCACACATTACCAAATCCGCTTTTGAAACCTGATTTTAAACCTTTTCCCAAAGCTTTTATTTCAATTCATTTCAGGAATCAGGCAATAAATTTCTCAAAACAATCTTTCTTTTATTGTTTTTGCTTTATGGGCTCAAAGTGTTGCAAAGAAAACGGATCATCAAGAAATTCGTTGTCATCAAATCAAGGAAATATTCAAGAAATTGAAGACGAAGAAAAAGAACAAATTCTACATCAATCAACACAACAATCACCAATTGGACACGGTAAAGAAAAGAAAAGAAAAGATCAATTTCAATTCGATAAAGATCAATTTCAATTCGATTTTCAGAAAACATTCGTTTCTGTGATGAACTTGTAATCAGTGAAGAGAAAGGAACAATGGCCAATGAAGAGAATATCGAAGTGAATCTCGAAGAGAATCTCGAAGAGAATATCGAAGTGAATCTCGAAGAGACTGCACAAGATGGAAATAGGTGAGTTGGTCATAATTTCCTGTTAAAGCTTTAACAATTGTTCTTTTTGTAATTGAAAATCAACACTGCTATTAAATCTTTTTGTAAGCTTCTTAAAATTTGAGGAAAATCCTGCATCAACTCTATGCAATTATCTAATTCTTCAATCATTCAGCATCACCTCCGATTTCCCACCCGAACGTTCTTTCACCAATCTCACTCTCCACACCATTCGTTTTGCGATCCCGGAAAAAGATTACGAGAAAAATCTCAGCTATTTGGGTGGTGGCACGTATGGATCAGTTGTGTCAGTTTTCATTAATCATTTAAATTGCTGACTATAGTAGTAGCGAAGCTAAGTAAGCTTACCTCAAAATCTTCAGAAAGACGTCAATCCATTCCCGCGATGGACAAGAGAGACAAGTGGCCATCAAGAAATTGCATGAACCGTTCAGAGATCAAGCTCAGGTGTGGAAAAGTAAAAGTTCACGGTGTAAAAATCTACCAGTTCTCAACATTTCAAAAGGATTAAGCACTGTTTTAACAATTTTTTTTATTCAATTTGTTCAACTCTGAGAAAAGCTTCAATAGAAGAAGAATGTAGAAATAGAAAATAGAAGTTGGACCAAAACCTGAATCAAAACTCTCCGATAGAAGTTGGATCGAAACCAGTGCGCCGCCGGAATTCGAACCCGCGACCTTTCGCCTAGTGGGCAAGTGTGCTAACCATTGCACCACAACGCACCTATTGCTCTTACTCTATAGGGAGTTAAGTTCTAGATCTGCATTTAGTGGGGGATGGCTACTTTGCGTCAAATTTTTTTTGCGGTTCAGAGATCAAGCTCAGATGTAAAAAAGTAAAAGTTCTATTAGTTCTTAACATTTCAAAAGGATTAAATACTGTTTTAATAATTTGTTCGACTTTGTGAAAACCCTATTCTCTTCAATAACCATTTCCAGGCCTGTCGTGTTTATCGTGAGTTGAGATTGCTGCAATTGATGAGACATGACAATATCATTCGAGCTGTTGATTTGTACACACCGGATCCCGTCGAGGATTCGTTCTCGCAAATGTTTGTGGTTTGAAATTTAAACTTTAAATAGTCTAGCTAAACGACACGGACTTTAAAGAACTAGAAAATGTAAACGCTTGGGATCTATGTAAATGCTATCTTATTAAAAACTTTTTTAGCTATATTGTCACTGAATACGCTGGGAATAGCTTGTTGACGATTTTGAAGGTTTGCAAAAAAAAAAGTTGAATGGTTTACAAACAAATTTCTAGTCTCAAAAGCAAACAGGACGCCGCATCTTGGATCCGGATCACACTCGTTTTATCGTCTATCAATTGCTTAGAGCGATGAAATACATTCATTCAGCGAATGTAAAGAAAAACTTTTTTAAATCGAAAACAAGAATTTCAGGTGATGCATCGAGATCTGAAACCATCAAATTTGGCTCTCACCGAACAATGCGATTTGACAGTTCTCGATTTTGGGTTGGCGAGAACGTTAGAGAATACGAATACATCATTGACACAATATGTGATGACGAGATGGTATAGAAGTCCAGAAGTGAGTAAAGGATAAAGAGCTCTTGTTTGTCTCGAGGTTTTCGAATTCCAGCCTTGAAGGAAACGCGCTTTCAACGTTCATAACTTTGTTTATAATAATATTTCTCCAAGATTTCAACCATCTACAAAGTAAAAGAAAAAACACTGTGTAAAGTGGAGATGTTCTTTGTGCATGCTCACAATCGCTCGCCGTCTGGCACACGTCCCCAATAGATAGTTGATCCCTTTGAGAACAATCCAATCCATTTCCATCCCCGAATCCATTTCCTAAAAATACCGTAAACGCGCGAAACAGCTTCGACGCTGTAAAGTAGACATTACATAGATGTACTTTATAGTCAAGGTTGGAAACATAACCTTTCTGTTACAATCGTTCCCAGATTTTTCTTTGAATGTCAAGGGCACAAAGAGCCCACTAAATCCAACTTTCCAACCTCAAATTCAGGTAATCTACTGGAACATCGACTCGTACAACACTCAAGCCGATATTTGGAGTGTTGGTTGTATTGCGGCTGAGTTGATGAACGGAGTAGCTTTATTCCCGGGTAATTCACAGAGAAAATCAATTTAACAGTATAAAGTTCAGGCGAGGATGCGCAGGCTCAATACGCGATGATCACAAAGCTTTGCGGGAGTCCCGATGAGCATCTCATGCAAAAGGTTTCATTGGATTGTAACACCAAATAGCTCAGGCTTATAGTTAACTCAAAGATTTCTTGAATCTAACAAGTTGAAAACGTTATAAATGCTAAACAAACTTGAAAAATTGGATTTAGATCGAAGTAAACAACACATCAAGCATGAGAGCCGTTCTCGAGATGTACGACAAATACAATCGAGTCGATTTTCTTAGGTAAACTTTGATTTTAAAGAAAATTCATTGAAATTCTATTAATTACAGATATGGCACTTAAAAACTGAAAATTTTACTGAAAAATTTCATCTAAACACCATTGTGTTTCCAATTTTAGACACTTTGGCGCCTCTCCGCCGGGTTTCGCCGATTTTTTGGACAAAATTCTCGTGCTCGATCCGGAGAGAAGGTTTGTAAGATGAAAATTGAAAGTAAACATTGTAAACAACAATATAAACGGTTCCAATACGGTTCCTATTTTGATCTAATACGGTTCCAATACGGTTCCAATACGGTTCATCCAAACAAGTTCATTCCTGAAGAAAAACTTTAGAATGACTGTGGAAGATGCTTTAAAACATCCATATCTCGCCGAATTCTCCGAACCCGAGGATGAGCCGGCAGCCGAAGCACCATTCTCGCTTGATGATCGAGATCGATCGATTAACGAGTGGAAAGGTAAAGGAGGATTTTTGAGATAGTAAATAAATCCATAAAGTATCAAGGAGTCACAAGGATTTGAAACTCAATCAATCAATCAATCAATATCTGACAGAAACAGAATGATTGTAATGCTAGCTAAAGTCTCATTAAGCAGACTTCAAAGTATTAATAGTATCAGAAAATACGATAAATCCTTGCAAGTGAAGCAAGAAAGAAAGCTAAAAACATACAAGTTGTCAGGTTTCATTAGATTCCTTTGCTTATTGCTAGAGTTTAATATTTTAACAGTTAAACTTAAAGAGTTCAACAGTCTAACTTAAAGAATTTAACAATTAAACTCTTTAAGTAAATTCTTCTTCGTTCTCCTTTGAATCTATCCTATCCAAATAATCAATGTCAAAATTTCAGCCTTGATCTGGAATGAGATTCGAAATTTTAAAGGAGACGGTCATTCGCCGAGATTCTAAAGCAAAAAAAACGAGATTTTGTCTATTTTACTAATCAACTCATGCAATTCCACATTTATCAAACAGTTTTCATTTTTGAAATATTTTAGACGTTGATTTATTTTTAATTTGTTTATTTAAACAAAAAATTTGTTTCCTTTCATTTTCTTGTGATATTCATTGAAAAGATATTTCTTATCTCTTTTCTTGTTAGTGATTTCCCTCATTTCCTTCTTCCTCAATCATTTTGCTCTTTCGTTTTTCATACAGGTAATATGTAAAAGAAAAATAAACGTGATTGACATTTTAAATACGATATTACTTTATTCAGTCTCCAGGAGAGCTTGCACTTGAAACCTAAATGCTACCAGCCCAGATTGACCACGGCAATTGCACTAGGGCTACATAACAAATTTATTTGCTCTCCAAAAAGCCATATCTTCATTGTGCTCAATCTTTACTAGAAAACCGGTCGTCTTATTATATGTGCTACTTTGGACTCTCGCAATAACTTCAATGTTATGAGGTGTGATAGGGCTTAACGTTCCCATGGTAGAGACGTAGCGTCTCCATTAGGCTTTCCGGCCGATTTTGGATGAAGCTAAAATTTCTTCATTTTCTGATCGAAGTGTTCTAAATAACATTATTTTAAAAGATAATTTAAACATTATTATTCCCTTTTCCCTTCCCTCTATAAAAGCAAGCCTCATCCCTCCAAAAATTTTTCTTTTGAAGAATCGTCGCCCTGTCTTCTGCGCCCATGTTCTCCTCGTGCAATTCTCTTGTAATTTTTGTTTATTGTTAAAACTTCCCCTCCTCCTTGTATTTTTAGGTGAATAGTACAATTCAAGGAGCAAGAAAAACCTCCATTCCCACAGTTCGAGTACGGGTTGGCAACTTTCCAGCTAAATTCTACGATACACCTAAGCTACCGTACACAAGACGGCCTCTCCCTTTTTCCCCTATAAAAGCAAGCCCTATCCCCCTTATTCTTTTGAAGAATCGTCGCCCTGTCTTCTGCGCTCATGTTCTACTCGTGCTATTCTCCTGTAAATATTGTTTGTGTTTATTGTTCCCCCCTCCTTGTATTTTTTCCATCCCCTCCCTGTTCTCTTCTTAAAATTGTTAAATTTTTAGAGTTTCTGTACTTTTCTCGGTCTTTCCACTTTGTTGATCTTCAGACCCGTGTCTTTCATATCACCGATAAAGTTATTAAAAATCTAAACATCCTTTCTCTATAAACGCCAGCCAATCCATCCAACCCAGCCGCGCATCGTCTTGTTATTCTTCTCATTTTGGCAACCATTTTGAATTAGTGTTTTTGAGTTAAAAGATTTAGTAGCTTGGGTAAGGTTTCGACGCAGAATGTAAATTTTGGGAACCGCAATACTAGACAATAAGGAAGTTTTAGTAAATTCTACGGTTCCAAACATTTACTTTCTGCGTCGAAATCTTACCCTAAATCCTAAATCTTTTAACCCTTTAATTCGCTTGAAGTCTTTAATTAATTAATTTAGTGTTCCGAGTTTTCGATTTCAAAGCGCAATTAAATGGCAAATGTGGGAGACCATGTGCAAAATGGTATGTTTGAATTTAAGATGCGAATTAATGAAAAATATCGAGTTTTGAAATTACTAGATTTTAGGTTCTTTACGATAGTTTTTTTGGCCATCTTGCAGCTCATTTTAAGCACCTTAAACTTGTCAAGTCAAAAGTTTTAATAAGATTTAGATAGCTTATAACGGTAGCTTTCAGAAATTCACCTTGTTTTATCAAAAGTTATTGACAAAGACCTATCTAAAATCGGGCTGCAAGTTGGTCAAAAAACTTAGCCCCCCGCCCCACCCCGTTATCCGTAAAGCACCAATTTTTAAAATAAAAGAAATAATGTTTAAATTATCTTTTAAAATAATATTATTTAGGAAGCTTCGCTCAGGAAATGCGGAAATTTCTCTTTTATTCGAAGTCATTCGCACAGCTTCTTGGAGACCCTTTGAAGGCGACTATCCACAAAGATGACAATTTGCGTGTTGCAGTTGGTGTGTTCCGTAGTAGGGTATTTCCCGATGTACATTTGGCTGTCACTTGCTGCCATGGACCGCATCAGTACATTCAGACAAGCTCGACTATGTATATCTACAATGAAGGTATGCAAAATTTTTCCTTTTCATGAAATTTTATTATAAGTTAGTGTTATATTTGTCCACTTGAATACGAATTTTTTTATTAAGCTCTAGTGAAGGTTCATTTACTATTTATTATACGGAAATTAGATTTATATAAAGTGCTTTTAGTTGGAAAGAAGTTCGAGGCAAAGGTGGTATTCAAGAGTCGAGAAGAAAAACGAGATGTTTTGCTTTTGAGATTGACTAAGAAACTTGTCGTGACTCCTCCATATGTTGCTTCGCGTGTCATTGGTGGTGCACACTATTTGCTCATGGTTGGTTTTATTCAATCAATAAAAGTAAATTTGCTAAGGTTTTATTTATTTATAATAACCATCTTTTGCTTATTTCTGGGATGGATCCATAGAAATAACTAATTTGGAAAATCGTTTGGTTCAAAATCATTTTTCCGTATAATCAATTAATATAATAGCAGATAAATATAGAAGTTTTAAGATAAAATTTAATTTAGGGCTATCCCACTGGGCCCATAAAGTCTTTTAGCGAAATCAAAAGCCAACACCTTCGTTTCTGATGGGTATGGTGATGTGCGAGGACAAGAACAGACATGGTCACATTCCCGGTACATCTGGAGCAATGCCGGGTTTTTCAGGAGGTCCTGTCTACACGATGCCAAATGGCCATCGATATACCTACCTTTAAGACACAATCCGAGAAACTCGTCCTCTTTTTCCATCTATGTTTCCATCCAGTCCTCGTTTGCGATCACGCCCATAAGAAACGAAGGTTTTGGAGGAGCTTTTTGATCTCATCTGGATAGCCCTAGATTAAATTTATCTTAAAGGGGGGGTATTAATCGCGGCCGGGTGACGATAAAAATTTTTTTACGACAACCACCTGTTTTTTTATTTTAATATCGCTGATTTTATTATAAAAAGAATAAAAATCACCCGGCTAGAGTGATTTGATGGGCTTACAAATTTTTGGAGACGCTGCAAGGCTCGCGTAGCTCATCTACAAGGTAAGTGCGAAAGTAAAGCAAAAGTCAGGCATTATGTTTCCTTTTTTTTTCTTTAGACTTTCGATCTACACTTCTGGCTTTTAACATCCCTAGATGCCTTTTTCCAGATGGAGATATGTTTAGATAATGCAAAAGACCATCAAAACACCCTAAGCTAAACACCCAAAACACTAGAGTGTGTTCCTCTCGAGTAATGCGTTTTCCAAAAGGCACCTATTTGAGAAAACTACCGTAGTCAAACCTCCAATTTTCATTCAGTTAGCCCAATTTTTGTATCATTCGATGAGGAATTAAAAGGCTCAGTCAATGATACCAAAATCTGGCTGATCGAACGTAAACTAACGACTTGACTACGGTAATTTCTCAAATAGGTGCCTATCTATTGATTGTTTTTTGCAAGCTTATTTCCTTTGCTATTTTATTATACGATCATAAGATATATTTTTAGGATTTCTAAACAAAATGGAGGCGGAAGAAGAGCTAATCGAAAAGCCAGCATTTGTTATTGTTGAATTCGCTCAATTGGAGAAACTATTACAAAGATGCCCAGATTGTGGAAAACTTCCAAGCGGTCAAAAAACAGGACAAGAAAGAAAGATTGAATGGACAACAAATGGATCGAACATGACAGCAATCATCCGTTGTGGTTGTACTAATTATTCCCGAACTCGTTGGTCCACGCAATCATTTATTTCGGGAACTGAGACGCGAACTGGTAACCTCGCCTTGACTGGAGCAGCGCAACTAGCGCCCGTCGGCTTTGTCGAGTTATCGTCGTTTTTTTCAATTGCACAAATTCCGTTTTTGAAAAAGGATCGCTTTCTCAGCCTGACCAAATGTTTTGTGTGGCCGATGATTGAAGTATTTTACAAAGAGAAACAAGCTCAAATCTTTGAGGGTTTTCGGAAAGGGGCGATTGGAATTGCAATGGATGGCCAATTCGACTCTCCAGGATATTCAGCGGAATTTTGTGCTGTTACGTCTATCGAAATCGAAACCAAGCAAGTAATAGATTTTGCTATTGTTCACAAAAGTGAAACTGAAAACAAAAGCGCTGCAATGGAATTAGAAGGAGTGAAACGGTCAATTTGTTTCATCGAGGCAAAGGCGGATATTGCTAGTATCACAACAGATAAAAATAATCAGATTGTATCTTACCTCCAAAAACGCAAATTCAAGGTCTATTTTGATCCTTGGCACCGATTGGGTTCATTGAAGAAAGAATGTATGGCAGCAACGAGAAAATTAAAAGGGGATCAAGAGAAAAAGCAAATGAGAGACTTATCACGTCGTTTTCTTATACATTGCTACAAAGCCGTTGAACTATTTGGAGCTAATCCGAAACAATGTGTGGAAAAGGTTTTCTCATTCTTTTTCCATATCCAAGGCATCCACAACTGGGCGAATGACTCATTCGCTAAACTTCTTGTTCATTCCCAGGAGATAAAATTGGGTACAAAATTCAACACGGAAAAGTTTATATCATCGTTTTATCATCGACGGAGTGCTCACACCCCTTGAACTATCAATCTTCTCATGACCCAATTCTTCCCATTTCTACAATCTATTCAATGCTTCTGGAAATTGCAGCAAAGACTTGCTTCATAAGCGACTTTGAACGAATGAGGATTGATAATATTACATCCTATGTTGAAAACTTTCATTCACTCTGCATCAAGTATCGTCCGAAAAGAAAATATTTTTGTCGAAAAGGATTTGAATATCGGACTATGCTGGCAGTTTTGGATCATAATACAAAGATTCAAGCCGAGATGGCAGGAGAGCACCAAGTAGAATCCAGCTACCGTTGTTTTTCGAAAGCCAAGGGAGCTTATGTTACGAAAAAAAAAGAAAACCACAATCGACCACAAATGGAAAAAAGATCTAATTGTGTCAATCAAAGCGCTGAAGACGTCCTACGGTGGAGGAGATCCAGTCACTTCTGGTGAAGATGCGCTGGAAATTGATAAGATAGGAAGCCGTTTTGAGGAACTGCTGTACTTGAGCGAAGATGAAAGTGAGCAAGAGGAAGAATTATAGATTAACAACTTATTTTTATTGTTTTTTGTGCTTTTTATTTTGTTTTTAAATTTATCTGCAATAAAAACTCAATCGATCTAGACTGTGCTGAGGTGTCTGATGATTGACGATCTTGTTTTTTCTCCAAGCCTTGCAGCATCTCCAAAAATTTGTAAACCCATCAAATCACTCTAGCCGGGTGTTTTTTATTCTTTTTATAGTAAAATCAGCGATATTAAAATAAAAAAACAGGTGGTTGCCGTAAAAAAATTTTTATCGTTACCCGGCCGCGATTAATACCCCCTTTAAAGCTTTTGTATTTATCTGCTATTATCTTGAAAAATGATTTTGAACAAACGATTCTCCAAATTAGTTATTTCTATGGATCCATTTCAAAAATAAGCAAAATATGGTATAATTAAAACTTCAGTAGATTTGCTTTTATTTATTGAATAAAACCAACCATGAGCAAATAGTGATTACCAGCGATGAGATTTGGAGCAACATATGGAGCATCTTCCGCAAGCTTCTCATCCGATTCCAAAAGCAAAAAATCTTGTTCTGGCCTTTTGCATACCACCGTTGTTTCGAACTTCTTTCCAACTAAAAGCACTTCATATAAATCTAATTTCCGTATAATAAATAGTAAATGAACCTTCGCTCGAGTTTAATAAGAAAATTCGTATTCAAGTGGACAAATATAACATTAATTTATAATATAAAATTTCATGAAAAGAAAAAATTTTGCATACATTGTAGATATATTTGGTTGGTAAAAAAGAAATGCGCGTTTTCGTTAAAAGTTTATTTTATTATAAAAAGAAGATAGCAATACATTAATCCAAAAGGTATTTGCCATCTGCATCAATGACTTGTCGCCAACGTTCACGCAGAGAATGGATGCCCTTCTTGAAGAACTCGACCGGCTGCGACTCGAAGAAGTTGGACACCCAAATTTGGACCTCGTCGCGGTTCTTAAATTTTTTGTCGGCCAAGGAGTGGTGCATTGATCGGAACAGATGGTAGTCGGAAGGCGCCAAGTCTGGGCTGTATGGCGGATGAGGCAGGACTTCCCAGCCCATTTCTTCAATTTTCTGCTGGGTGATTTTTGCGACATGCGGCCGAGCGTTGTCGTGGAGGAATGTTGTCGACGCCGTATCCACACCTTGACGTCGCAGCGCCTGGTCCACGCGGTCCAATTGGCCTTGGTAGAGGTTCGCCGTAACTGTTTGACCCGAATCCAGAACCTCAAAGTACACCAGGCCTTTACTGTTCCACCAAACACAAAGCATCACCTTTTTTCCGTGGATGTCTTAAGATGCTAAAAATCGCTTAAGACAGAAACACTAATTCCAAATGATTGCCAAAACGAGATATGTATACTAAAATTTTTAGAAATCGGCGACATTGCCGGAGTTGCTGAGGTCACAGTCAAATCGACATACAAGGCGCTACTGCCAAAGATCAGTTCAGAAAGAGCGGCATCCACACTTTACATTTTGTTTCCATTGTCTCCAAAAGTCTCCATTTGTGGCTTGTTGAGTGTAAATTTTGGGCAATTGGTAAAAGATGAACAGTCCGTTCGAACAATTCGAACAAAAAAAACAAAAACTTTTCAAAATGTTTTTAGTGCCAAAAAATAACTCCTGGCATACGTCCTCAATAGATAGATGTTTTAAATGACAATTTTGATATAGAGAAAAATGAGTGAGTCCACGTGTAAACTGAAACAATTTTTGATTAAAGTCGACAGACAAGAGATCCACTTCCGTGTGTACTAGTGAACGATCCCTGTTGGATCTTTTCCATTTTTAATCGTGGAACAACAGGAAAGGATAAGATGAGAATTGAAAACTTTTCTTGCTGTTTTGCTCTTTTTAATTGTCATAACTTTTCTGTTCGAAATCTCGTGGTGCCAAAAAAAACTTTTCAAGTTACGCATAATCAAATATTTATCAGTAAATCCAATCAAAAATCCGTTTATCATCCAGCAGGTGCTCCTGCACCAAAAAGATCTCCGAAAAATTGCAAGAGATCATTCCCTTTCGGTAGTCCAGGTACATTGACTAAAAAAGAATCGAGTTTCTCACTCAATAATTACAAAATTGATTTTTAACTTACGACTCGGTGCCGCCGTTGTGGTGGATGGTGGTGGAAGGGGAACACATTTGTTACCGACTTGCTCAAAGCCACATCTAGGTAGAAAATATTGATAGCAATAATTGTAGACCAATTTTGAGGCACCTAGCCTATCCCATGCATAGTAAAAAGTAAATTGGAGAATTCGTATTGAAGAATTTGCATTCGACAAAAGTATTGGAGTTGTCGAAATGAATAGATTTGTTACTAGTTACTAGTTACTTTCTAGTTACTTTCTAGTTACTTTTTCAACACTCTTCGATTCGATAAGCTTATCAATGTAACCTAAAAGAGTTCTTGGAAAAAACTAATTGATCCCTAACATTTTTCTGTCACAAACCTGCAAAGACACCGGCCTCTGTAGCATCCAGAACTCGGAGGGCATTGTTGTTGAATGAAACATTGACCACCGAGGGTTGATGTCTAAAATTAAACCTTCTAAGTAGTCGTTAAACTATCTAAATCATTAGATATTAGATATTAGATCAATTATATAATATCTAATGTTCTGATTCTCTAAATCAGTTATACCCTTAAAAGGTTATCAAACATTTCATACACGCCTGCCTCTTTTACCATTAGCAATCTAACTTTTAGCTCAAATTTCTTAGTGTTCGGCCTTTCAATTTAAATGTTTTTAATATCATAAGATGCGCCAAGTCTTTCTCTGTCTATTGGTGCAAAAATAATTGAAATTGCACAGCCGAACACCAAGAAATTTGAGCGCAAAGTTCGATTGTCAATGGCAAAAGGAGTCGGGCGCGTGTACCCCCAAAAATTTCATACAACCCACTTTCATACAACTCGTATCTCTACTCAAACTCTCTTGTGTACAATCTCGTGTGCATCCATTCGACGGGTTCTTCAGTGGATGAGTGAGTGTGTCGACGGATGGATGAAATCCCGATAGACACTCGCATTGACCCTGCAATTCGATAAGTGCAATATCCTTTTGTACAAATTGAGCACTTTATATGTAATCGATTGATTTGACGGTCCTCGTCTTCGTCTATTTGTTCTGGATGTGACTCGACCAGACGAGCGTCTCCTTGACACTTCGCGTGTTTTCCTCATGGCTTTTTCGCGCTACATGAGTCGATAGTCAGTTTTTCACTGGTTTAACTCTCATCATTTGCTTTTAAATGGCTCAATGAAAAAGAAGGTTCCGTTTAAATTCATTACTCACATAGACCGTAAATCAGCTCTTGTTCTACTGATCTAACGATCTAACGATCTAACGATCTATCGAGTAAAATCCAACTTTCCCAACGTACTCTAGTTTGGGAGCTTTTCTAACCGGCATACTTTACAGTATCTTCAACATTTACTCACTTGTACACAATGCATTCCCTCTGCTCCCCCGCATTGTGCATCCGAGAAACAAGCTCCATTCAGCTGTGATCGCGGAATGCAGGCATTATTCGCGAAAAGAGCATTTGGAGCCATAGAATGACACGGACGACGACAACAAATCGCGAACGAGAAACCACCATCTGCCAAAGATATAGGTTTCAATTCTCTTTGCCTTACCTGACAACATATGACAGAAATGAGTATCATTCGGGCATCGATCCGTGGAAGAAGCTGTTGGATCACAGCTAGAGGATTTAGTTAGATTAATCCGTGAAAATTATACCTGTAATGTGGATCTGAATGCGAGGAAAGTGGGCACGAGATTGGACAACAGTGACCGATCGGGGAATCTGATGGGGTCACGCAAATCTTCGAGTAATTTTTTAGTAAAACTTTTATTCAAAAGTACCTGCCCAGGCGGACAATTGTCTTGATCCGGTGGTAAGTTGTGAACCTAAAAATGATTTAAACGTTCAAATTCTGTTCTTCAAATCTCCAAACCATATATGGACTCGTCTTTCTCACGCACGTTTGTCCGGGCAATCCGCCAAGGGGACAATTCGCTGCTGCAACACAACGAGAACCTGAGAATGCTCTGGGATTGAAGTTTTTCTCAATATATCAACTGTAGTAATGCCAATTATTAAGTAAAAACCTTGTTGTATTGTGCCCGAGATGCAGACACATGTCGAATTGAGACAAGCCGAGAAAGGAGCCGTACAATCATAGTGACGAGAGCAACGATCACCGACACGAGAAGCTGAATGGAGTTGAATATTTATCTGTGATAGAGAAATTGATGAGCTTACAAAAAAACGAATACCTGGCAAGTAAATCATACATAAGAATACCACAAAATATTTAGACCACTCGTTTTAAAAGTTTCTGATTTACAATGATGCAAAATTTTGTATGTTAAGAATAACGAGCTTAAATGTTTAAAGATAAGAACTTCTAGATCTCTATGACTTTGAATGAGTCTATTTAGTTGTGAATGACTTTGAAGCAATCGTTCATCCAGCAACTCACTTGTCGTGCATTCGGATCCTTGTATCCTCGTTGCTCCACGTTGCACACAATGACATTCGCCATTTCGACAAAATAACGGCTCTCGGCACTTCGCAACACAAGCAGCTCCGATTTTCGACGGCACTAGATTCGTTGGTTTTAAATACAATTGACTCTCAGTTTAATTAATAATGCTAAAACGTGCTCGAAATTTCTTGCGTAGCTGCCCTGAACTATCAACAACTGCGTTTGGCTGGGCAGTTACGCAGAAACCAAGAGCGTATTTTAGAATTTCAAAATCGTTGTATCTAGAGTCGAATTTAGTTTCAGTCTAGCTTGGCTGAATTGGGTATTCAGTTTGGTTCAAAAGAAAGATTCAGTTAAATAATAAAAAGATTTTGAGAGGAAAACTTAAATATTAGAGGGCTCGATTTTGACTTACACGATTTACATCTCGGATTTCTTCCCTTTTCATCAAGCGCTTCCATGTAATGAGGATGACATCTAGATTTACTTGAGCATTTGTGAAATTTCATCATTTCAAACCTGCATCTCCCTCGGAGACAAATCGATCCTTTATGCTCACAATCGGCGTTCATATCACACACTCCACCTAATTGCGATTTCCCATTGCATGGCGAGAATGCCTCATTGGCGATAATTGTCGTCGAGTAATAGGAAAGAATCACAAATATTGGATATCTCAATATCATTAGATGTGTTTTCTAGAAAGAGGAAAAAGAGGGGAGAGGATGAAATTGAAGGGTGAAAATCAATGGAGATCTCGCTCTCCTTTGTGGGAAGTGGGACGCCACTCTCACTCTTTTCCTTTCTTTTTCTCTCTTCTGTGACACGATGATTCATTCCTAGCTTTCACCTTTTTTGTCTCCCCTATATGACCTTAAAATGTCATTTATTGTTTTCTATCGAAACTTTGTGTTTTTGACAAATCCCATCTTTATTTTCTTTATCACGTAAGTAAAATTATTCATTTAATACAACACAAAAAAATTGACACTTAAATAAAATGGATTGCCTAAAAAGAGCTAAAAACCCGAGCCACAAATTGGGGTATTCACAGAGCATCTACAATAGAGTATATGAATTGGGAAAAAACGGATAAAAAATAACCTTAGCTACACATACAACGAAAAAATACATGCACAGATAAAAGCGATAAATTAGATGATCACAGTTTGGTAGACTTGATAAATAATGACAAAACTTTTTGCGCGCACGTATCCTCAACTTGTATATCTCATCGAAAAGGCACCAGAGTTTGATTAAAAAAAACATCGATATATTTAGGATAGAAGATTGCGAATCTCCCGATGAACGAGGCAGAGATAGTCCACGTACGACATTCCCGACGAACCACCCGGTTTATCCTGAATTTGAGATTTAACAAAGATTTCGAGAGCGTGCTTTACCTCAACGAGGAACTTCTTCATCCAACCCTCCAACGCATCCTTCTCACGAATGATGAATAACTTCCGGCTTCGAGAGCTTCCCTAAATTATCAATAAAACTTTCCGCTTAAAAATAACCAACCTTATTCACCAATTCAATGATTCGACGTAGAGCTCGCGATCGAGTGTTGTCCTTTTCGGGAATAACGTGCTAGAAAACATTCGAACTCAAAAACTAATAGTGAGAGAAACTTACGTTTTCTGTATCAATCATGGTAACAGCTTGTGCACCAAAGACTTCTTGAACCCATTCAGCTGCCACGCCAAGGCCAATCCAGATAAAAAGACATATACCAGTGTCGATCACGTAGGCCTGAAATCCGTCGGTTACATTCATTGCAAAACAAAAAGTGCCAACCTTATCATTTTCCATGAACTCAATTGAAGCCCGCACTTGAGGTGGTAAAGTGACAATTTCGGCGGGATCATCAATCTAAAAATATAAAGTTCGATCCTGATACATTAAATTTACCACAAGCTGAGAAACTGCGACCATTCTTGGATATAAAAGCTGCACGGCATCTTCAACTTTCATTCCTCGTACGGCTTCGATCAACCAAGCTTTGTCATCCACCGTCATTTCGCTGCCTAGATAAATGTTTGATTTTTGAATCGATTATCTCAAAGAACCTGCAGCAATGGCATCGTGCTTGAGAATCGAGTTAACCAAACATGGAAGAACCTTGAGTGTTTCGGGAAGGATGAGTTGTCCCAAAGCGGCTTCAGATGAACATTTTTCTCGATAAGCTGCCAATATCTTTGCTACTCTAAAAAATAAGAACAGCTATACATTTAAAATAAAGTGTGACTGACCGATTCGTCAGCTGTTCACGTACTTCCTTTTGTCCCTTTTCTCTGTTAATCTCAACACCTACAATTATATAATTAAAAATACTGAATTTAAAGAAATACCATTCTTAAACAGATAAGTTGCGAGAACATCTTGATCAGCGACTCGGAAAATGTGATTGTAGTCGGTTGTTACAGGAAGGCACATATTTAGAATTCGTAGTCGTCGTTGACCAGAAACAGATGTGTAGAGAACAGCCGCCTGCAAAGCAACTAACTAAAAGAAATTATCCTTTAGGCCTACTTGAATAACAGCTAGCGGGTCGGAAAGTTTGTCATCGTGTTTCAGTTCAACGAAGAAAGCTTTGTCCTGATCGATTGAAGCAATTTCCATATCCGTTGTGTTCTCCATGAAGAATGACCCGTAGAATTTTACAGGACGAATTCCTAAATTTTTGATAAATAAAATCTATCTTTGAAAAGTCACCAGCACTACTCCGCACTCGAACCATACAATCGAAAGCAATTTGCCTGGAGACATCGTGTGACAAATCGGACAAAAAGCGTTGACTATCCTTTTGAGCCTTAAATAATGAAACGCTTGATATAAAGTTGAAATTTTACATCAAAGTATTGATATTTGTAGAGGGATCCTCCTGTTACAGCCGTCAACTGGCCAATTGTCGCCACGTCAATGTACGAATTTGGAAATAGGAAAACGTCAACTGTGCAGCCACCCTAAAGAACTAAAATTGCAACATTCTATGCCAACTGGGTAATACCTTGACACATTGCTCGCCCAATTTGGTGTAAAACTCGCACTGTGGTAATAGCACAGCCTAAAATCTTTAACTAAACACAGAGATCGTTTCTATTTTTACCTTTTCTTTCTCGGTTCCAAGTAGCTTTCGGTCATCTCGATTCTTTAGTTTTCCCGGTGCTTCCAGAGTTGGCAATGAAGTTGAAAAAATGAAAATTTTTCCAGCTCGATCAGCACACTAAATAGCTGTTAATTTTTTAAAAATCCCTTCACTACCTTAAGTGCATCAAGTCCTGCTTGTACGGCTGGTCCCAAAATTCCCTCGGTCACTCGAGTGTGTGCATATAATTTCGGGATCTCCTCCAAAACGGCTCGAATTGCGTGAAAACCCTAAATTTTGAAGTTTGAGTTGTTAAACAAAAACAATGATATCGACTTTTAAAAAAACAACTCTTGACTAAGACTTACTTCTTCAAAAGGAACAAGTAGTCCATCGACACATGGGACAAAAACTTCCGAGATATCTCCGACTACCTAAAGAAAAGCAAACTTTTGGCGTAAAGCAATGTAGAATACCATCATATTTGGTGTGTTGCTGCTCAAATCAAAGAAGTGAATAGCTTGATCAAATGTCGCAATTCCAACTCGAATGCTTGAAGATTGCTGACTGTGCTCTCTGAAAATATCAAAACGTGAAAGCCTTTTACACAAATTATACTTGGGTAGACGCATCAAAGTTGCTTCGAGATTTTTGCACAAAACTTGCAACATTCCGCTTGTCACAGAATTGTATGACACATCAATCATAAAAATGAAAGCCGGTTCTTTTGGAGCAATTCCGTTCTGAAAACATTTTAAAAAAGCTGGATTTTTCAATCACCTTGCAATACTGTTTAGTAGCGACAAATTCATAAGCACCACATAACAATTCTGGTCGATATTCAATGTCAGTTCTTCGTCCTGTGTGATCGAGATGGGCAAAATACGCGTCTTCGACTAAAGAGAAACGTTTTTACTAAATATAAAGAGTGACTAAATACCTGGAGTGGTGGCGTGACAATAAGGACAACGGAAACGACGTCCACCATCCTAAATTATCGTTAATTAACCGTTTCTATTGGTTGAGGCTACTCAGAAACGTACTTGGAATTCCATAAACGGGCACATGTATGCTTTACAACGTTGACAACGAATGGGTCCTTGAGGTCCAAGATCAACGACTGGAGGTGGTCTCTAAAACAAAGATAAATAAGTCCATTTTTGCGAGTTTCAAACTTCGCGTTCATCTAACGCAGCAAACGGAGAAATTGCAACGGCAAGAGGCAGTTGAGAATGCTTGAGGATGTCACCAGATTGAGGAGCTACATACATCGTTGATCGCATGAAACGTGGATTCACATTTCCTAAATAAAAGGTGTAAATTCGAAAAAAGATCTGTTGAAACCTTGATCTTGCGCGTAGAACTCAGTTGTAACTAGTGGTGGATGCTCAGCATGTGGAAAACCAGTAGGAAATAGCCCGGCACGCACAGCGTCTTCTTCTCTCACTTGGACCTAACCGGAAGAGTTGATCATTAACACTATTGGGCTTCCTTACCGCACTTGGCATCAATTTCGCGTTGAGTTTTTGTTGTGGTTGTTGAGGCATTCCACCGGGATATGCCCCCGCTCCAGGAGCACCCTAAAAATAAAGTAGTCACGTTTAGAACATGAATAACTTACAGGGTATGGTGCAGCTGCGCCAGGCATTCCTGGTGGTGCCATTCCAGGCATTCCAGGTGGTCCCATTCCAGGCATTCCGGGTTGTGTCATTCCAGGTGGTCCCATTCCAGGCATTCCGGGTTGTGCCATTCCAGGTGGTCCCATTCCAGGCATTCCAGGTTGTGCCATTCCAGGCATTCCGGGTGGTGCCATTCCAGGCATTCCAGGTGGTCCCATTCCGGGCATTCCAGGCATTCCAGGTTGTGCCATTCCGGGCATTCCGGGTGGTGCCATTCCGGGCATACTTGGAGCGCCAGATGAAGCCATCATTCCAGGTGGGCCAGGTGGTTGCATTCCATGAGGAGCTGGCATGCCGGAAAAGTTCGAAGTCGGAGTCATATTCGGTGGTCTTGGCGGGCCCATTGATGGCCCCATATTTGGCGCTCCAGATGTAGGAACATTCGAGAAACCAGGTGCTACGCTCGGGTGTCCACTTTGAGTCGGTACAACGGGTTGAAACGGTGACGAAGTTCCCGAAATTGGTTGAGCAGCCGACTAAAATTAACAATTTCATTAGGCAAAATATTTAAATATTACCACATTTGGATAGCTGGGTTGGGCACCATATTGAGCAGTTTGTGGAGCTGGATTTGGCATTGACACTTGAGGCATGGTCTAAATAACATGTTTACAATTATCAATCATTGCCTTGACCTAAGGCTGGCTTCTACCAAATGCCTATGGTAAACTATATTTCACAACAATCGTTGCGGCGTAGGCAGCCCAACCCCAACACATTTATCCAAATCCCAAACGTACCAAATACTAAGAAATTACGCGCAAGATGTGGCAAAGTAATGAGATATATACAAAAGCATAAGGAAACAAAAGAAATCCCCAAAGCGGTAAATTTTAGAAGTAGGAAAGGAATCTTCAGAAAAGTGTTACTGATCCTCTTGCTCTGGCGAGAAAGAAAACTTGCAACAAGGGGCAGCATTTGGGAAGCGCAGACAAACCAAATGCGAAATAAAACTAACGTGCAACCCTTGAATTGACAGCTTCTATAGCTCAAGTCTTAAAAAATAAACCTGATTTTGTGGAGGTTGTGGGCCAGGTGGCATCCCTGGTTGACCCAAATTATGTTGAAATCCTGGTGCTGTGTTGGCTGTCATCGGCATTAGATTTGGCATTTGCGATGATTGTGTTGGAAACGTCGGATTGATAGCCTTAAACATAGAGTAAAATGTGGTATCATAAAATTTGCTCACTTGTGGTTGGATAAACTGCTTTGGAGCCATATTCATTGGAGGTGCTCCCTAAATCAGGATTATTCTTTTTTGAAAAATTTAATTGCCTGTGGTAGTTGTGCAGTTTGATTGTGACCATTCATGTTAGGAGATGGAGAGTGACCATTGGTCGGTTGAATTCTAAAAGAAAAAAAGCATCCCTAAAAGCGCATTAAATAATACCCATTGAAAGCACCATTCTGATATTGAGGATTTTGTTGTGGCGGAACTATGGACGATTTTTGCGGGAGAGGCATTCCTAAAAGAGTTTAATAAATATACATACACAATAAAGAGTCACTAGCCTGGCATTTGTGAAGGTTGTGGCGGAAAAGCACCTCCTTGCATTCCTGGCTGTGGAGGAAATTGGCCTCCAGGCATTCCATGTTGTGGAAATGGTGGTTGAAAAGCCATGCGGCCTAAAAAAGAAATTAAAAAAAGGAAAAAAAAGAAAATTTTAAAAAGAAATTCAATTAAAAAGAAATCTTAATGATTTATAATGAAGTTTTTGAAACTTTTATAGAAGCGAATAAATTCAAAGGAGGGGATAAAAGTGGAAGTTTTTGAATGCATGAAAGTAGATTTAAAACCCATTGATGTATAATTCCTTTTCTTGTAAAATCTTTTAGTTTCTACTGACATTCTCTTTATAGAAATCCAACATCCCTATGTATTGTGATGTGGAAGAATTTAGAGGAATAGACAAATATTTTGTCTTCTCCGAGCACGTCATTCGCTGCAGGACCCAAACCCCTCAAATCAACCACACCAGAAAACACCTTTAACAACCAAACCGCTCTTTAGCTAGTAAACAAGAAAAACAACCAAAGATCGTCATTAAGATACGAATAAAATTAGTCATCGAATTCTCCAGACAAGATATTATCTTCATTTAGCGAAATTTCGCTTCTTCTTTTCATAGCGACACTTTGAGGTGCTCTTTAACATTTCGTGTTCATTACTTTTCATAACTATACTGTTTTCAGCAAAATCATTTAGATACATGAATGGAATCTTCACAATACACATGCGCAACAACCCCCACAACAGCAACCACTTCGATCATGGGGGATACGATTCAAAGAAAGATGACACCGGTCAAACGGGACAAGCAGCTTTTGCAAGAATTTGATCACCAAGTTCGAGGTATTAATAACCATCTGATAAGGCAAATAATACTAAATAGTCATTTTTGATAATAACACTGATAAGTGCGACAACATATCTGTGAGTTGTTAAAAACCTAACAAAAAATTTCTGTATCTTCAATAACTCAAACGCTTTTCTGCAAGACTAATATATTTGACACCAGCCGAAAAAACCGCCTAACGGCAGGTTTTTTGGCTGAATGTTTTGGGGCTGACGCATAGTTTTTGTCGTCGTGACGCAATCGGGAGCGCGCTTGTCTACGGCCCACACGACCCGGGTTCGACCCCCCGTAGTGCCACTCAATTTTGACTTTTTTATTTTTTATTTTAAATGGCACAACTACAATACATTCTAAGGTTTTCTAAAAAGTTTTAGCTTTATTGGTCAAAACACGATCGAGAAAATGCCCGTACAGACAGACAGACATTGTTCTTTTATATTGGGTTGCATAATTAACCGCTGTCTCTCTGACTAGTCAATTCCGGGATTAGGTTTCTCAAGAACTACTTAACCGATTCTCGTCTTTTTTATTCAAAGCTAGATACATCAAAATATTTTTAAGCTGCAGAAGGTTTCTGAAAATTGCGTGAGACTTTTTTATAAGGGTTTGAGGAAAAAATATCAAAAAAAAATTTTGCCGGAATCAAAAATTTTTTTTTTGTAATCTTCTGTAAAATTTAATATTCTGCATTTAATAGCAAAGTTTCGTGACAAAAAACTCAACTATCAAGCTAGGAGAGCCAAAATAGTGAAGCCACCCATTTTCGAAATAGGTCAACTTCCACGAACTCATTTTTTAGATAGGAACATTGCCTATCCCTCATTTATAGCTCATGGGATCGTTGTTTACATCAGCTACAATTTTCTTTTGAACCATTCTAGGCGTTTACCTTTAAATTTTTGGTTGATAGACTCTTTTGTGAAAAAATTAGATTTTTCCCTCAAACCCTCATAAAAAAAAGTTTCACGCAATTTTCAGAAACCTTCTGTAGCTTAAAAATATTTTGATGTATCTAGCTTTGAATAAAAAAAGACGAGAATCGCTTAAATAGTTCTCGAGAAACCTAATCCCGAACTTGACTAGTCAGAGAAACGGCGGGTAATTATGCATCAACCCAATATATTTTAGATGCTCATTTAGTACATTAAAAAATTTTTATTCCTATTTTATGAGGATATAAGCGCGACTGACTATTAAACTCCACAATTTTGTGGTTTTACAAAACAAAATGTTTGCCGCTTATTTAGAAATGATTAACATATAATTAGGAGGATTGATTTAATTAATGGTTGTAAGCCAACATATTTTGACATGCGGTGAGATCTTTCGTTATTTGGATCAAGCACGTGAAGTGTAAGGTGGTTATATGTTCGAGAACAGCCGTGTCCCTCACATCGGCTCTCTCTTTTCTTATGTATCGCACCCCACCCCGAAAGCGTGTTGATGTAAAATGCATTTCCCGTTTCGTTCCATTTGTTTCACATCACCCCCAATCATTGCAAATCTATTGAACAAATCTGATATCTCCCATGAATGACTACTAAATTCTGAAATGAACCGCAAAACTCCACTGTGTGTTAATCTTAATAATGACTACTTAGTTTTATTTATTCAAGGTATTTTTGATAATTTTTATAATATTAAATGATCTTATTTAGAAATTCGATCTCAACTCACTGAACAACTCAAAGCTCTCGGTGAGAGAACTGAAACCCAGGTGAGCGATTGTTAAACCATATAATTGAAGAATATTTTAGATCCATGTACTTTCGGAATTGGAAGACTATTTTCGACGAAGGGGTGAGCTGGAAATTGAGCAGTCAAAACAACTCGACAAACTGGCGAAAGGAATCCTTCAAAAACACAAAGCTGATAAAACTAGGTGTGTCAGAATGCATGAAGCCTCTAGTCTTTATCTCTTTTCACGTAAAATAGCCATAAATTTTAGGAGAGAGAATTGGCAACAACATGCCTCGTCCTATGTTTGGCAGCAACTCGTTGATGCGACAAAAGAAGAAGCAAAAGAACGTCTAAAGATGGGCGAGATTTTTGCAAAAGAGCTGACATCTAGCATTGCCCAACGCTGCGATGATTTGGCTAGAATAAGCAAACGGGTATTTCTCAACAATTTTTTTTCATTAATTTCTGACATGGAACTGGTCTCAGCTTGAAGTTGAGGATCGATACGAGATTGGGTGCTTCTTATAGAATCAGACACGCTAATTTTTCTAGATTTGAAATTAGTGTCCGATTCTATGAGATGCACTTGGTCTCGTGTTGATCCTCAACTTCAAGCTGAGACCAATTCCTTGTGAGTAATCTTAAAATAGTCTTAAAATCGTTGATTTAACGCTTTGAGCCTAATAATTTTTCAATTTTCAACGCAATTTCTACTTTAGTGTCGTGAAATCGGTCTCTTATCTCATGGAGAAATCACCAGAGTTCTCACTGAGCTACACACCTCAATGAAAACCTATCAGGTACTATTTTTGACAAAAACCACTGGCTATCTCATAACAAATGCATAGATTTGTTTCGCCGAGGCATCGGCCGTTGAAAAAAAGCTCCATTGTGCCGAAGATGAATACAAAAAGTAAAATTATCCAATCAAATCTAAAAGTGATCTCGAGTTTTTAGGTTCGAGGAAGCAAATCGTGGCAAGCCAATCGGAAGAAAATTCAAAACTCTGCAAAAATGCCTCGAGAGAGTAGATCGCATTTTCCTTACACTTTTTTACTTTCTTTTTAGCGGCAAACGAAATGGGAACTGGTCCGAATTAAATGCACAAAAGCGAGAAACGAGTATTTGTTATGCATCAAGGCAGCAAACGCTGCTCTAAATCGCTTCTTTGGGCAAGACCTTAGCTATTTGGTTGATTGCATGGATTTGGGAATGGAATTCTGGATGCGGCATTTGATAGGTGCTAAAGCTCGTAAATGATACGCAAATCAAAACAAAAATTTAGATCAAGTGATTGAGGCTCGAAAAAAACTTACCCAAAAAGAGATGGAAGCTCTTGGCGAACTTGGTAAAGAAACGGAAAATATTTTTTAGTTTTTAAATTTAGGAACCGTGAAATCTTCATTGGATAGCAAAGCAGATAAGCAGCGGTTTTTCGAAGCAAATAACTCCACCTTTATGTTGCCAAAACAATTTGAATTCAAGTAAATTATTTTGAAGAAGTAATTTAATCTTTTTAAAAAATCAGAGCTCAATTCGGTGATTTGTCCTCTACGGTGTCAGCTGAACGTTCTTTAGCTGGAGAACTAGCCCAGCGACAAAGACAAATCACAAAAAGGCTTGATGCGTTACGTTTCGAAAGTGATGAGGTTTGCAAACGCTTAAAAAGTTTACTCCATAAATTCTAGGTCTGGAAAAGTCTAGAAGCTGCTGAAAGACAGTTGTTTGCTCTCTATCGTGATGAAGTTCAAGATGCTAACAAGTGGCGAAACGATCTTCTAGTGACATATCAGTATTATCTCAAGGTATTTTAAATGCCGAATTTACAAGAAATTGATTCATTTAGAAATTTGAGTATTTTCTTCTCAATGGAAATCTTGTCGAGCGACTTGAAGCTAGAAACTTTGCCATTGGTTTGAAAAGCATTGAATGTGGAAAAAAATGAGTCTATAGGAGAATCACTAAACGAAAGAGGCATCAATGTTGAAAGCAGAAATGGAAGTGAAGGTCCGTCTATAGATGGTGACAAACTTGGCCGTAAGCGTATCAAGAGAATTGGCTTACACCCGGATCGGCCTCGTCCAAAGTAAAGAAAATGATAAGTCGCATTTTTTAAACCTTTTACAGATTGTTTGGTGGAAGTTTGGAAGAATATGTGGAAGCTTCCGGGGAATCAATACCTTTAGTCGTCTCATCATCAATTAGTTTTTTAGCAAGGTAAATTAATAGAAATTATTTTATAAAAGTAGAGTTTAGATATGCGTTACGTCATCAAGGCCTTTTCCGAATCTCGGGCTCTCAATCAGAAATCAATCGTTTCAAAGAAATCTTTGAATGTGGTAAGTCTTTCAAAGAAGCTCAAGAAACCATGCAATTATTTGCATTCTACCCAACAAACATTTTAGGCGAAGACCCGCTTTGCGATCTGAGAGATGCTAGTGAGGCTAATAGTGTTGCCGGTGTTCTTAAGCTTTACTTGCGAGAGCTGCGTGAACCCCTATTCCCGATGTATTTATTCGAACAATTCACAGACTGTGCAAAAGCCGAAAATGCTACTGAATTTGTTGCGAAGGTAAAAAAGGCTGAAGTGCTAAAAACAATTGATTTAGTCTCGTCGTCTTCTCGTTTCTTTGCCTCCATGCTCTTTGGTGCTTTTAAGAGTTCTTTTCGGTTTCCTAGCTCATCTTTGTGAGTTTGCTGATGAGAACATGATGGAGCCACATAACCTTGCCATCTGCTTTGGGCCTACTCTTCTGCCAATTCCAGAGGGAAAAGATCAAGTAACGTAATCGACAATTATCAAAACCGAAAATATAGGTGTTTTACCACAACTTTGTCAACGAGTTCGTTCGTGGACTGATTGTTCATAACGAAAAGGTTTTTCCAAGTGAACAAGAGATGGCTGGGCCCGTCTACGACAAATATGCTTTTGAGCTTCATAATATGAATTATGTTGATGATATGGAGGGGTTAGTTTTGATTCTCAGTTTATAAAAGTCAATTTTACAGAGATGATGGTCTTACAAGCGGTGACGAAGAAGTGCTTCTTGGTATTGGCGTTACAGATGGGATGGCTGAAACAAGTTTTAAACAAATGGAAATCGAGAACGAGGAAGAGTTTACACCACGAATCTCTTTGATTTCTCGTCAATCTGAGGCAACACGAGGACCTAGCCATGCTTCAATTGAGCCTTCTGAAGTAGAGCAAAAAGTCAATTAGTAAAGCTGACACTGAACTTTAGAATACGTCTCTACGAGATTTGGCTTTTCGGGATGTCTTCCAAGAACTTAGTCTCGCACTAAAAGATGGAAATGTTGCTGCACCCGTTCATGGAATACATGAAACGCCAATTGATTCATCACCTTTCCCGGTTACCAGCAATCGGTAAATTTAAAAGTTAAAAGTCAAAACCTTTGAACTCAGATCATCTACTCGCTCAAATATGGATTTCCGTGTTGATGATTTATCTCCTAGACCAAATAGCTCTGTCCCAATGGTTTGGCGCCAACAATCACTTTTCAAAAAAATTTTTCAGACTAGTGTTGCTGTTCTAAGTCGACCACCAGTTGTTTCACTTCGCGATCAGTTGTCGCATGCTGCTCCATCGCATCCACATAAGATCTATCCAACGTAAGTCAAATAAACGTAAAAGAAAACAAAAACGAATTTTAGTGAATTTGATGCCATTACACGAACATCAATCAAGCTGCAGAAGCTATCTATGCTCAACAATGCATCAAATAATTCTGATGAAAAAGATGACTCGTTCGAAAAATTGAGCAACAATGGTAATGGTAATGGTAACAGAATTGATTCGTCTTCAACCGGCATGCCTTTCAGGTGGAGATCAAATGATTTCAAGAAATAAAACAAAACTTCAGATTCGAGCAGCCAGATATTGTTCGCGAGTTGGGACCAAGGGAAATTGCGAGCGTGACAAAGGAATTTAGTGCCAAGAAGTTTGAACCATCGCATAGAGCGCTTAACTCCGAAAGTCCACCTTTTGCTGAACTTGAACGTGCAATTCAAGCAGCAGAACGTCTGTAAGCAGTAGCTGGTATTGTTATTAGTATTTAAGGCTATTGATGAATTTCGGTTTGGTGTATCCCAAAATCATGAGTCCAAGCGCGATAAACGGAGAAAGTTTGCTTTTATCGAGACTTTTTGAGCAAACTTTTGAATTTTATTCTCTATCTTAATTTTGAGTGACCTAGTGTCTTTTCGTGTCTAAATGTATAGATTTTTTTTTGATTGCATATTCCATCCATAATATTATTTATTTTGTGGTGCTTTTTACTATTCCAAAAATATCTCACCTTCTACTGCGCCAAGCTTTATACAAAAAGGAACCATATCTCCAAAACTGCCACGAGCATTTAATTTCAGTTATTCTCAATGTTTTCATGTTTTCAAGATTTATCTCTCGATTTGTACAAACTTTTTTTGTAACTTTCTGTTGATTATTCAAAAGTTATGATCGGTTCGGCTCCTTTGCAATATCCTTGCATAACGGTGATAAGCCTCATAGCAAAGCGGCAAGTTAAAAAGGGAAAAAGTTGTAAAACTTGACTAGAAGAAGCAAAACTAGCTGTAAAAGCTAAATCGGTGATGAAACGCGTGGAAAAGTTTTGCTATGTGGCATTTTTTCGTTGTTACCTATTCTACATTTTCGATTACCACCACCTTATTTATTAAAACGGTCTTTTTGTTATTAAATTCGATAGAAACACGAAAAACAAGCAAAGCACACACAAAAAGACTGCGAAACGCAATCGTAATTTGAAAGTTTGGGGTAGGCTACTTTGCGCCAAACTTTTTGCGCAACTGGGTCATTTGAGCAACTCGCCACAACTTTTTTCGAAGTGGACCAATCTTTATGATTTTGGTGTCATTTTGTAGATCTCAATAAGTGCAACAAAATAACACCAAAATCATAAAGATTGGTCCACTTAGAAGAAAGTTATGGTGAGTTGCGGAAATGACCCTGTTGCGCAAAAAATTTGGCGCAAAGTAGCCTACCCCGAAAATTTCTATTCACAGCTGAATATACCCCATAAAAATTTAAAAGTTTTCAGTTATTAGACTAAATGTTAAATGTTGAGTACTTTTTTGTTTTAATAGGAAAATTTTGTTACCAAAATAAATAAACAATCTCTCTCTCTCTTTGCTAACCGATTTCGTTGTGTTTTGAATAAAAAGATTGTTTTGATCGACTGAACTTGAGTTTTCCCAGACAAAACAGTGTAGTGACACTGCCAATTTATTTCATTTTTTGAATTTTTTTCTTTCGCATCTACATTTTCTCTTTATTCAAAGGATGCTCTTAATTCGCAATGCTTTGAGATGTTTGGCAAATCGAGGATCGATAAGTGCGGGATCGACGAGCGCAGGATCGACGCCGATCATTCATGTGGGCACCGATGTCATACGCGTTTCCACCAGTAAAATAGCTCCAAGAACGGATATTGAGTGAGTTTTGTGTTTTTTTGTAACGATGTTCTCAATGTTTAGTGATGAACTTGGTAATCGTCCACGACCGCCGGTTGATGGAGAATGTTGCGGTCAGGGATGCCAAAAATGCGTCTGGATAGAATACGGTTGGTTGTTTTTATTATGTCTCACTTTTGCTAGTTGTTTTCGAAGCTTAAGAACATAATTTTGTTTTATTTTAGGCATTTTTAGGCAACGATTTGATTGACTACTACCAGAGTCACCCGGACAAAGATGCAATCTCTCGAATAGAAAGTGAAATCAAGGATCCGGTTGTTCGAGCGTTCGTGATGGCAGAACTAAAGCCGAGGGTTTCTTAAATTTTGCCGTACGTGTTTGTGAGTTATAGAATGTTAAATACTTTGCATACTTTTATGCATATAAAGCTACTCAACTGTAAATAAGGTTTTAGAATTGCTTCTCAGGTTTTAGAGTTGCTTTCTTCTTCTTCTTTCTCTTTAAAAATGCATTTTGCAATATTAGATTACGAATTTTCTTTTTACTCGTGTGCACAGGTGCTTGCTTTATTTTATTAGTTGTTGTGATTATAGAGGCGGGTGATAAATTTGTTCAAAAAATGGTCGAGGAATAATTTATTTTCAGAAATAAATAAGTAGGACAGCGCAAAATGTACAAATAAATTAGCATGAGAGAATGATTTGGAAGGATTTTGCGAGCAGTTTACTCAACTTTTGATGACTCCTCGGCGGCAATAGCGAGCAAAGAGCGACGTTTACGACCGCATCCGCCTCTAGTACAACCACATCCACAACCGCCTCCCTGAAAATTGTTAGCTAGGTAGGTTTTATGTTTTATCATAGAGCATCGTTGCTGATCTTGGAAAAACATGCATACCTGAATACAGGCTTGAGTGCAAACCGGACGGCAGCAAGTGCAGCAAGTCTGTTGAACGGCGACAAGCTGAAAGGGTTCATTTGGCATGGCGAATATTCTCAATCTCAAGCTTTTGATTCAGCATAGGCCAGTTTTTGCTGAACTTTTTGTAAAGATTTGATCGTTACCTGGGTGTTAGTAGTGCAAACGGCACATCCAGGTTGACCGCATTGGCAGGGCGAAGGAAGTGGAGCACAGCTGCAGCCAGATTGTCCCATACACGAACAAGGTGAAGGAGAACAGCAGACCTGGAATTCGACACGAGTTTACACTTTGTTGTTTTAATCATTACCTGTCCGCATTGTCCCATCCCTCCACAAGAGCACATTCCAGCGCAACATCCACCCATTCCTCCGCATTGTCTTTTAGCTCTGGAGACTGGGGCCAAAGCGGTTGACGATTGAGTTTCTTCGGTGGTCTCAGAACTGACTACCGCAGGACTCGTCTGTAAAATCTCATTTATGCTTGAGATGAGACTTTGAGATGCTCCACGACTAAAAAATTACGATTTCTAGTTTTAGAAACAAACTTCGAATAAGGCAGCACATGTGTGCTTGCAAAATGCAGCCACAACCACGAGAAGGATAAAACGTTGCATCTGAACTTTTGTTTAAAAGTGATTATTTGAAAATTGTGCTCTTTACAAAATAATCTCAAAATGTGATTGCTCAAAATGCTTAAACGCTTGGAAGTGAAGGTGTCAATGGCATCCCTTTCGCAAGTTATATATTGAGTGATATGTTTGCGATGGTCTCATCGGCACTTTGGCAGGACTGGTCAAAGAGGCGAGAGGCGGGAAAAGGGGTCCGCAAGAAAAAAAGCAAAGAAGGAGAAGACGAAGCGGAAGATCCACCCATCCCAGTGATATGATGAGGTGTGTGCAAATGAGATCCTTTCTTTTTGACAGTAGTTTTTGAGGGGTTTTGAAGAAAAGGATTCAGGTTCAGGTAAACATACATTAGCTCACAAAATGATTGAAGAAATTGTTTGTCGATGATCTAGAGATGAAAGGGAAGTGAGGGAAGGGATGAACTTGAGACTTTTTGATAGCCTAGCACTGAGATTTTTCAGCTCTTTGACATTTCAGTGTTGAGTTCAGTGTCTTTTCATACTTCTAACCGGTAAAATCTTGCCGATGCTTTTTTTGTGAGCTTTTTTTTTGTGTGTGCATAAAATTATCTCAACATCTTTCTTTCCACTATTCTTTAAACGCTTTAATATATGAATAGACAATTGTAAAGCAGGAAAATACCCAATAAAATTCACAAAATATCACAAATTTTAATTGAGACTCATGGGTTTTTCAATTGTTAGGCCCTAGGGTTCGCTTTCATCAAATCGATATCACATTTCATCATTTCGGAAACAAGTTCCTGAAAAGATTTGGATTTGGCTTTGGATTTGGATTTGGATTTGGATTTGGACTTCGAAAAGAAGCTCCTGAAAAGAGGCTTTCTTTTGCAAACCTTTAGAGTCACTTTTGGTTGCCATCCAAGTTTCTCGCGAGCCTTCGTGGCATCGCCAAGCAATTGCTCGACCTCTGTTGGACGGTAGTATTTAGGGTTTACCTAGATTCGTTCTTTTAGTATTCTATAGAAAACTCTCAAACTTAAGCAAACTCTCAAAGCAAACTTGACTTATTCTTCTTACCTTTACACGAATCACTCCCGTGTCTTTCTCTCGTCCAACTTCATTCACACCTTCGCCTTCCCAGCTGGAATTTGAATGCTTAAAGTACAGTAACCTCACCACAGTATGCAAAAGGACAGTATTCAGGCATTAAGACTGAATATCTTTTCTTCTTTACTGTACTTCTTTACTTCTCTTCTGCTATTCTAGGGTACTGTAGCGAGTTAAAAGATTGAGACTTTGCAATATGCGCTATAATGCTACAATATGCGCTATAATGCTGCAATATGCGCTATAATGCTGCAGTATGCGCTATAATGCTGCAATATGCGCTATAATGCTACAATATGCGCTACAATGCTACAATATGCGCTATAATGCTGCAATATTTATGTTCCTTATTCCAAAAACCTACACAATTTCCTTGTTGATTTCCAAGAAAGCCATCTCAACGAAAGTTCGAACTTTCGTGTATTCCCCGGTGGCGATCACGAAATCCTCGGCCACATCGTGTTGCAAGATCCGCCACATTGCCTAAATTTGATTTGCTTTCATTTCCATTATTCTATTCCATTATTCATTTCCATTATTCTTTTGCATGATTCTTTCCTACCTCAACATATTCTTTTGCATGTCCCCAATCTCTTCTCGCGTCCAAATTACCCAATTCGATTGTTTCTTGTTGTCCCAACGAGATCTTGGCGACACCGCGAGTGATCTTTCGCGTAACGAAAGTCTCTCCTGAATGAGTTAAGCTTTAGCTGTGTTTTGATTTTAGTGACCGTAATTATTTCAATAGACGACGATCATGGCCATCTATTTTTCAATTTCTTGAAAATTTTCCATTTTTGAATCGGCTACCTACCAGATTTTCTCCAGATTTTCAAAAGCTTAAAAATGAGTGTTTAGAACGAAATTTTCTATAGGTTATGATGTCCATTAAGGTTTTCAAGCTTTTCAAGTCCATTAAGGTTTTCAAGGTTTATCTATCACTTAAAACGATTTCAAACATCTAGAAAAATCTTGGAAACCCGGAATGGTAGTTGAAAAAAACTGAAAAAATGATAATTTTTACCTAAGGGGTGGCAGAAAGAGTTCGTTTTATCACTGAATTTCACTCAGAAACTGCCGGTTACAAGTCACCTTTCTTTTTACTTTTCATTCTCGGATCAAAGCCCTCCTCTCCATCATTCAACTCACCTCTCCTCGGCGACTCGTGATTGAAAAGGATTCCATTACAAGCAAACATACTGTAGGCCTCTCGATAGTTCACTACAATCCAATAAGCGTACAATTTGGCGACAGCTGAATATTCATTTTCTTGTTTTTTTTTAAATGTATATTGTACCATATGGTGATCGTGGATAGAATGGCGTGGTTTCTTTTTGCGGTACTTCTTGCACTTTCCCGTATAACTCAGAGGTGGAAGCTTGATAGAAACGGACCTATAAAGGGCTTTAAAATTACGTAAATATTAACAAAATGTGTCTATTAAATATTATTTGTTCTTTAAGCGATTATCTCTTTGTTATTTCCAAACCTTATTCGTCAATCCACATGCGTGAATCGCATCTAAAAGTCTCAGCGTTCCTACAGCATCCACTTCAGCCGTGTACTCGGGAAGATCGAAAGAAACCTTATAATAAACATTGATATTGTTAATTTTACTTATTATTTACCTTTACGTGAGATTGAGCAGCTAAATGATAGACTTCAGTCGGTTGAATCGTTGAGATTAATTTGATGAGACACGACGAATCGGTCATATCACCATAGTGAAGGAAGAACTTTGAGCCACCTAAGTTTCATTTATGTTTAATTGATTTATGTTATGTTCTATTGATTTATGTTCAATTGATTTATATTCTATTGACTTATGTTCTATTGACTTATGTTTAACTGATTTAAGTTCAATTGACTTATATTCAATTGACTTATATTCAATTGACTTATATTCAATTGATTTATGTTCATTTAGCTCATTTAGCTCATTTAGCTCATTTAGTCCATTTAGCTCATTTAGTTCATTTATTTATTTACCATCATGTGTGACCGGATTCGAATAAAGATGCTCAATTCGAGATGTGTTGAATGAAGAGGATCTTCGAATAACTCCATGCACTGCGTAGCCTTTCTGCAGTAATAGTTCAGCCAAATAGGAACCATCCTGTAAAGATCTTTACTTCAAGTTTTGCTCTTATTATCTATTAAAAATCAACTATAACAATCAACTATTTATTGTGAGAACTTAAAACTGAACTTGCGTGCAAACTGGGAAAACATTTGTAATCTTAAAGATATGATAGACAGACTAGTTGCTTTACAATATACCGACGAAAAAGTCTTCAACGTAAAGCTGGCTCTCTTTCAACACTATCAATTTGTACTAAAGGCATTCATCTTTAAAACACCACTATTAAAAAAAATGAACAAGTACTCTATGACTTTACTGTTGTACATATAAATTTTCTCAACCTGTCCCGAGATTCCAGTGATCAGAGCGATTTTTCTCGCCCTGAATGCCAGCAATTCTTCTTTCGTCGAATCCATTATCAATACTTGATTCGATATCACCGCCTCGAGACCCTAAATTAGCATTTGAACTTTTTTTTTTGTAAAACAAAACTATTTTAATGACAAAATGTAAGATTTCCTGAAAAATCAGTTATAAATTCATCTCTTTTCACAAAATAGATCAAAGCATACAAAGGGATTGGGTGAAACATTTTGAAGGGTAAAAGCAAACGGAAACAAGTAAACAAGTAAAATCCAACACTTTGTCGTTCGAATCCCAAAATTTCCCCTTATCCACTTACCGCAAACCCAAAAAGTTTCTAAATTTTGGGCATTTGTGAACTTGTTGAGAATTTTCATGAGTGTTGAAAAGGTGTTTGAGGAAAGAAAAGTGATCACCTCCGAGCTTTCATTCCTTTGTTCACTCATTGTTGTTATTTTCACGTGGCTAAATGTTAGTTTTGGATAAGAGATTAAGCTGCAAGAATGGGACTTTGAGAATAGTCGATAATGTCAATGAAAGAAGAAGAATTTTTAGAGTTTAAACATGAAGAGTTAAGAAAAGATGCAGAAAAGATTCATGGAGATTCTAAAGGCTGTTTAGAATCTATTAAACGTTCTGCTACATATACAGAACAAAGGAAACGAGAAAAGAGAACATAGAAGAGACATCAGAAGAGAGAAATGAGGGCAAAATAAGCAAAAAGGTGGGGCGGGGGAGGGAAGAGAAGTTAGGAGAGAAAAGGGGGGACTATTTCGCGAATCCAAACGTGGCACATGAATTGATTCCCCCTTTGCATCAGCCCGTTTCTTTCTTGGCTTCTTTCCTTCTTCGGCACAAAAATAATATAAAGTACCGGGACGAAAAAGCGCAATTTTTGCCGAAAACAATACCTTATTTGCGCATCTGTTCTTTCCCACTTTTCCCTTATTATAGGCTGAATTTCCGAACAAATAACGGTGAAAAATATTGAGTGAAAAGCTTTCTGTTCATTTATAAACCAAGCAACATGCGAAAATCATGCACAAATATAACAAATTTAGCATTAATTTCAATCTTAAAAGAGAGCTTAAAAAAAAAAATAACAAAGCCATGCGTTTAGATGCGAAACTTTATTTCAATTATTGAATGATAAGTTTAGCAAAATGAACGCTTGTGAAAAAGCCAGATGGGCTAGTAGATGACTACTCGGGGATCAATGGTTGGCACTCTTTTTGATAGAAGAAGACATTTGAAGAGACTTAGAGAAGAAAGAAAATGGAAGAGAGAAGCGGGATGGATGGTCACTCTCACTCACTCACATCCCTCACTGTTCTCTGTACAAGACATGTAGGTTACTAAACCCTTTCCTTTGGACCATTTCAAAAAGTGTCTGATATACATGAGCTCTTTTTTTTACTCATGTGCAGTGCGTGAGAGGGTACCGATGGGGCAATGATTATTTAGATATTTATTCCGAATATAGCACAATCACTAATTTAGCGATAATACAATAAAATAGAATCAATCGTTGTTTCATTGTTTCAAAGCCAAAGAAAAACAATACAAAGTGGGTTCCGTCCCTTTTTATCACAAATATCACACAAACGATTTTTAGAGGAAGGACAAGGGAAATAGAGAAATTCAAAATCAAAACATCAAATAAGATTTCACATAAAAGAGCTACTTTTCTGCACAACTCATATTAAATAGCAAGTTGTGTATTAATTTGTTTTATAAAACCGTTTATTCACAAATAAATCAGCACGATTTTCGGGAAATTGTCGGAGGGCATTGATTGCTTGGATGTGAGGAGAGAAGAGTTCACTTGATGAGGATCTCGTTCACCGCCACCTTGTCCTGATGGGTCATTTTCGTTTCGCGTTTCACACCCTTATGCACACCTTGGTGATGTTTTCTCATCATGAAATCCTTATCTAAGAAGTAAGATAAGGCGGTCACAACGGATTTAAAAAGGGACTTTAACCAACCACTACGAGAGTTACAAAGACTTCCAGTTACCCAGTCCAGACTACTAAGGATAACTTTGACTTGAATAATTAAAAGAGAAAAATAACAAAATTTAGGTGATAAAGCTAGGTAGTGAGGCGGTCGCTCCTTACACCATTCACCATGTGATGTGTGTTTCATTCTATAGATTAGATTTACCGAAAAAATGCGAAAACAAAAACATGTATAAACAAAAAATTAACAAAAATCACTAAAAATACATGGCACAAAAACTAAAAAATTACAGTTTAATTTTGAAAGTTACATCTTGTAGGCATATTTGCGTAAACTGCAGTTTTCCTGACTTCCTAAATTTGTATCAGTAAAAGTTAAACAGAATAAACAAAACCTCCTTTAGAATGATCCTTTTGTCTAGGCGCAGAATTTGTCTATGCTCAGAATTTGGGGCTTTTTGTTTCGCGTTCAAGAGGCAGGGTAGAATAATATACTAAATGTAACACTGTAGGACATAAAAACATAAAGTAGTATTCTTAACAATAAAAAACCAACCTCGACTTTACCGGCACCGGGCTCGCTTTCAAGTTCCATTACACGACCCGATATATCGTTAAGTTGTCGATCGGTGCAGAAAACCTGATGCCGATAAGTCGCATCGTAAATCCAATTTCCCTAAATGATAGCCTTTACTAATGATACCAATCTACTTAACTTACCTTCTCTGGTCTTTCAATTTCGGTCGGGTTCCAGTAAGAATCTGGATTGTCCAATAAATAAAACACTAACCACACCTATGAAACTACATAAAGTCGAATCAGCTTTTCCTCAGATATACCGTAACTTCTGCCGTTTTCTCGTATACAATTCTTTTCATTTCAAGCTCAAAACCATAAGTCCACCGAAGGATCTAAACGAATTAAATTGTCATTACTAAAAAGAGATTCAAACTTTATGCCCGTAAATGATTGATAAATAAAGGCCTTTTGTCGCACCCTGTAGAACAAAATAAGTACCTGATCGCTGCTATATTGCAGTTCAATTGGTGCCGGCTTAGCAGCTGTATATTCGATCTCGACGGCACTCAAATGTACGAAGTCTCCGAGACTAGCCAACATCGGCACGCAACTAAACACATGACACTACTCCAAACTAAAACTTATGTATAAACTTTACCTTCGCTTAATCACAACCCATCCTTTCGAATGTTTGGCTGGTAAACACGGCCATATGAAGGCGAATTCCCTTTGTAAAGCAATCACCCATCCCGAGATTTCGATAGCTTGCTTGTCCTTGATTGGATGCCATGCCTTGTGTACAATGGGGCCATAATCACAAGTCATCTCACGATTCAAACACTAGAACCAATAAACCATTTTACCAATAAACAAGCGATTACTTTAGCTACGATCGGCCTTTCCTTTGCATTGTAGTTACGAATAGCAACAACCGTCCATCCGTTAATTCCATCATATAACAAGTCAGCGACAACCTAAAGTATATCAAAGTTATTAAAAAAATAGATACTTACCGGTTCATCGGGCGTTTGAAGTAAGTCGATCGTCAGCATTGCTTCTGACAGTTTGATGAGATCCGCTCGGAGAAATGGGTGAAATGGGAGCAGCTTTCTTTGATTCAAATCGATAGCAAAAATCGTTGTCATCTAAAACGGAAATTTTTTCGCTAAAAGTACAAACTTTTACCAAAACTTGAGGTTGTACGTTTGGTCGTAGTGTTACACAATTCAAGTCAAACATTCCCTGTGGTATCGGTAAGTCTGTTGGGGCTGCCAGCCGACAATTAATCCACTAAAGCTAGTAGCGTTTTAAATAAAAAATTGATTTACCTCTATAGATCTTTTATCTGGGTTTCTTGCAACTCTCATTGTTGTATTTATATTGCTTGGACCCTCAACACCACGAATTTCGACAAATTTTCCAAGGTGCATCGGATTGTGCGAGCGGAGCTAGATCGAAATATCTCATCTCGTTTATTCAAAATAAATTTAGAGAGACGATTTAATTTACAACTGTATTATATTTACAAATACTTAAAAAAAACCTGTTTCAAGCCTGTTGCCGTGTAAACATGACCCCCAAGGCTTACATCGACCAGAACTCCAACATCGGTAACGATTTTAAGATCGTGAAGTGTTGCACAAGAAATTAAACACTAAATGTTTGTTTTATTATTTTAACAAAAGTAAAAAATAACTTTTTCAAACGAAGCTGTGTAAAGGCTACTCTTCATTAGCTCTATGCTCGGTTGATTTGACGTAGTCTTGGTATGCTAAACTACCAGATTGTCAAAAGTACAAAAAAATCCCAAACCTCAATTTGCGGTGGCTCTGCGCTATATGAAACACGTGGAGTCATCCAAAACGGCTCCGACTTTAAGTAAAAGTGATATCGACCGTCGTTTGGTGGTTGATTGTAAGCCTGAAAGAAAAATAATATTTCGATCTAAATAGATGACGCTTAACAGAAGTTTTGGGCAATAGAAAATATTACCTTTGCAATTTTTTCTGCCTCATCAACTTCACATCGTGCGCTACATCTTTCGATTGTTGTTGCACACCAATAAGCGCCATGATCCTTGCTCATTTGAAGTTTGAGGGCTTCGTTATCCGAAAATAAACTAAATTAACATTTTACAAAAACATTTGATAGAACCCACCTGCAAATTAGACGACAGTAGTAAACTTCGTATGGAGAAAACTTATTCAAAGGACGCAAATCGAGTGATGGGGCGATGACAACTCCAACTTCGGGACTCCAACCGATGAATGCCTCTCCCGATTGATGATTCAAAAAGTTTATTGAAAACACCACTGGCACCAAATTGATCTAAACCATTTTTTACTTTGATATCAATTTTAAAATTTTACCGTAACACGTTGTTCTCCCTGAAATTGCGCCGTTGGAAACGAATCTATTACTTGACAATATCCCTCACAAAACTTCATTTCCCCCATTTTCTCCGCGTAGACCACATCTCCAACCTGAAAAACACCAAAAGAACGATCTGGCTAGATAATTATACGATGCTGCTATGAAACAACCCAAAAAATAAAAAGAACCTTTAGTGGAAAATCGATTGGGAACGTTACGGTTATTCTTCTCTTCAACTGAGCCTTCAATGGCATTTCGTCGTCGTACTCATCTAAATAATCATACTAAAAGACCAAAATGATAAGATTTTCGGTTCCGACAAGATCTCTATTATACCAAATTGACCTTAATTGATCTTTGCTAATAAAAAAAAACTATACGATCTGCCACTCCAAGTCCATGCCAAAATTGCACATCTTCAGGATCGAGCCATCGTTTTAGCAGAAGAACCCGATATCTCATCTAAATTCTCAATATTAGCCATGTATAGAAAACACGCAACTAGAGTAGACTAGAAGCACAAACAGTCGGCTTAGAACAAAGGAAAAAATGATTAAGCAGTAAATAGGGTTGAGATTTCGACAGCTATCTGTTTTGTTTTAGCACTGCAAGAAAGCACAAAGCACTACTTCCAACATTTCTAATGACAAATTCAAAAGTCAACATGGGTAGTACCAGGTGTTGCTATATTTGAGGAGTTTTTGGGTTTCTGTGATAGCTGGCTCTTTCGCTGATGATAAATGTAACTACTATTGGCTGAATACCTCTTGTTCAGCTAGTAACGGTTACATCTCTCTTGTTATTAGCATTATCATTACATTGCTTAATTTGTATTTAAAAGATTAAATCTTTCCCTCGCTTCTTTCCTTTTTTTCCGGAAAAGATTCCGTTATTTTCGTTCAGGTTAACCTCTACTTTTGTGATTGATCGTGTGAATGGAAAGAGTGAGGGATTACCGTTGCTCACTTGACGAGGACGAAGAACACAAAAAGGACAAAAAGCCTAAACAGTTGTACGTTTTTTAGTCATATTATTAGACATTAGACGACTTTTCGTAACCCAAGACAGGATTCCCTATTAATCGATCAGAATCTTCAATTATATTTTTAAATTTTAGAACTTGTCGGCCACTTCCACCGTACTTGGAAGGATAGATTGTAAGCGATCCAGATTTGAATGAATTTGAAGTATAGTTTTATTGTTAATTTGTAAATATATTTTTGTTCAGATTCCCAAATGTCGTCCATGATGTAGCAAGAAAGATACGTTCGTCAAAAACGATAAGCACCGGGTTGGTACCTGACGTTGTGGGATCACTTCAGTTTGTATTTTTAGTCGAATCCTATTTGCATAAAGAAGCCATTTTGTGAGATGAACAGCGCCAAGGTGAGATTTTTTTAAACGTTTGTACTTCGAAAGCGAATTTAACGTTTATCTTTGATCATTTTATTCTTTAGCATGTACGGCACTCACTGAAGAAGAAGCCTTGGGGCGCAAAAGGCTGCGTATCACTGGATACTTCGTGTGATTTTGAAATTGTTGAAATGACGGTAATTTTTATCATTACAAAACGTATACCGATAGGACGTTTTTAGCATAAATGCAAGAAATAAACCAACACCAAGCAATTGAAGTAATCAAGATACCCGAATCACGACAATTTGTTTTTGACTTTGTGGACAACCTTTCTCATCGTGGCTTTGCATCGTGGTACGTTTTTTTAAATGGATCTTCTTAATTCTTCTCTGATTTAGAATGACGTGCCTAGTTTGCTGTTGTACATGTTGTCGAAAAAGGGATCAAAATGAAGCGGAAGAAAGGAAGCAATCCGATGTGAATGAACGATACAAATAGTGTCTACGTTTGGATTTATAAAGTTCTATACGTTTTTAAGTGAAATAAATAACCAATAAGGTCGTGTCTTAAGTGCAACAAAATTAACTTAATGTGAAGGATTTTGATGGAAACTTAACTGGCAATTAAACACCTAAAGTCACACTAAACACAAATTAGAGTTACACAGAATTCATTTCAGCGCGAAAAGGAGAGGATTGGTATTGGGAGGGGAAATTGACCGGGTCGGTTAATCCCCGGCATTAAGATGAATGTGATGATTGGAAAGGTGGAAGAATGCCTTCTGGCAGGAGGAAAATCTCCGAAACAAAAAGGGAAAGGGGGATTGAGGTTGTTTCCTGAGGACCCGCACCCCTTCCCTCCCCTCCCCCATCCACCCCTCCTCATCTCTTCTTATTTCATGGAGTGCTCATTTCACGACTCTTTTCTCTTTCTAATCGATCCCCTTTTCCACTCCATCCTTCTCTTTTTCTGGATAGAATGAATGAGTAGTTCGTGCGTGTGTGAGGGTGCCCCTTCTCATCCATCTTTTTCTATAAATGGAAATCTCCCGAATAAACCCCTACTAACAAGCAGGCTTTTTGAACTTTGGCTTAGGTACCTGCTTTTCTTTATTCGGTGTTCTCTAAAAAGTGCGCTTGGGATAAAGCTACCGTACTCTTTTTTTGTAGCATTTTAATTTTTATCGAGTAAAAACCAGCTTGATTACTGTTCTCAATGGATTACGGTACTTTTTCCCTAAGCCCATCTTAGAAAACAAGTCTATTACCAATTATATTTATTTCGAAAATCAACCTTTCCCACTTTTTATTTCCCAACAAAAATGTCTCTATTACATCACAGTTGATAAATTACAACGAGCTGGGTTGCGCTTTTTCCATTTTTTCCATTTTTCTGTCAAAAGTTCCCCTTTTTACCTCTTATCACTCTTTTTGGCACTCAAGCAGTTTCAACGAATTTCAACCAATTCTACTCGAAAAACAAAGCCTGAGATTCAATATTGATCGAAAAAACTCGTAGAAAAAACCAAATTTTGCCAACCAACCGCTAAATTCTTGTTGCCATCGTGAAAAATGAGAAGAGGAAATTCCAATTTCCTGTCGCACCTCTTTCCCTTTTCCTTTTCCCCTTCCAAATGTGTGAACTGTTTAGTTTCCCAATTTTTTACCGATTTTCAATATTCTGAGTTTTAGAGAACTCATTACTTGAGTAAAAGCACCTGTTAAAGCTTTCAGAACTGGAATTTTTGACGTTTACCTGTTTTTGATGTTGCCATTTGATTTTGATGGAGACCACTAGCTTTACGCGTTTTTGGGCACTTTTTCAAGTACTTCATCATTTCTTTTTAAAAAGTGGATAATTTGGAAAAGTATCGTAATCTTTTCTTCAGATTTTGTCTCATTCCATTCTTTCACAGTTTGATTCCTCATATTCAAAACTGAAAGCAAGAGTACAGTAGTTTTTTCAAATTGTTCACCTTTTAGAAAACACAATGTAGGGTGCTTAATTCTCTGTGAGAAAGTTTTCAAAGTTATTTTCATGGTTGTTTTCTTGTTTTTTCATCGACTTTGGTCTTCAAGGCGGGTGACAATTTATCATTGAAGCCACTTTGAAATATCGATGTTGAAAAATGAGAAAAAAGGTTAGAAAAAGGAAATTTTTTTTTTCTTTCTGAGTGACACACGCACTCCTTTAGAGACTTTACTTTAGATTTTCTACTTCAACAACAACTTGCTTTCTTATTTAGCAAAAAATTAGAAAGATGAATGTTGTTACCGTAAATACTGTAATAGTATTCGGTTATTCGATTGCACCCACAATTTCGTGACGTTTACGAGGAAACCTAAAAAAATACTATACAATATACTAATTTCTATAGTACATGCCGTAAATACTGTAATAGTACCCCACCCTAGACTTGTGTTTCGGTTGGCTCTTTTCGGTTCGGTTTCGGTTTCGGTTCAACCGAAGTCAACCGAAATCTTCCGGTTCGGTTCGGTTCGGTTCGGTTCAACCGAAAACATGAGTCTTTCGGCTCGGTTCGGTTCGGTTCAACCGAAAAGATGAATTTTTCGGTTCGGTTCAGTTTCGGTTCAACCGAAAACTGAGTTTGTCGGTTCGGTTCGGTTTCGGTTGACTCAAATTATTTTTAGCGATTGTAATTTGAAAAGCTAATTAATTTCTTAACAAATTTATCAACAAAAATGCAATAATATAAAGAGAGTTTGGCGTAATTCGCATAAATTTATTGCGTTTTGCATTGTTTCACTTTATCGCACGTTATCGAATTTCGGTTCGGTTCGGTTCGGTTGAACCGAAAAGATTAGTTTTTCGGTTTGTTTCGGTTTCGGTTAAACCGAAAAGATGATTTTTTCGGTTCGGTTCGGTTTCGGTTCAACCGAAAAATATTTTTTTTCGGTTCGGTTCGGTTAACCGAAACCGAAACCGAAACCGAACCGAGAAAGAACGTTTCCGGTTCAACCGAAACACAAGTCTACCCCACCCCCCTCGTACAGTCGCGTAGTCGCAAAAGTTTTTTAGTATTTCATTTTTTTTATAGGGTCCGTAGTTTCAAAAAATGCGTCTTTGGTATCAAAAAATAGCTGAAATTCAGGGCTATTTTTTGATAATTGTATTGCTATTGTAGCATAAACCAGTGTCGAGAAAAACTAGCTCAAAGCTAGACTACGTAACGCTCCGCTCCGTCATTATGGGGGTGGGGTACTATTACAGTATTTACGGTATCTATCTAAATTTGAATTTGTAATTAAATTTTAAAAGAGTTTAACCGAAATAAATGATATTTTTATTGACCATTAGCTTCAAAAGAATTCTGAGAAAGATCACGTAAAAGGAGGGTATTTTCTCTTCATCCCGTTTGACTCAACCGTGTTTACCCCTGAAAAGTCGTGTTTCTCAATTTCCGTAAGGATCCATGTACATCTGGTCACTTAAACGAGACACGTACTTGTTGAGATCTCCGCTCCACTTCTTCAGGCCCTCCAGGGCTCCAGGGGATCCCCTCCTCTCTTCCTATCTCTTCTTCCTTTCAAGGAAAAAACCCCCTTCCCCTTTTCATCAGCTTTTCAAGAAATCCCCTCAATCTCTTCTTTTCTCTCCTCATCCTTTTTTTTTCAACGATAGATTCTCCTTCCTCCTCTCATCCTTTTCCCATTCCATCCGTTAATTTCTAAGTACTGTCCCAGTAAAGCTTTCCACTTCTCACTTCTCAAAGCTTTACCTCGAAAGTTTTCAGTTTTTCATTCTTCTGATAAAATTCAACTACTTATTCAATTTACCTTTTTACTTTACTATCCCACTTTAATACAATCTAATCTTAATACAGTACATAGCTAATTTACAAGTTCGGGGATTTTCCAACCGATCCAGGCCAGAGTCTGCAACACAAGCCAGATCTGGGCCAGATCTTCCAGATACATAACCATTCAAACCTTCAGTAAAAGCAGGTTAGGGTCTGGCTTAATCCAAGCTTTGCCTAGCCTAGCCTAGCCTAGCCAACCCTGAACAAGTTTGCTATCCGTGAACTTGGAGTATGACTGAATCCAATCTGATCACTGAAATTTCTAGGTTCATGCTCGACTTTGACTTTGACTTCGACGACTTTTTTCTTTCTTTGCTCGCAAAAAAGGGCAAAATATCAAGTTTCCCTGTTGGCATTCGATTTCAGCGTTGAAAAATTCTAAAGTAACGAATTTTTCTCTCTTGATTCATAAGTTTCTGGGTGGGATTTTTCGAATTTGTTTTCTTTGCTTTTTTTTTTGAGAAAATTGTGAATCATTGTCGGGATTTGAGGAGATTTCCTTCCCTTTTCTCTTTCTCTTTCACTCATAATCTCTTTTCCACATCTGGAGGAGTTGAGGGTTGATGGGTGAAAAGTTTCAAACTTTTCTCGGGCTTTCTTTCATTTGAATTATGTGAAAGCTATGTCTTTTATACAGTAAACAAATGCTTTTGGACCATTTTGGACCATTCCTTTTGGATCAATCTTCTGTCTTATACCAATTGATTATCTACTGTAAATTGATTTGTTTCTGTTCAGCTTGTTGTTCTTATTTTATGGCTTACAAGAGTGCAACTTTGTTTAAGCCAATCATTTTACAAGGCAGTATTTGACAGAGATGATCCAAACGGATTCCCGGCTAAATTAGTTTCAAGTTCAGCATCCTCAGAGTAGACTAAACTTGAGCCAATGTCAGGTCAAAGATCAAGCATGATCTGCTGACTGAATGTCACGTTTTAGGAAACAATTTCTGTTGACTAATTTGTGCTCAAACATTGTTTTCTCGTTCTTGTTTCTTGTTTCTCAAGTAGAACTTGTTTCTTAAAAGGTAAAATCCTATCTGTAAACCAAACCAGTCACACTCTAAAATTAAAGTAAGCTTTCAAGCTTTTACTTTCATTAAAGTAAGCTTCTAATTAAACTTTCATTAAAGTAAGCTTCTAATTAAACTTTCAAATTCCCCTATTCTCCTATTTCCTTAAATGCATCAAATTCGAAAGAATCCATTGGGATTTCAACTGAATCTTCATTCTCTTTCTCAACCTCATTTTTTGTGTGCCCCATAAACGAGTCCTGAAAAAGAGAAAAATTGGAGAAAAGGGGTAGGCAGGGAAACGACCAACCATTGCCCCATCAGCCGTTTTCTTTTCATTTCTAACCATTCTCTTTTCCTGTGTGAATTTGTTTACCTATTTTTTTTCATCTTTACAGATTACCCTTCTCATATTCTTGCAA